GATGTCGCCATGATTACATGCACTGGCCTTCAGTCCAGTATTGTGAATGTCACGTGTCGTGCGAGGCATTCAGTACTTGGTGAATAGCAATAGCTGTGGAGTCGACCACTGATAATTCTCTCGCACACATCACACATATCATGTTTCCAAGCTGCAGGAGATACCACTACCAATTCTGGAGAACGATATTCGAAAATTGCTAAAGTAAATTCAAATCACAATAATCAAATCGAAAGGCTAACCTGCAAATGGACTACGGTGGCATCCCAGCATATCCCGTCGAATCAAACGCATAGAAACGGCCATTCTGAATGATAGAATTTACTGCAGCAACTGGACCGCGTACCGTGCCACTACTCTTTAGGCCATCTACACTCGAGGAAATTAATTTTGAACCAATTTCCTCTGGATATCAGTCTACGGTAGAGTACCGGTGCTCATGTGATCAAGTCATGCAGAAAGTACTGCTGCGTCGCGCCTTCGAGGCTTCGACTCTCCTCCTGGACTCCTGGTAGTACATGTACACACGTACACGTGATCCATACCTCATTACAGGTAGATATGGCAACCGTCTCCTGCTCAACCCCTTGCTTGCCAAGGAGCGCTCCACTCGAACTGGACAGGTCTGAGTAGAGCCAGCTAGCATGGCATTGGCGAGGATGAGGCAGGGTAGTTTGCCTGCCAAACTACATAATATTATGAGTTATTTTGGCCATTTCGATTTTCTTCTTCGTAGCTCTGAAGGTTGATTCTTCTGGGGAAAAGCAGCAGTGTCCGAAAGCATCTCCCCAGCGCCGTACTTCTGAGTTTTTCGAATTGATTTCAGAACAATTATTTTTTCCCCACTTGGTTCGATCTTTGAGGTCGCCACTGAAATTTTGACAACTTAGTCGTTGAACCCACATTCATTGATGTTGGAAGAAAGGGGTTGCTCAAACTCGATAGCCGGGCAATGCAGTAGTGGCAAATTCAATTCTTCAGACTGAGAAGATCGAGTTGTAATAATGCGACAGCGGCTTTGACTCACTGTCATCGCGGGTAAGCTGTTGTTCCAGTCGCTACCATTATGGACCATACGATTCAGCGATCGCTGCAGGAGCTGAATGGCGTGTCGCTGGACGTATTCAAAGGCCAAATCGCCAGCCTGTTGGCGCGACTGCTGGAGAAGAGGTCTGAAGACTTGACAAGCGTGCCAGTGGATGGATTTGTCAGCATAGCAGAAGCAGCGTTTGCTGTAAGTGTGATCCGGAATTCATGCACATAATTATTATGGTTGTAGTCATATTATACATCGGATGGCTCAACAATGACAATACGCTGCCGCGGTTTCAAAGAGCGACGATAAAGACGCGTGAGGGGCCAATGAAGAACACAAGGTTCAGGCTCTTTCCAATCAACATTTTTAAAAAACCCACAACCTAAGTTATTGACTTCTCTTCTTGTGGATACAATGTACAGGCAGAAGAAGAAATTCCCAAATACAATACTCTTTATACAACGTACAGGTGATATAACAGCAGTAGCAAGATCTTCAATGACAAACGCAGAATAAGGAGGAAAAGATATCGTTCGCGCGCACATACTAGAGAAACATAACGAATCCTTCAGCCATGCACAAATGACGCATGTGCGTGAGGACGCACACAAAGAAACCACTGAAACCGATTTGCATGCAGAAACAGAACACATTCACGCTCCGGCTGTTAGGTAGAACATCCACATACCGTTCGCCCCGTTCATTTGCCGTCTAGTATTGTCACAATGAGCAGATCACGCTGATCACACCGCTTCACGCATAGCCTTATATCGCCAGTAAGATGTGTTATGTTTCTACATAATTATATGTGCGTGAAAATCAACACTTTCCTCCTTATTCGGTGCTTGTTGTCGCTAATCTTGCTACTGCTGCTTGTATCACCTGTATGTGTTTAAACTTGTACCATCATCCTTCAATGCGACGGACCCCACGATAGGCGGTCAGCCTTTGGGTCATCCTAGTAAAGTTATTATTATTAAAGAGCATTCTTTTCTCTTCTACATTTATTTATGGCTCAACATCCGAGTTTCAAAGAGCATTCTACTGTTTATTTTCTTCTTCTGCCTGTATACGCCTGAAGAGAAGGGAACAAGAGGGCTTGAAAGCCCAGGAGCCCTCGCTATTTTTTTGTTTTACTTAGATCTTCAGGGGAGTTATTCGAACTGATAGAAACGTCTATGCAAGACGATTATCGCCGTATCGGGCACATGTTTTTGTACTGCAAAGACGTTTCTATCCGTTTGAATAACACGCATGAGGACCTAAGCATAGCGAGGGCTCCTGGGCTTTCAAGCCCTCTTGTTCCCAATATTTAAAACAAAAACAAAAAACGTTGGCTCTTAAACACACATAGACACATATCTCCAACTCCAACTCCCAGATAGGTACTCGAAGTACAATTTTCCATTTTTCAACACACATTATATAAACATGAGGTTCTAACCCGCACTATCGCCCTGTATGCATACCCTCGATGCACTTTGCATACATGCACATCCTACCAGTTACCGATTTGCTTCACGTTATAATCCTCAGTGCCGTTGAAAGCCCTATTTGAATATGGTGGCCAGCTACATGTAGCTCTCTTTGACGGCACAGTAGATCTACAGGACACGTACGGGATAGCGTGCTAGGCATGGCCCGTCACGTGATGATGGCCCTACCACACACACACACACACACACACACACACACCAGGGCCAGAGGAAGGAGTTTGGGAGTGGTCCGGCCAACCTTTGAGGGGGGTCCGGGGGACCTCCCGCGGGAGAAATATTTAAAATTTACGTGAAATAGAGCGAATTTGGGCATCTCTAAGGCTCCAGAAAATGCAGAAAATTATTGTAAAAGAACACAAACACAACTTTTTTTATCCATATCAGCCATACAGTGCCGGTCACGGAGTCCTGAGCTACATGTACATGTACTTCGAAGCACATCACACGTCGGCAGTACAGTCGAGTCATGTACCTCTGGATTTTTTCACACCGGTTTTGCACGAATCACATGAACCATCCAGCTGGGAAAGTGGTCCGGACCAGCCTGACCGGTTCCGCCGGCCCTGCACACACACACACACACACACACACGTACTTGTACTTGTTACTCACTGCCAAAACTGGTCACGTGGGTCTCCCCGGGAGAGGGGAGACACACACACACACATCGAATCAAAGCGCTGTGGACCCTGGCTAGCGCCAAACGCTACTAAAGTTACGTCTTTTGCATACGGGAATAAAGGTGCAGTACTTCGAGTCACAGTAGTATTAGAATAGTCGATTCTTTTTACTAGGGGAGCAACATGCCTTACTGCAGGGAGCCCTAAATGTAGTTTAGTTTGGTGAGCAAAAAAGGCGCCGGGGAGACTGTGCCTGACAACAGTCCCATGGTATGCTGCCACAAAGGAAACTGAGTGCAGGCCATAAGCAATGCGTATAGAAGCCGGGGGAAACCCAAGGCTTTGTATCCTGGCCGCGAGTACTACCAGTCGTTTGTGGGCCAGCTGCACGGAGGAGAACTAGTGATTGAACGAGAGGGCTCATGGTATGGGAGGATAAACAGCGGTAGACGAAAACGTATAAAATTAATTTACTCTGTGCTCGTGGGTATTTTTGGGGAAAAAACCCTGAAGCACGGTGTGATACTCAGTTTGTCAGCTGCTTGTATGTACTTAAAATACTGTATGACACAGCCCCTACATTTGTACTTAAAATACTGTATGACACATTTGTACTTAGAGTATGTGCCAGTGATGCGATGTGTTTGCTGTTCTATTCGCTTCCTTGGTTGCAGAAAGGAGAGCTTGCCTTGGCCCAGCAGAGCCTGGGGGAGTACTTCAAGGCACGTCCACCCACCAGTGAGCTGCATCTCTCCAGTCTGATGCTGCTCTGCCAAACACTCCAGCCAAAGACTGCTAACGATGTGGTGAGCTACTCGGAACCAACGAATAATCATCCTTCAAAAGGAACCCTGGCATGTTTATGTGTGCCGCTTCCACTGTCAAATTTCGCCACAGCGCCCTGTCTCTCCCAAGCACCTTGATTTCTTGCTTGGGAAAGGAAGACTATGACCATATCAGAATGATCTGGCAATGTGACTGTCATACTGCAATTCATGAACTTCTCACAAGAGTGCTGTACAAGTCAAGATTGAAGTCAAGGAACGAAACACTCAGTTCTGTAGACAGCTATATTGTAGCTGCTTAGGCCAATGAGATCCGATGAGCACGATTAATATTATCTATGTCATTTACGAGCTGGAATAGTTAACTGGCAGCTATGGGGACTAGAGTCAGGTCAATGCCACTACCGCCGAGAGTGCTCAAACTGCGAAAAGTAGAGAGCGAAGCCTGAAGCTAACCAGCACCGTGTACCAATGTGTCCACCAAGAAGGGAGATCCATGTATGTGGGTCTCCTCAGATGCTTCCTTGAAAATCGATGAACCAGCTACACCGATAAGCTTTGATACAACGTCAGTGGGTCAGGTGAAACCACCGTATCACACCCGAATTTGTGCTCTGGGAGTGTCTTGGTTGGTACAGTGAAACCTGTCTAAGGCGACCCCTCAAGGGACGAGAAAAAGTGGTCACCGTGGCCAGGTGGTCTTCTTATCCAGGTTCAGTGGGTCATGTGACCATATCCACATGTGATACATCATTTTGATCAGTGTGTCACAGCACACAGCTATGCTACTCTAGCACGACTCATGTGCCTGGGGTCCTCAGACCGGTCAAGTGTCGTGCATGCACCATGCACATCTACACTTCCTGCACTGGTTTATAGATCTACCATGCATGGTGCACCATGCAATGCATACATTTACATGTACTAGCACTGTGCAACGCGGTCGCGGGTGGGTGGTCGTCGGTCGCGTTGAGTGAGTGGTTGCCTTATCCGAGCTGCTTTGAATGTGAATCCTTCCGTGACAAGGAAATGTGGTCGCCATATCCGAGTGGTCGCCATATCCGAGTGGTCGCCATATCCGAGTGGTCGCCATATCCGAGTGGTCGCCATATCCGAGTGGTCGCCATATCCGAGGGGTCGCCATATCCGAGGGGTCGCCATATCCGAGTGGTCGCCATTTCAGGTTTTACTGTATGCTGTTGACAAATTCACTGCTGAGCTTTGCCATGACTTTGTCTTCTCTTTAGAAAATACTAGAGGAGCTGGTCGCAACAATTATATCATCCATTGAAATGGCTGCTTCTCTGGACAAGTAAGTGATCTATTGGCTAGTCGAAACCTACACTGAAGTTTGAAGCACCGCTATGATGCTTAAATCAGCTTTATCCCCCCCCCCCCCCCCCGATGTGACGAACGCATAGCAATGTTCCATCGGCACATTATGCCTTGCAAATTGGTTCATTTCTGCTGAATGTCCACTGCTATCATTTGTTAGTCAGTTACTACGGCTAGTTGTATTCTTATTTAGTTCAGAAGATCCAATGGTGTAGGAGCGCTATTGTAAAGGGGACGATTAAAGGCTATGTATTGGCTGGTGGCAGTATTTTAATGGTAACTTTTGCAGTTCTTGTTGGAAATCGGAATGGTCCTTGTGCTAGCCATTGGTCCTAATTCATTTTCTCGAATTTTCTCGATTTGTATTCTGCTTATCACAGGCAGCATCCGAAGATTGCTACTGCGACCAACCTCTTTTGCACAGCTACGTACCCGTTTCAAGTGAGCAGTCACCAGGAAACGCTTGTGGAAGGTGCGACTAAGATCTTGGGCATGCTGGAGATGGGAGAGTGGAGACGCAAGGAGTTGCTGCCACTGTACAGGGCCTACATCGCTATAGGCTTGTAAGTTTGTTCGACTTTCAAAGGCAGGTTTATAGTGTTAGAATGCTGATAGGCAGCGAGTTCCTCTTTTGTTGCCTAGTTGGTGCATCATAGTAGAGAGGAGACGGTTCAGATTCAAATTATACAACCGCCCTTTTTGGTGCAAATCTCTGAAAGGTTTTGTACAATCAATTGCGTGGCTCATGATGAAGAAATCGCTTGGAAGAGAGAGGGAGAGAGAGAGCTGAGAGAGAGGGGGGGGGGGAGAGACGGACAGACACACAGACACACATACACGCAGATAGACAGGCAGACTGACAGGCAGACAGACAGATAGACAGACTCGGACAGACAGACACACACACACATAAACACAAACAGACACACAGACATAGAGATAGACCGATTGCTATGAGTAGTAGTAAATGACTGCATTGGAACCTACACCTATTTAAATTTATTGAGAAGCTGTTTCAGCTTGTTCGTAAAGTAATCGTGTTAACACCAAAGACGCATGCTTTGTTCCCAGCTCAACTGTCACTGTTTTTCGAAGTCCATTGTTCCTGCTTTCGGCTGTTGTTGTGCTTCCAGTGGCTTTAGCTCTTTTTCTTGGTCCACCCCTCCACTGCCATCACCCGCGTGCGATCCCTTTTGCTCTTTTCCCTCCTGATAATACTTTCTCACTGCCTACGTCGGCATACCTCCGATATGAATACACTGATGGATGGCAACTTTGCTTACCAGGCCCCTCTTGCGTCTCATTCAATCTCTCACAGTCATACCGCTCTTGCAGCCTCTGCAGCTAGGCGGCCTACCCAGCTTTTATATATGCACTTGGGCACAGCTCTAAGCTGTGACTCAGTCAAGACCTGGCGAGGAAACTAACATACCCTCCTACTGGTGTTTGTTCACTTCTTATTGTGTGTTTCTTGTAGCATACTGCTATCTGCTCACTGTACGGGAAGTCGAAAGAATGCCTCGGCCAGCTTGGCCAAGAAGCTGTTTCAAGCGGCCAAGTCAGCCAAGCAGTCGGACGACATGGCCCGGCTGGTGTTTATTGCGGTATGTACAAGCATGGCTGAATCATGCCGGCGGCCAGTACATCGTGTGATGCCTGATTTCCTGTGGTGCTTGCCTTGTGATTAGCCATTGTGCTGCTCATTGACCTCATAAATCAACTCTATTGCACCACTGGAGACTCACTGCCAACACTGGGGTGCGTGTTTAGTTGCTTCTGTTCACCAGCTATCTATAGTCCAAACATGCTGGAGTCGCACCAAAATCAGTACTTTCCATGAAGGTGATGTGCACGTAATGTCACGGGTCGGTGAACAGTTCAGTGACTGTTCACATTGAGTGAAAACTGTGTAAGCCTTTACTAACCTGTCTCAATGCTTAGATATACGTCTCTGTGTTTTAGAATTATTCCCGCTTTTGGACATTTTTCTGTGGGCGACATGCAGGTTCAGCACAGCATAGTGAGCACAAACTCTGTGATCAAGTTATGCGGCAAGTCCATGTACTTACATCTCCACGCTGAGCTTGCAAAGACCATCAGGTGAGTCACGGGTAGTCGCCCACTATCCTGCTCATGATCTAGTCTACCCAGGTATCCACTGGGTCCGTAATCGCTGACTCCTTGCAAAGCTAGTGCGCCTATCATTCTTTGGTTAGAAGAATCAGGTGTGCTTCACCTTTCGCATCTGCTTTTGAAAGCACAGTACACACAGTGAAAATTTACCAAGTATCATGTCTCATGCCATCTCCAGATTCTCTTTACCTCCAGATGGTTAAGCCCGTGCCTGTGGTTCAAAGCATGCGTGTATTTGAACTTTGCTGTCTGCAGGTACGACACAGAGCACCATGAGCCTTCTGAGTCATTGGCGATGGCCTTGAAGGTGTTGAGCAGTTCTGCTCCGCACATGGTAGAGACGGATCTCTTCAGTGAGTTGTAGCGAGACCTATAAGCTAGTGTCGCCATATGCAGTGAAACCTCATTAAGATAAGACCCGCTTTCGCTTTAGAGGAACTTGTATTCATAACTATATTGGATAAATCACCGTGTGCACCCACTGGGTGTATTAAAATATGCAGAAGAAAAGCTCCTGCTAATGCGAACAAATACCATTCGTCCCTTGGTGTTCACCCTTCGTTTGCCCGTAGCACACAAAAGAGGGATGGTGAAAACATGTGCCTGCCTATGCTTACAATACTATCTTCCGAGCATAGTTTGCTGCCCGGAATACTGCTCGCCTGAATCTGGAAGGCTGGTTGCTCTCAATGTGGGAGTGAATACTTCTTCTTATTGGATTGACTTGATCTTCACGTCTTCTAAGCTACCAGCTATATCTACGCGTGATGAGGCAATAAACTTCAAGAACAGCATTCTTACAAATAAGAAAATGCACATGATTAGTAAGGCTTACCTTCCTCCATCATGGGTGACTGTCCACAGACTGCATAGTGACCATTCGTGCGGGGAGTCATAAAGAGTATAGTTATAGAGTCTGATATTTTGAGCATACATGTACCTGCACCTTTGGTGATGATACAGTCGTCCCTCTCTAATCCGGCACCTTTTGCAACGGCATTTTCTGCTGGATAAACAAGGGTGCTGGATTATCGAATCCTGCCCTCCAACCCGGCCCACCTATTAACATACATGTTTGTGTCGTACGTCAAAACGTAGGGATTTTCTGTGTCAATCCAAGTACTTTGTGGAATGCATGTCTATAACATACACTTGGGAATATCCTATGCACTGGTATAGGTCTAAGGATATTCCCAAGTGTATGTTACATCTGTTGTGTATGTTACAATGCTCCCTGACGGTATGCGATATACAACTGCTGGATTAGAAAATCGAATTATGTACAGTTTGAGTGATTTGTTGCAGAAAATCCCTGCTGGAGGCGGAATTCAAGTGCCGGATTAAAGCGTAGAAAATGAACTGAAAAAATCCGTTTTGCCAGAAAGTGTGCTGGTTTGCAAGGGTACTGGATAAACAAGTGCCGGATTAGAGAGGGACGACTGTACTTTGATTCGTAATACTGTGATTGCTTGTGTAGGTGAGGCAAGACGCCACTTGCGCATGGAATCCTCTGAACGGTTTGAAGCCCTTTCTGACGAACAGCGGTAGGTGATACGGGATCCAGCGGTAAACAGGATCGTAGGAAACAGTTGTGATTGGTCCGGCAATACCGTAGCCTTTAACACTTTTTGTATGATGGGGGGGGGGGGGTACACAATTTGGTAGCCAAGACGTTGGTCTGGCGATAACCTTACCAAGCGTCTTGGTTCTGGCATGCCCATACAATACTTGATGACTTCAGTGCGTTTGTGATGAGTGGCAGTCAGTGGATAATTTGTATAGCGTTCTTCCTGAAGGATGGAAGACGTGCCAGAAGGACCCAAAAAGCACTTGTTTAACAGAACAAACCCATACACACTAACTGCACACTGTACGTGTACATGGTGACTACACTGTTATGTATGCTATGGGTACGTGATGACTGCAGGGTTATGCATTTGTAAGCCTGCTGTGGGTGCAATTCTCCAGTGGTTACATTGCACTGTTGTCCAGCGTAACCTATCACGTCGTGCAGTGTGTAAGTCTGCTGTCACTCCTCTGGCGAGGGAAAATGGAGGCAGCTACACATGCTCTTGATGCATCACGGTATATGAATCTGGATTCACTGAGCCACGTCAACTATCTGGACATGTTGAATGATCTACAGTTCAATATCACTCATCTCCCCCACCTCCCAAAACACGGCCACAAACGGAGATGTTGAAATGGCTTAGACTCGATCAATGCTGGGCAGGGAACTCCGGGGTTCTTTGAAGGGAAATTTCCCTTGATTTATTCTGTTGAATGCGCTCGTTCTGATACGTTGGGTGATGGTGTTTTGTCTGCATCTCTTCATAGGCACCGGCTTGCGGTTCGATTCTCGGAGACTGCAGTCGCTCAGGGATTGCACGAGCAAGCGTTACGCTGTGTTGACAGTCTTGGAGACAGGAATGATATGGTACGTTGGCTTGTACGAGTATAGAGCGTTTTTCACGTTTGCCAAATGCTACTTCAGGGTACAAAAGGTGAGTACTGGTGAACAGGTATGGATCACAAGCACTGCATACAAGTACACAAGGGTTAATCGCTGGTGAACACTCCAGGAACAAAAATTAATATAGTAGCATGGAAAAACTCTATTGGCATGTCACCAGTTCTGAAGTTTGCCTTTTGTATTCGCTTCATCCGAAAAGTATTGTATGCCTCCCTAGTATCACTTTATCCCTTACACTGAAAAGTACTGCATGGGATGAGTGGTGGGAGTGGTTTTCCTATGCCCTTGCTTATCATGACCCACTGGTGCTACGGAAAATTTGAGCCTATTGATTCTACAAGTACTTATACATGAATATTGTTAACAGGCTGACCGTCCGAGTTTAACTATTGACTCTACTTTGTGTTCGTTTCTGTTTGTGCATGTGTGTTTTTGTGTGGCATGTCCATCCAGACCCCAGATGTCTATGCCAAGGCTGAAGTACTGCGTATCAAATCTTCCCAGGCCAAGTGCTTTCAAGATGGTGACGTTCAGGTTAGCTGCACTCAATCATTGAATACGTACAGTACAAATTGAATTTTCCAATCTTATACATAGCAGCAGATTGAATGTACAACTAGTTTCAGTAGCCCAAGTCACATGGCGAATCCTTCTGAAGTTTGGCTTGAAGAGCAGGTCGATTATGGGGTAACTCTCACTTCCCCTTGAATGAGTAGCTATTGCATTGTATACCCGCTGTACACGTTTGATATTATTCTCATAATCACAATGCACCTTACTAGTATTCTTGCTGATACTCATACATGTACATGAGGGGCGATGGCAGGGAACACAAAGTACAGTAAAACCTGTCAAGGCGACCACTCGGATAAGGTGACCACCTGTCCCAGAAGACCATTGCAACCAGGACCACGGGATGCTATTTCCAGTCAAATGACCCAGGATAAGGAGACCACCTGGTAACGGAGACCACATTTTGAAGGTCCCTTGAGTAGTCGTCTTAGACAGGTTCCACTGTATCGTAGGTTAAAAAGTGCACGCACCACGGAGTATCCCTATTTCAAGTCTTTTTAACAGCCTTTGACAACTGGGAACACCTGTACTGTGGGGTTTTCCCTATCGTTTGTTTGACTGGTGCCTTCTTTTCTGACTTCAGGGACACGTCAATCTAGTCAAGTCAGCAGCCAACCTGATAGCCACTGGACAGGTGAAATCTGTGGAGTTCCTAGAGGTGAGGCGCTCGCGGATCTACTGGCTGCTCTCTGCACTAAGTGCAGTGTGTTGCCAGCCAGCAATGCACAAAATAATACGTTACTGTAGGGGCCATCTGGCATTATCAACAAGTTTTAGGGAACGAAAAAGTGTTGTTATGACCCGCCCACACCCTTCCACCTCTCTGAAAGAAAAAAATATTGTATTGACAGCTAGAATGGTTTGGTGTTTCACCTATCAACTTTTTCAAAATGAAACTCTCCTCGACCCACCCACCCGTAAACGAACCTTCTTTTTTTTCGTTTTGTGTGAAACATCAATTAGAGTGGTTTCGCTCTACATAATTACGTATGGAAATCTGCATGTCATACGCACCGGGGAGTGAGGGAAACTTTCATAAGTAAATCTCTCTGTAGGACGTTATGAAATATTTTTCGCATTTTCCGGATTTGTAATGCATGCACATGTGCTGTCATGATAATTTTCAGACATTGTTAACTGAGCCCTGCAACATATCCTGGTCTGTCATGCATGCTGCAGGTGGTTTCTCAGCTCTTGTGGACGAGTGCAGTGATAGCTGTCAAGGCTGGCGAACGCACACGACTGCGGCTTCAACTGGCAGTGACTGCCAATGCCCTGGACAAGGCAAATAGGTACATGACAAAATGTTGCTGTGCTGTGCGGTGATGTAGGGTTTTCTGATGTGCAAAAAAAGCATGTTTCACGCGTAGATGTTACGTGCACAGCATAGTTTTCTCTACACAGTAGAGTAAGTCCTCAGTTTATACAGTGCTTAGTACTGCAACAGTTTTCTCTAATGGGCAGGTTTTCCAATGGCATGCCTCTGCAAAGTAATGATGATGACGATAATAATTGGTTTCCTTTGTCTGCAGCAACAAGGTTGTGTTGCGGTGCAACCTTCACCAAGAAGCAGCGCTCGGTGCTGAAGACTTTGACTTGGAGAGTGCTGCTTTGCATTGGCAGAAGGTAGGGTTGTATAATTGACCTTTAGTCTTGTGCCACACCATTATTGGTCATCTAGAAAATTAGTAGAAATCGTTCAGTTGGCACAAGATAGCCAATTGTGATGGAATGTACAAAAATTGCAATGTAGAGACTGTTTTGTTGGGAGTTTGAGAAGTGAGGAGTTATACATGTGTAAGTGGCAGTGTTGGAGTTTGTAGGCAGAAAAATAACCAATTGCCTAAGCTACTACTTTGAAGTACTGGGTAATTGTGGGTTGTTGGATGATGCATGTGTGGAAGTTGCCCAAATATACACCCCGCACCTCATTGCACAAGTAGGCTGCCTTGCCTCACACCGTACACTATTATTCCCTCCATGGATGTTTTTTTCGTATTCGAGACAGGATTCACATACCTATATGGCAAGTCTATGCCGAGTAAAATGCTTACCTGATTGTACTGCAGTATCACCCAACCTACTCAAGGAAACTGAATGAAGCAAGTCAGTTCAAGAGCAATTGAATACAGGAGCATGATACCTCTTTTGGTTGCTTCTTTGTCTCCCATTTGGGTATTGACTATCATTGGCACGTGTGTTGACTAGGCATCCCAGCTGGACCTGACGGGCTACAATAAGCCGAGAATCGACTACAATGCCAGGCGGATCAAACTGCTGCAAGAGCGGTACAAGGAGCACCCGGATCCCATGGACAGGATAAGAATCAACATTGAAAAAGTATGCATGTGTGGGATGCCAGACTGTCAACAAATATGGCCTTGGTGGTAGTTACTTTTGCACGCATGGTCATGTGTACTGGTTTCCTGCATTCATGTCTGGAGTAGTCTGACTGTCATTTTCATTGTCGTGCTGTGTTACGGTCACGCGAGTCGGCATCTTAGTGCACGACAAAGCTGTCTGCTTACGCGCGCTCTCTTTGTACACATTCATGCCGGGCGATAGAACGGCCCTCATTTGCATGCTTCGACGGGTCCGGGTCTCTGGTTTCACATGTGCCCTGCTCGGCCTGCTGTGTCTTTATGTTGCCCTGCTGTTTTATACACCATGGTGGTTTTCCTTTCGTGCTAGTCTTCTGAGTCTTTTTTCGTTAGTTAGTTGGAAACACAATAACAAGGAAGTTTGCAATGCGAGTTGAGCCTGAAGTGAGCCTGAGGAATACAGTCTAGAAATAGTAGAATCCAGTAGTGCGAGCCAGACAGAGAGGTGGCCATTACTATAATATAGTAACAACCACCAAGGCCATATTTGTTGTAATAATGGCAACATATTATGTTGCCATTATATCACCACATGGATGGTGAAGTGATTCTAACTGTAGACAAGAGGAAAGGCAAAATACTGCTTGTCATAACTTATCTGAATTATTTGCTCTTCTTCGTATCTCACAACGGTTCCAAAGTACAATGTGGAGGGTGGTAAGGCACACAGCAGCTTGTGTCCTTTAGTTAGATATGGATTGACATTTTCTGCATGCAGACTGCAGCCCCAATGTTTGGGCAAATACACAATCAGATGCGTAGGTGAACCAGGAATAGATTGCAGCATCTGCGTTCAATACGAAGTCCCAGTGCAATGTGCTTGGGAGAGGCAGGGTATGAGTGCCGGCTGGACACCAGTGTTGTATGTTAGTGTTGATAGGTGATCAATATGATTGGGAGTGCAATTTGATTGTGAGTGCAATGTGATTGGGAGAGACAAGGCATGAGTTCTGCTTGTCACACACGGTGTATGTGACTGTTGGCAGGTGATAAACCCGAAGAAGGCCAACATGGAGCCAGACGAAACGGTGGAGGAATGCCTTAACACAGCCGTTTCCTTGCTATCCGGCGACGAGAAGGTCATTGTGCAGTGGCTGGAGCTGGCCGCAGGGCGCGCTAGTCCAACGAAATCAGACATTGCGGGCTCCTCAACTGGCTTGAAAGCCCTGCGATCTGTATCGACTGCAATGATAGGAGGAAAGGCTCGGCTAAGTCAGGTAATGCACAACTATCACCATCCTACATTGTAGTCTTCAGTGAGAATTATAAGATGTCTAATGTTCTGCTACAGTGTCCATTTTCCTTTTATTAAACCATGGATTTGATCGTTCTTTTGTCATATTGCTGCACCTGCCTCCTGGTATTCTCTTTGCTCTATGTTTTTTTATGGAGCCGTTATACTTCGAAGTAGTCATTCTACTACAGTAGGTATCGGGTATAGCGTGGGTGTTTGAAAATCGACATTTGATTCTTATTGCCGATATTTCTTACACACGATAAATCACGTGTGACATATCATATGCACGTGTGACATATCATATGCGCGCACGTTTGGCATGTGGACACGTACACATGATACACACGGATCAATCAGACTCGCGGTGGTGCTAGGCGACTGCGGAGCAGCAGATACGAGAGAAGTCGGAAGAAGGAGTCCGACTGGACGGAAAAAGTGATTCTCCAATGCTCCCTTGGACATAACTCTCTTTTTGTGTTGAATATTATTTTATTGAGTATGCTCAGAGCACAGATGTTATTACTACAGGCGATACACTTTGCACTAATCTGGCATATTTTGCTACACAAAATCCATTCTTAGGGCCGATATATTCTACTATGCGATAATACTGCTTGTAAGAATAAATATACACATAAAATATGTGTTATGATTGTGAAAAAATGAGTGTTCATTCTTGTAAGCAGTATATTCTTGTATACGACCACACTATAACCGATACGCACTGTATTTCCGATTTAACTAGTTTACTGTTCTGCTAAAGTTAAACTCCCCTAATCCGGACTCTCCAGATCCGAGCGCTCCTGTCTGACGGGTACCTTTCTCACCCTCTAGAGTCACAAAACAGACTCTTTGAAAAATGAATACCAGACCCAATAACCGTTGATTGTTATAACAGGTATCGGCTAGCAAGCAATTACTTCAAGTAGTACGTATTTTCTGGTTTGGGGGCAATCCCCAGTCACTGCCAGTGCACGGCCTGCCCGGACATGGGGAGTTCTACTGTATTTCCGTTACCGTGCCTTTCAATAATCAGTGATAGAGTAATTGACATGGATAGTACGGAGGAAACTTCTAAAAACAATCTAATGTGCAGTTCTGGCGAGAGAAATTTGCCCTCAGAGCGCTGCCGGTTCGAGTGCACAGAACAGTGTGTGTGCTGTGCTACGGCTGCGTGTCGCCCAGCAATGTGTTATTCATGCTGCTGAATTTCTCTGCAAGTCAGGTCTTGTAGGCTACATGTTATTGTACCCTGAATGCATGGTCAGCCAATTCTGCACTGCTCTGTTTGGCCCTTCCTGACTGGCTTGTGTCCAGGTGCACTGTGACGCAGTGAAGCAACACCTACACCTGTGCACTGTACATGCTAACCGCCATCAGCGGTGCCTGGAGGCAACTGAAAAAGCTGTGCTGACGGCCAAGGATGCCGACATCAGGCTCGAGGATATCATCGAAAGGTCAGACCATCCGTATCAACATACCCATGTGCTTACATAAACCTTTATCCACACACACTCATTTACCATTGAAACTGTACTTGTATATCAAGGAGTGAGAGGGACATCTCCTCTGATTTTCCTGATGCATACATGTACCAACACAGATCTGACTTGCGATTTTGTCTTAGTGTTCAACAATTCAAGCCCTCTTCAGCAGTATGCACATCCATAATGTTCTTCACTTTTACTTGCACACAATAACCAACAGTTTGCCCGTTGTGGGCTACTCACAGTTATGAAGCAACCAGAGCTGTACCCGGGAAACGAAATCTGTCCTGGCTCTTGTCCTTTTTCGGTTGCAGAGCAAGACTGTGGCTCCATTTGCTAACTGCTGCTTCCGGCAGTGGAAACGCTGTGTTGTCTCGCGTCGTCGGGCGCTTCGCGGATCGCTGTGCGGATTCGGACTTTTTGGCAGCCGCTGGAATAACGGATCGTTCCACAACAGCCTCTGGTTCCCACTCAGGTGCTTCAAGAATTGCAAAGGACATGCAAGTTCCGTCATGTTTCAAACACATGCTGCAGGAGGTCACTTACAAGCTCCTGGATCACGCAGAGGTATGTTATAGTCACTGGTTTGAGGGAAAGACGCAAACGGGAAAGGTCTGAAGAAAAAATTGACTGTCACCACCAGGACTCGAACCAGGTACCCTCGCTTGAGGCCAGCGATACTCTAACCACTGAGCTATGGTGTAGTCGCATCCCAGCAGAAACAGTTCAACATCCTCTACAGACTTCGTAACTCGCGTCTGCTATAGTACGGTCGATTAGGTACTTCTTGTTGAGCATTCACAGTAGGCTGCCTTAGCACTGCTGCATTATGCATCACCCGCTACTTTTCGTAGTTTGAGTACCCTGGTACTACAGCGATGAGCTATCTTAGTGTCTGTGGTGCATTCCTTGTCCCATGGCCGATAGTTTAGCTGACTTAATTTAAGTTTGTAGCTGTACTGATGAGGCCTAGGTGGCCGAAAAACAACAGCTAGCTGTCTAGTGTCTACAAAAAAATTCACGGTTCGCATCAGACACGGCTAGAGGCTGAGTTTTCCGCATCCGTAGGAACACCACCACCCCTCAAAGATCAAGGCGCAGATTCAGCTCCTAAAGTGGTGGGAGGTGAGTAGATCAGCTCACTAGCATGTGGTCAAAGACCGAAAATCCCATTCACTGCATCCATGCAGCATTGGGTTAATTAGTTAAAGAGTACCTCTGCTCCATAGTTAAGATCCCTGGTTCGAGTTCTGGCGGTGACAGTCGATTACTTCTTCAGACCTTTTTTCCTCTTCAACTCTCCTAAACTGATGAACATCTTTAGGTCTCATCATTGTGTGCTACCTGTCATTGCTGACTTCAATCTATTTAGAGAGAAACAGAGGGAGTGTTGGCTATTTGGAGAGCAGTACTAAGAATGCTCAACCTGTACTTGAGCCGGTTGGTCTGATCAACACACACCCACCGCTTCAGGAGATAAATCCGTGCCCTGACCCTTGAAAGCGGTGGAGTTCCTGCAGATGGGGAGATTTCATTCTTTACTGACTCTCGTTCAATCCAAGAAATTATTTATATCAATTTTATAATCAACACATGTATTCATAAAAAAAGGAGAAGGACAAAATGTTATGAGTTATGACCAACTGTCCACCAATGTAACCAGGTAGTATACTGTCAGCAAGTGCGACAACAGTTGGTCATATGTCGTAACATGTTGTCCTTTCTTTATTTATCCATGATTACATTGGCTCAACATCCAAGTACAAACATGAATACATTACTTGACCTCAAACCTTCACAGATTCCTTCCTATGCCGCTGTATAAATACCATACTAGCTGTGCATCACTGTTATCAGTTGTCTGAGGATTGCCATCTGGCATGAAACTTTTAGTTACAACAATCCAGGCGCGTGGTACTCTGTGACTCGTGTATTCAATACTTGTATTATTTGACGTGTATTTTCGTGGATGTGTGCGGCAACAAGGCTCTTATTCAAGAACTGGCACAAGACGGCATCGGCCTGTTTGAGATACCTGCCCAGCCCCTTGCCGTCAGAACTCTGATTGCGGACGACGTCGACCAAGCTATTCAGGCTGAGAAGGCTGCTCTACGACAGGAGGCACGAACGAAGCGAGAGAAGCTTATCGAAGACAAGAGAATTGAGTACGAGGCAGCTTTAGATGCGTGGGAGAAACTCGAAGAAGCAGATGAAGCCACAGAGAGTCACAAAGAGTTCATCAGCAAGAAGACATTGGCAACTCCGCCAGCAGTAAAGGAGTGCACCCTGCCTCCGAAGCCCGAGCCATTTGAGCCACCACCGGAGGTCGTTGACTTTCCGGTCTCGCAGGAACGCCAGCAGTCCATGCTGGAGAACTCAGAGTACAACAAGAACTGGAACGTGTTCCTGTAAGTACCATGAAATACCGATACAGTGATTACACTCGGAGTCACACAATGCGCTGCACTAGCTTGCATGCTTGCAAACTCTATTTATTGGCCTATCAGAATGCATAATGGGGAGAAGAGTAGACTAGACTTAGTTCAAGAGGCCAGTGTGAGCCCAGCCGATATAGGAGTATTTGGTGCTTGGGCTATGATCTGGCGCTTTGAACCGCAGTGTCCAATTTTAAGACTCTGGACAGGTGGATGCTGCACTTGGCTAATGATTTGAACAGTAGCAACCGTGATCCTGACCAACTGCAGCCCTGAGTTGCAGAGCTGATAACTAGGTTTGTGAAGAGTGATGCTAGGTATGAATCACGGTAACCGTGCTTGCACGCAGTGACTGCTACTGGATGCTTAGATTGCGGCCATAAGTTTATTCTAGGTTGCGAGCTGGACTCGACTCCCTTTGGACATTATTTGGGTTTAGTTGCTGCCTTCAGGACCTGACCAGGGTGTTAGTGGAGGAGAAGTAGAGGAGGACGCTTCTGCTTGAGGCCCGTATTCAGTATCGCCACACATGTATGGTTTCTATACACTTTCATTGTGTTATGGTTGATTTCTAATATCCCATGCCCCAAACTTAGCAGCAGCCGGCCCAGTTACATGCACGCTCTGTTTTGATAAAGAATCTCTCGCTCATCCATTTCCAGGGGCCATGTACAGAGGGTGAACGACGAACTCCATCAGATATTTATGAAGTGTCTGAACATTTCCCTCTGCTTGGAGGATCACGACATGCTAAACACGTGCATCCGGCGCATGCTTCAACAGCTGGTGAAGCATCGCAACATTCAGTACAACAATGGTCTGGTCCTGGACCTGGAGTTTTGGAAACTCAAGGACAGCTTCCCCTCGCTTATCTCCATTGGAAAGTATGTGACGACCGTGCTGGAGACGCTGCTCGCTGCCAGAGCCAACAGGTATGGTGTTTACTGTGAAAGCTGTGCGTGCACAAAGAGAGGTACCTACACCTACGTGGAAGATAATTATAATGAAACTGATGCACTGTGCGTAGGGCACTCGATGAGGGTAGCAACAGAGACAGAGCTCACTACACCTACATACATGTACGTGTGTACATGGGCTTACACACACACACACAAACACAAACACACACACACAAACACACACACACACACACACATACACACATACATACTCACACACATACACACACACAAATACACAAACACACAAACACACACACCCTCACACTCACACTCTCTCTCACACGCACACTCGTTCATGTTGAATTGCAGTGCTTCAATCCACTAATCTCCGGCGGAGAACGATTGTAGTAGACGCCAATTTTCAGTGAAAGCTATGTGCACCACGATGCTCAGGAAAACCATGCAGTGATTTTGCTACTCAACTCCCGAGCAATGCTCCCTAACGCTATATAACAGTGGCATGAAAATCGCTGTGTCGAAGCACTGTTGATAATCAGTTGCCATTCGAAACTGTAAATCGTAACTGGTCTTTTTATGATATGATCTCTGATGATGGCTCTAACGGACTATCGACAAATATGGTCTCATAAATTTGCTGCAAAGCACTCTGCGTGCCCTGAAAAAGGGTTTTCTTGTGATGGTGCTCGCATTAATTAAACACCGATTTCTGTCTGTAATCCTATGCTCTCTGCAGTGCGATTAGTGGAGAGAGCACTGCACGTCTCTGTGAGCTCTCCCTGCTGGCAACACTGGTACAGTGTATGCCTATGGTGCCAGCACCACCTCTGCCACCGGAAGAGGACAAGAAAGGAAAGGACAAGAAGAAAGCTAAGAAGCCGTCGGTTGTCAAGCCCGGATCCCCGACAAACATCCGCCGCTACTTGGTGACAAGCCCTAGCCACGATGTATTCCTGAGGAAACAAATTGATGTAAGCCATGTATGCATAGACTGAAGATAAATAATAAATAATACCCCGTGTATGGTAATGGCGATTTTGCCATGTGAGTGTACAAATCCATGTACCGTATTTTATTATTTTACTTGGGCATTCCCAACACACCCTAAGGGGCTATCCGGCATTATCGATAATTTTCACGAAACGAAAAAGAAAGTTTAGTTAGGACCCTCCCCCACCCACTGACCCCCCTGAACGAAAAATAGACTGACCTGACAGCAAGAATGCCTTGATGTCTCTCATATCAATATTTTTCAAAACAAAACTTCACTTGACCCACCCACCCATAAACAAAACTTTTTCTCTTCGTGTAAAAGGTCGATAATTATGGACGGCCCCTAAGGCCTTTTACAGGGTGCCCAAGATGAATGTGCTAAGTTCCTGGTGACCTATCGCACGTGATAAATTTGGACAATTAAAGAGAGCCACTAAATGGAATCCGATCCCGTTACTCTACTACAGTTGTGAGCTGTACTGTCCCCAGACCTGTGAACATCCCAGTATGCATTGGTGCACGGAAGGAACTTATTCATGAGACCTTTGTATGACTAGGTAGGACTAAGATTCTCTGTCTTGTACGAAGTGTCTCCGTGGCGCAATCGGTTAGCGCGTTCGGCTGTTAACCGAAAGGTTGGTGGTTCAAGCCCACCCGGGGACGCATTTCTTTTCTAGTTTTTTTTCTCTTTTCTTTTCCGCAATGTCCTCTTTGTGTTTCTGCTGTACAAATTCCTATGGCAACAAGATTCTAGCCAAGGGGTGGGGGGAGAGGCAGAGTCCCCTACTCATGTTTCAGCTTTTGTGCTTTTTCAGTTCACACAACAAAAATGTGGTCCCAAATTGATCATTCCGGATGCATTTTGTGTGACAGGCAGTAGCGGAACATTAGAATAGATGGACTGTGTGTTTCCCTTGCCCCCCCCCCCCACACACACAATATTTTCCTAGCTAGAACCCTGTTGTGACATGTGTGTTCCGAATCCTTCAGCTCTGCAACTCCGTATTGAGCTCTAAGCTGCTACAGTGCGACGTTAGTCCTCGGACTCAGAATCAGATTATGGAGTACCGTTGCTGTGTAAGCCAGCTTCTCTTGCAGCTTGGTAGCAAAGACTCAACAGAGGTACCGGCAATGGTAAGCTAATATGACAGGTGGCATCATGGGTTAACCAGATGATATTGCATTGCAGAACTGGTATGTAATGTGTGCCCTAACCTACTAAGCAGACTTGCAACGCGTACCATTGATGTAGCTATATATGGTGCCACTAGCTCAATACGTTCCCATCTCCTCTTTCTTATCAGACTTCCCTTGATAATCCGTTGAACTATCCTTGAAACAAAATGTCAGCATGCAGTACACCCTCTAGTTTCTTTCCCGGCGCAGAGTGCTCCTTATCCCCTTTTTTCGATGCCAGGTTGCAACGTTAACGCCGAGGCCCCTGGTCGCTCGAGTTATTCCATGTGCATCGGCATATCATCCCTACATCTCCTGTGTCTTGTTTTGTGTTTGTCTCCACATGTCTATTGCTAGGGTTGTGTTCTTAGAAGAAAAATGCCCATGGCGGCAGAGTGTGCTCCACGTAAAATATGTGACTTGACGAATGTTGCTTCTTCAAGTTTTGTGGAAGAGCAATCATCAGGCAATGGCGTATGCAATATGATTATTGTGTCTGCTCCTGTTCTAACGTAGAAGCTGCGACGAACCATTTGAGATTTGGAAACACTCCGCCACTCCACACTGCACTCTTGGCTCGGATCCACAACACCATACTCCATAGCAGGGAAATGTGGAGTGGTGGAGTGTTTCAAAATTGCTCCTCTTCTATCCTGTCTTGTAGAGCAAGGCGTTCAACATGGCGCTGTGCCAGGTTGTCAATGGCCTGTCAATGCTGCACATGAATCTACTGCCCTTGGAGAAGAAGTTCGGTGGTATTGATGACCTGAACAAGGTATGTACCAGGCCAAGTACACCCCCCCCCCCCCCCCCCCCCCCGGGTGCTGGCCAATGAATGGCTCAGGCACAGTGCTACAAGTAGAGCAAACCGAATACTTGTCAAGCAGATCACCTTGAACACAGAATGACCAGTCATCAGTAGTTGTTTCTCTGTATGTATGGCTGTTTTGATGTTTAGTCACATGGATGAAACTACTGCATAGGGTGCCCTTGATTTTGAAGCTATGATATAATTATACTGCTTTCACACTCAGGCACTGCAGAGGGGAACTGTATTCATGGCACCAGCTAGTTAACTAGCTTGCGACATTGGTGTGTGTGATTGTGCAACTGGAAACAATGTACAGATAGCAGAACAACTATCAGCAGTGGAGGGGTCAGTTAATGATGCTGAGCTGCTGTTTCGACTGCGCTACAAAGTCATGGAGGTGGCGTTTGAGGACCCCAAGCTGCACAAGTTGGTAAGCTGAAAGTTGAGCTATGCGTACCTGTGCTCAGGGCTAATCAGTGCCGTGTGATTCCACCGATCAAATGTTGTGCTCGTGCATGACATGTGACGGTAACTATGGATCGGGCCAATAGGCAGCCTTCCCGTTTTGGGCGTAATCAGCTGATCACGCCCGACAGGTTTCTATTTGCATATTGTCTGCGAACCATGACATTCCATTACTACTCCATGCGTGGTGCTTTTATCTCTTCTATTCTATGCTATGGCTGCTCTTGTCTGCTACACCATGTTCTTCACAGGCAAATACGTTAACGAGTACGTAAAATTGTGCATTATCTTCATTTGCACTCGCTGGCTATATATGATCTGGTTACGTTGGTGGACAGTTAGTCATAACTCGCAGCATTTTGTCCTTCTTCTATTTTCATCGCGCTTGCAATTTTTGCTTTTCTAGATTGACGAACAGCTGAAGTTAGCTTATCGTGTTCAACACTCTCAGCCACAAAGCACCCTGTCCCAACAGCAGGTTGAGGCCAGGTAAGATGCTGGCACTGATCATCAGGGTATGATGTCATGGGTATACTAAGGTATGATGTCATGGGTATAAGGTATGATGTCATGTCGTACTCCGGTATGATGTCATGGTATACTCAGGTATGTCATGGGTAGGCATTATGTAACGGAATGAGAAGTCTCCTGTGAAGGGCAGGAGGGAGCACACATAGCTTCACTCCTTACTCAATCTCCGGACATCTGCCCTGTTAGATCTCATCTGTGGAGCTAAGAGTTACTGGCCGAACTGATCACAGTGAAGTCTAATGAACAGCAAGGCATTTCTGGACCGGCTCGAAGCGTCAAAGTCAGAGTGGCCTAAAACTGCGATAAACACAGCAAGCTCCATTCATTGAACTTTTACGGTCTTCACAAAAAGGACTTCACTTCTGCTAACGAAGATGTTGCGACCCCGGTGGTAAAGAAAGTGTCTGCTCCGAACGTCGGAGCTTGCGCTTCCTGCAATGCTCTCGGAGCAGACATTTCATTAGCCTACTCAAGCTCAAATGATGAGGGGTGAATTCCTCGAAACACTGTGTATTGAACAGGCCGAGGGAGTGGTTCTTTCTTGCAGGTTTGCCAAGTGGAAGGTTCGACGGGCTTCTCGTTTGCTCCAGCAGTCGTGAGTCGGTCAAGTGTCAAGTCATTCGGCAGGAAGCGCGAGCTCCGACGTTCGGAGTATACACTTTCTTCACTTCTGCTGTAAAAAAGTATTGCAATTTGTGGTGTGATGGTAATCAGCTGTCGGACATGTCGGATTGTCCACCGGTACAACCTTTGCTTGTTCTTTCCATGCCACTACTGTATGTCCAGTGAGAATATTGCACACCTGCTAAGTCGAATGCACTTGCTCTGTGGCAAGTATCACCTGGTTGAGAAGTCCAAGCTGATAGGCAGCCCCGATCAGAGCGCCAAGACGCGATTGGAGTGCTTACACGTCGTTGCCAAGCAGTTTCAGGAAGCAGCAATGTAAGTGGTTTGAGCATCTCATCTCGTCATGCCGTGAGAATTTAATTATGTTGAACTCCACAAGATGTTTTGCAGTGTTGATCACAAGCGTTCACCACGTGTGCTACGAATCCCAAATATTTCAGCTACTAGTAGTTTCCTCGTCATTCCTAACGACATACTGTAGTTTGCAGTGTCATCTAGGGGTGTGTGCTGCGTCTGTAGAAACACCGTCACGGTAGCTTTCTAGGCCACACTGGGGTGCCTATTGCTATTTCCTCACCAGTATGATCCAGAGTACTGGCATGTGTTGCCTAGTGAGCAGTCGACTAATGTATTGATGCATGCAAGTCTGTATTCTTCCCGGTCTTTAGCCCCATTTCCTTTGCCCATGATGCAATCTCAGCAGCGTAGTACCCACTACGGTCAATACGGTATTGGCTGTGCCACTTCTCATCCTTGGCACCCGGTTGTTTTAATGGAACGGGAGGACTGTTGGGTCTGAGTTTTGATAATCTCACCAGTGCAGGGATCCAAAATTGGACCTACCGTTGGAACTGAGCATACCATCCTGAAATACCTTCCTTTGTCCTTTGATGTAATCCGGATGGCTTCTTTCCGACTTGTCAGGAATGCAGATCGTGTTGGGGACTATAGAACACTAATGGCCGTTGCTCAGGCATTCTTCTGTGGTCCGGCTGGCGAGTTGCTAAGTAGCGAGGCGTTCCACAAGCGGGCGGCTGCTGCGACAGCTTCCCAGGCCAAACGGGATACTTCAACGGATTCCGGCGATTTGGCAGGCACTTACCTGGAGGTGCTTGACATTGTGCATCTCATGTCGGTGTGGATCTCCAAGCATGCAGCGCGCTGGGAGCGTGAAGAGGTTGGTTGACTTGAACCGTTGGAATTTCCCTTCGGGGTGGTTGTCTGGAGTAGACGTGAAATTGACTCTAGGAATTTATTTTCTTTTGAAATTTGAAAAAGAGTACCTATAAAAAACAACTTGCATAGAATAGACTCGGGTGGAGAGCCAAGGATAAATTTATAGAAAGTCCACTAACACCACCAGTTACTAATCAATCAGCTCATGCGATAACATTGCACAACACTGATCGACAGTACTGACGTTCTACAACTAACTGGCTAACAGCTCTAGGACATCTTGGATGTGCACTCCAACAGCCTTCCAATATAGCGTAACTTGTAGTTCCTTGGTCCTTTTTCTTTTCTTTAAACTTGCATAGAAGTATATAAAAAAAAGAATGTCCTCCCCGGCCGGGAATCGAACCCGGGTCTTCCGCGTGACAGGCGGAGATACTTACCACTATACTACCGAGGATTGACTGGAGATATATCCACATAGAAGAAATGTTGTCCGGTTGACTGAGGATACAAGATCAGTTAGCTGAGACCATGTTTTTAAAATCTAACTCTACTGTTTAAAGTTATTGCATGTTCATTCTCCTGGTATGTCTTTGTAGAAAGCTAACGGCGGCCCGGGTAGGTTTGGTGGGTCAACGGGTATCGCACAGCTGTCTGCCCAGTCAAATCAGTCTGCTACGGCCGCTGCTGGTAACACTGCTGATGCTCAAGCAAGTGTGCCTGCCGCAGCACCCATGAGCATCAAGGATAGCCACTTCATGTTGAGAGCTGGCTTGTTGGAGGTGGAACTGAAGTGGCTGCTGCACCGGGTAAGAATTCTTCTTCAATAAATGAGTGCTGTACCTTTGAAGTACCGACTGGCTTCAAGTTTTAAAAATTAGGAAGTTGAGCATCACTACCAGAGTGAATTTAATTAAAATTAATTTTCGTCCTCTTACACTTCTGCTCTTCGCTTAGCAATTATTTTTAACAACAAACCAAGATTGTTGATAGTGCTGCAGTGGCGAAGCACTTCTGCGGAACAGGCCAATGCGGGCCATTCCTCAAAGGATCTGGGATAGGATCCACAGTCTTTGACTTTGTGTTTTTGTCTCCCTCCAGAGGCAGCACGCAGAAGGCTTGAAGCTATCGGAGAGAGCGCTGCGGCAGATACCCCGTGAATTTCAAAGGTAAAAAAACTTAAAGTGCAGTACCCCCAGCCTTTTCCAGCATCCTACTACAAGTAGTAGTTATGCAATCTTGACTCAACAGTTTGCCTCCAACTGGGAACTTGTGGCCAGGCACAAGGGGTACATGGATGTGGTTAATGGGGTTTCTGGGCACTTGTGCCAGTGGTTGAGAGACTTATCCACTCACCCCCACCGTTAGTCGCTGCATCTGCCACTAGGGTTTACCGGGTGTTAGTGGCCGTCATGAGTTAGTTCCCTTTGGGAACGGACACGATAATTTACTTACTTACTACAAGTAGTAGATATACATTCTTGACTCAACAGTTTGCCTCTAGCTTTGCAGCTCAATCATGTTCTGCCATGGTTTCGCTGGATGCCGCAAAATGGGATGACAACTAGAGTGTGTTTGTTTCCACGATAGGAAATTTGCTAATAGGTGATTCATAGTCAATCCACCTGATACGTCTAGCATTTAAAGGGGAAGTCCGGTGAAAAATTTAAATTTCAGGGTCGGTAGAGTTTCGGGCGCTGAGTCGAATGGTGTTGGTCCCACGTGTCTCCGACAAAGCGTTCTCGAGATATTTCCGTTTGAAAAACTGAGTTTCGGGGGCTGCGCCATGACGTCATGCGGCCGCGCCACACCCTCTGCAACGTCATAGCGTGCAGCTAGGTCAAAAGGAGTGCGTGAAAGCAATAGTGTCAGTGCTATTTCAAAATGATTTGGTGACTGATATTAGGTGGTGCAAGCGACCCCGAAGACCTGTAACTCCTTGTGAGAGTGAGGATGCAGCCATGGCTGACCTTCATGAGTTCGGTCTGGGGCTGAGAACCTCGGTATTCAGCTGAAGAAATGGCCGCACGGGCCGGTCAAGAGTCAGCGCTACTGAGTTTCCGACTGATGAAGAAGCAGCAGCTATTGCAGACGAGGCTGATGTAATTATCAGATCGCTGGAGAGCAGGGTCGCCAAAATGGAGAAGAGTGATGCGAGTGCTCTAAATGTTGTTCCATACCGATTAGATTCGCTTAGACTCCAGTAGCCTGCCACATGGTGATGTTTTGGTGCGAACTTGGAATATTTCGGACTACTCAATTGGAGAACAGTGCAGGCTCTTTGAACCACGGGCACGACTCTTCGCTCGCAACGCTATGGAATCTGAAAGTTCTAGGTCCGGGAGCTGTTCGCTGTTTTGTCACTTGTCACGGTTGTGCACTCATCGCTGTAGCATAAAATAATGAGGCGGGTGCGGAAAACTAAAATTTTCTTTCTCAAAGCACAACCACCGGCACCGGCAAGGAGAAACGCACGTTCTCTGACTGCATGACTGTACGACTGATACGAGTCGAGTGTATGACAAGTCCGTGTGTTGACTAGTTTTCTGAGTCTTGTGTCAGTTGTGACATGAGTTTGTTGACTGCACTACAGCTAGATAACACACTGCACGCACTGCATGCACGCAGCGCAGAGCGCGTAGAGCCGTAGACCATGGTAGACGGGCTGACGGAAAAGTCCAACTCGGAAACGGCTAAAATGCGGTATAACCTCCAGGTTTACCGAGCTGAAAATCACAGGGTACGTAGTGTTTGTAACACTGAATCGAATGGTCTTGGTCCGAAGAAGCTGCGACAAACGGTTCCCCAATCGAACGCGCTCCGAATATGGCCATTTTTGTACACAACTAGATGGTGTGGCTACCTGGCTGCACGCTGTGACGTCATCACCTGGATCTGGGTGATGCGCGCTCAAATTCGCACATGTTCGATTGGGCGTATCTGACGAACCATAAGCCGCAGCCTCCTCGGACAAAGACCATTCGACTCAGCGACCCGAACTCTACGGACTGTGAAATTTAAATTTTTCACCGGACTTCCCCTTTAAGAAAAGTGGCTCAGTGCATTCCGAATTGCCTTGCCTGACTGGTGTGTGTAGGCTTGATTTCTATTTCAAGAGGAGCCATAATCCGGCAGTGTAAAACAAGCCTTTCACTGCTACCACGTGGCATCTAAACCATGATTCGCCGCTGCTACATTTGAATATTCACATACCTTGCCATGGTGAGAAGCATTTGATGCGTGGTCTTTTCAACACAGTACTGTCGGGCGCCGAAGAACTGGGGGTCAAGGTTCTAGCCTAGCACGTTCTTTTTTTTAAACGAACACAGCAGTTTCGTTCTTATTCGATGGCACAGTCCTACATGATTGTACGTTTATGCAGAGTTGTACGTCTGAGTGTACATTATAGTGTATATTACGGTTTCCGTTCTTATCTGCAAAAAATCCAGCCTACACCGTTCTTAAGAATTGGTGAAATTCTAGCCTGGCTGTTCTGGCCGTTCTGGCCGTTCTTCGGCGACCGACATTACTGTACATGTGAACGGACTTCTCATCAGTGACTCGTTACAGCAACTTGTTACTTGTACACATGGACATGCCCACGCACCCGTGTGCATGGCTACAGCCACACGTACATCTGTGAGTGTGTACACACACAGCCACAGCCACTCACACCCATATAAACACACACACACACGCACACACACACACACACACACACACACACACACACACACACACACACGCACGGTCCACATACAGACACACACATGTACAGTTGTGCTCGATGAAATCCAAACTGAAGTGCAAAACTGGTGCCCTTGGCCGCAGTTTGGGACTCTTCCAATTTCATCACTGTACTTGGTATTATATAAATATGTGCGTCCAACTGCATTTGTACCACTTCCAGGGCTTGCACCAGTACAATGGTGATGTAAGGAAGTAAGGAAACAATGTCATTTTAGCCTGCTGCTTTTCAGAACTACATGTAGTACATTTCCGTGATAGGTGCAAACAGGGCTTGGTGCAAGCTACCCAAGGCAGTGAGATTAGGAGGGCAGGGTAAAGGAGGAAGAGGTCTTCAGCCGGTGCCCTAAACTAGGGCGTTGTGCACTATTAATATATTGAGCATGGTTCCTCAAGCAGTTCTTAACCCTTTCAGCACGGCCAGGGTGTGTAACTGACCCGCGGAGCCAAAACCAGTGATTTTCGTGATTTTTCAAAAGTAGTCCTATTCACTCACAATTTTTTCTGCGGAATGCATGTTCGCACGCGACATCTATGTACTAGTACGCGTGCATAGCGGCACACGTGCGCCCGTCAGTACTATCGTAGAACAGTCTACGTTCATCCAGCACGTCACTGGTCCACGTAGGGATAAGATCCGTCGACCACGGATGTCTCGGGAGTACGTTCATTTTCACTGTACGCATCACGTATATATACGTGATCCGTGGGCCAGTTACATGTACCATCACGTACATACACGTGATGCGTGCTGAAAGGGTTAAAAAGAGGCTCTCAAGGACAATTACCTGGAACGTGTCATTGCCTCCAGAGCCTCGTTATGGGCGAAACAAGCAGGTCATTGCCTGATGAATGCACTGATCTGAGTATGAAAGTCAGAGCTGCACTCGGAACTAGCCTTGTTTCACTGTTGTGACACGCTGCTTTGCCTCTGCGATACTGAGCACTCTCAGTCTCAGCACACTGAATGCATCCTCCGGGGACTGAGTTCCAGTCACATTCTTACACATAGTCTTACTCATAAAGTTGTTGGTTTGCGCCTCGGAGACGTGTTGGAGCTAGGTGTCAGATCATTGAATGTCTCAGTACTCCTGGTCAGTTCTGTGCCATTTAGTCGCACTCGCTGACTGCATAATCTGGTTACGTTGGTGGACAGCTAGTCATAACTCGTAATATTTTGTCCTTCTCCTTTTTTAACATTAATAATGGTGCTCCTATAGGGTACGGTTGGAAAAAATTTAACCACACCTTCTTGAAATTCAAGAATATGTGGTGGTACACTGTTAGAATAGCTGGCTTGCTTACTCCGTTACAGCTGCTCTTGAGGAGGATGACCTAGAGAAGTTAGAGTCCGTTTTGCATCCGAATCATCACAAGTTGTGCGACGTCAGGCATGTTCTCTCGCACAACAGCCTCACTGGCTTTCCCATCCGGCCAACACTGAACAGGCATGGCTGCAGAAGATTGAAGTGACACAGTCTGCAGAACATTTAGTCGAGGCGTATGTACACGCACCGCTTTTCCAGGCAATAGTCAGGACATAAGTTGAAGCTTGACATCACCATGCAGTCCACTTGTGTAAGCCTTCTAGCGCCTAGGCTACACACACACAATCATGTTGTTTGGTTCCCAGCATGTTCCAAGGCTGTCAACCAAACATGTTTTCCGCCAACCAAGGCTCATCAAAATACCAATATTATAAATCATGGTAATACAAAATTAGGAGGACGGAAAAAGTGTTTTTTAAAGGGGAAGTATACCCTAAAATCAATTTTTCACCAGTTGTAGTCTTCTGGGTGCTGAGTCGAATGGTCTTGGTCCGAGGAAGCTGCGACGCTTCCTTCCTACTTGAATCCCAATCGAACCCGCGCACTTCCACCGAAACTGGGTGACTGCGCCCTACTAGATGGGGATTTGTATGCAAAATCTCACTAAAAGCGCCGTTTCGTTCTTATAAAAGCACGGATGACCGCGATTGGCCCATATGTTGTAGTCTTTTGGACGCTGAGTCGACTGGTTTTGGTCCGAAAAGGCTGCGATGCAGCGTTCCTCCTTTATTCCCAATCGAACATGGTTGAAGAAGCGGTCACGTGCTCCTGGGTGCCCAAATCACCTGGTCACCGCGCCAGCAGGCGACAACTTTCACACCAAGGTTCAACTCGAGTTCAACTCGAGTGACAGGACTGCACCCAAAAAAGGTCAAACAGGCTAGTAAGTTGTACCCTGCAGGCACGGTGACCAGGTGACTGGTGTACGCAGGAGCACGTGACCGCTTGTTCAACCATGTTCGATTGGGAATAAAGGAGGAACGCTGCATCGCAGCCTTTTCGGACCAAAACCAGTCGACTCAGCGTCCAAAAGACTACAACATATGGGCCAATCGCGGTCATCCGTGCTTTTATAAGAACGAAACGGCGCTTTTAGTGAGATTTTGCATACAAATCCCCATCTAGTAGGGCGCAGTCACCCAGTTTCGGTGGAAGTGCGCGGGTTCGATTGGGATTCAAGTAGGAAGGAAGCGCCTCAGCTTCCTCGGACCAAGACCATTCGACTCAGCACCCTGAAGACTACAACTGGTGAAAATTTGATTTTAGGGTATACTTCCCCTTTAAACACTTTTTCCGTCCTCCTATTGTTTGAACTAGCTCTGTCGGATTTATTTGTTGAGCACTCTCTTGCCGTCTTGGACAGCCTGGATTGCTGGAACCTCTCTTGTTTATCATGATAATACATTGTAGTACAATGTAGGGTCTAGGTCAGTAGATCTTCTGATACTCATACTGTCATCATGGTCATAGTCATCGTCATTTTTGCTGGGCAACGCTAGACTCTACTGTCTACACTGACGGTCAGTCGATATGCATGGTAGACGGATCTCCTTACTGTCTGTCTGGTGCCATGTGTGCGGAAGCTGCGCATCCGTGCATTTTGCTCGAGACAGATCATATTAATATCTAATCAAGGCCAAGGACGGGCATCGCGCACATCCATCATGACTATGTAGAGCCAGATGTCTACATGACTGTAGTCGCAGGTTCATCTAACACTGAAGTAACAGATCTACTATGCGCGTCCTTTTATCAGCGCTTTTTCACCGTGTAGATCCACTGCGGCCATTTCCGGTCGTCGTTATCGACCGTTGCTTTGGTGTATTCTTGCCGCTGTGGCTGACGAGATCACGTTGGAGGTTACCCTGCGAGCATTGGCCGATGCATAATGAAGGTTAGTTCAACTTAGTATAGACTTTAGACTTGTATCCTCTCGAAAGGCCCGCGCCCAACATCACTCACATGAAAGAGTTGATCACGCAAACAGTCGAAGCAGCATCTTATCTCTAGCTCTGTGGTTTACCTCCGTTGCCAGAACTAAGGAGTGGCGGCGCGCGAGTAGCGGTGCTAGGCCGGCCTTTCCATTACATACTTGCCCACTACAATGAAGCGTAAGTAGTGTTGGCAGAAGTCCTGTGAGCGATTTCCACACGACAGAGATATAGCAAAAACAGCGCGAAAAATTTGGAAAAACGTGGAGTGGAGATAACGATCCTAGCCTTGGCTATAGTGTATAGTGTGCCTGTGTATGTAGCGAAAAAGACAACCATGGCTCCGAATGACTGGCTTTACCTGACCACCACGTTTGTGTAACCATGATGACAGGGCGTAGTACTCTTTCCTGCTTGATCCCTGGAATTCGACCATGCCACAACAAAATAATAATTCCCAGTATCGATAAGTCAGGGGAACTAGCCGGCACGTAGATCTACCGCTGCATCCCAACTAATGAACTGTCGGCTGGACTGGGCAGCCATCGGCTCTTGCGGAGCCCAATCATACTAAGATCCTGCGTAGAAGAAAAACCACGGTGCATTGCGTACTACACAGTACATGGCTGCATGCCTGGTGAACTATCAGTGGAACAAAATGTAGGCTACTGCCCAGAAAACAAAAGTAAAATTACGGCTTGGCACGTCCTCAGTCAGAAAGCATTTTCCACCTCTATAATAACGCAGATGCAGCCCATAAAGCCGGGGGGGGGGAGGGGGGGGGGTAGGGAAGGAGGTGAGTAGATCAGACTAACCACAAAGTGGTCCGAAAGACCACTAATCCCCTTCACTGCATCCATCGCTGAGGCTACCCCCTCATGCTGAGCCACAGGTTCCCAATTAACTGTGGATCACAGCACACTTGGAAAAACACGTCTGCTTCCAAAAACATGGTCTTAAAACCATCCCACTATGCTTCCCTGTCAAAATCGGATTTCTTTCATGGAAAGGGTTCATGGTTGGCAAATTCCAGAAGAAAAACACACGTCGATCGGACACTCAAACACAAGAATGTTCTCTGAAAGAGGACAAACGGCCCAAACAAGAGAAGAGGATGGTATACGATAATGTGTATGGAGTTCTCTTATTTCGAATTGAATGGCCAACCCTGGCTGTGATGCACGTACTGGTTTAATGAACAAGTATGCAGGGGCGTCGGAACCGGTGCGGCCAAGGCCGCACCAATAATTTTTTATTTTTTTTATTTTTTACATTTCAACCTTGTTGATGGCTTGTCGACTCTTGTACAGGTACAACCCCACTGTACCATGTTTTGCATCGACAATGCAGTGTATCATCAGCATGCATATTCTAAGTTCTTATTTCTCATATTATTCTGTAGCATTAAAATATGGCCTTTTAGGCCCAATTTTAAAAAACAAATTCCCGGGGGAGGACCCCCGGACCCCCCTCTCACACTTTCGCCGCACCAATGTTAAACTGCTTCCGGCACCCCAGGTATGAGCATGAAGAGTGTTAATCATTGCTTGTGGCTCACTTCTATTTATTGTGGTCCAATGCTGTGTAGATCATTCGATGTGTATCACTTGAGATTCAGGATGATGACCACCGACTTTGACGACACAGAGATTGAAAAGCTGGAGGTAAGATTTCATCCGCAAATCAAAATTGAAATCAGAAAAAGAACATGCCCCACACCCAGACTCTAAACACATGCTATAGTCATGTCCATTCCTGGCAGGATTCCAAGTCTATACCGCACAAATAGCTGTAGATTGCACCCATTCTCCCACCCTTCCCGAGAACATACATGTTTGGGCATTTGTGATAACTTATGGCAAAAATGTAAGACCCCTAAAAGCCAGAGTATACATTATGAAGTCAAATGGTGCAGCGCACGTGAAGAGGGTGCTTAGCTAGACTTGACTGAAACTGAGAGAAACGCATTTGAAGTTTGAACTCGCCATCATGCTGAAGACCGCGCATATAAACAACCACCACGGCATCATTAATTTTCTTGACGGATTTCCATCCGAGTTTTTTTTTAATGAAACCCTGCAGGCGCTTACTTCAGATGTGTTTGGAATAGTAAAAGACAAAGTGACGAATGCCTGAATTAAACATTCCCCACTAGGCGGATAAGACGAGGACAATTTCAGACTTGGGAGTTGTTCCTCCTGCCTGTGTTATGATTGATGTTTTTTGGATAGAACCCCAGAGATCGCTATCGACTATGGCAAGAAGTCACGCAGGCCGCGACCGACAGGATCCGCATCCAGAACGCCTTTGAACAGATGCTCAAGATCATACAAGTAAGTTGAAACGGGTTTCGAAAACTTCTTGTTGTCATCACTTTAACAAAGATTTTGTTACTTGTGGACTTCCTTTGGTGAAAGTGTATAGGAACATTATGAAAAGGCGATATGGAGAAAATTGTAGATGGGAAGGAACAGCATGCACTGGCTGTGTTCTCACTCCAGCAAACATTTCAATGTAGGTAGCCATGGGGGAAGACTTTTGAAACGCACGTGCTGGTGATGTTGATTGTTTGTACGAGTTGTGTACAAGCTCGCACATGCGTTTTTAGACTGCAGGGGTGTGGCGCTGGAGTTTCAGGTGGTCCGGCTAAATGGGATATTTGACCGAACGTGAGCACAGGGCGACGTTTTGGACCAATTTCGGGAGCGGACATTTTCGAAATACTGTGTAACCCAGCTAGTGCTACGTCCCTGGACTGACGCTTGTAGCCGGCAGGGATTGCCGCCATGATTGTTGGCTCTTTCTAGATACTGTGAGATGTACCAATATCTATATGGTCAAGCTGTGGCCAGCGGCAGGGTCCTTTGAAACCTAACGCAAATAGTTTCTAACGCAGCAGTTTTGACCCTGTTCAGAACGACAACGTTGCAATGAGCTAGCTTGCATCTTGTTATGTATACAGCGTAGGCATTTGGCACGTTGGTTATCGCAGTATCTGCTGTCCTTCGTGTGTTCATGTAACTTTGCCATGCCTCTCTGCTGTGCGCTTTAGAATGGAGAGGATCGTATGGAATATATCTACCTACTCCTGGACTACTCGCGGTGGATGTTTGAGAATGACTATCAAGTGACAGACATCGAACCATTGGTAATATTATAATTTGTTCTATCTCTCCGTGCCTCTAACCTTGCTCAATCAATAGTACCAACAATGGGTTTTGCTGTAATATGAATTTGGAGTTGCAATAGCAGATCTTGGCGGTGCTCCTTGTATGATCCCTAAGCACATCCATGATCTCTTTCACCAGCACCCCAGCCAGCAAGGAAGTATTTGTGCAGGCGTTGTAGCCGGATTCCTCACTGCAATTATCACAAAACTGAAAGCCAGCAAGGAAGGCAACAATCATGAAAAATCCATAATAATGCGGTGTGTCCCACTGCTTCTTGCCCTGCGTCTCCTATTATATCGGTGTGCCGGATGCCAAAGACGGGCGCACGTTGCGGAATGGTGTTTTTTTCGGTGCTGAGTGCTTGACCACTGGACGTCAAAATTCTAGTTTACTGTCAAGTTCCCTCCCATCATTCCTTGGTGAATGACGTGATTAACATTGTTGGTTACAGATTGACTGTGAGACTATGCGTGAAGTATCAAAGATTTGCTAACTAGAAGTTGACCATAAGACCTCATTGCATGCGTGTCCTTCCTCATGTTGCCGATTGTTGATGCTGATTTGTAGCTGGATGAAGTGAAGGCCAGTGTGCTAGCCCTACCACCGGTGGAGGAGCCGTTTCAACTTCCCAGTCCGTGTAAGCTGTAATCCTGTTGTGCAATGGCCATTCGGCTGTCTGCTGATTGTTCCGTGCACTAACCTGTAAAAGCGACAGCAAGACAGTTCATGTAGGTGCGCTCATGTACTTGAAGTAACAATGTCATGTTGATTTGAGTGCATTCAAACACTGATCTCCTACACGCATTAGACGTGGCTGCACCGTGAGTGTCGCGCCACACAACCCTGCGAACCGTTCAGCGGAGTCTGATCTACATGGTTGTATGTATGGGTATGTAATTACAGACATACCGGCATGGATACATTGGTGCTGGGAACATAACGACCTTTTATGCGCGTCCAAGTATAACTTGATATCGCAGTGACTTACGGCTAAGGTTGTAGTCATGGCTGCATTGTAGTTCTGCTGTTTGGTGTGTATTCCCTGCACAGGCGACAATGCTATCCAGGAGGAAGCTGAAGTGCCGGACAAGAAATCAAGAAAGTCGCCCGGACCTGGAAGCAGAGCCAAGAGCAGCAGGTCTAGGGCTAGTGCAACTCCGCAGGCCAGCAAGGCGGAGGATTTCAAGGTAAGCCTATCCCGGCTGGTGTTGGTCGTGCCCAAACTAGCAATGCACACAATCATAGTGAATGAGCGTGCCATGGACATGGATATCTCATGGAGCGGAGCCATTATTTGATAAGCTGACACGTGCTCTTTTGTGCGTATTGTGGGGTGGCCACAGGATCCTAGACATGTCATTTATCATGAAGTGGAGCATTCATTTGAGCTAATGAGTCTAGTAATGACATCTGCTCCTTAGTGTGTTGTGTTGGTGTGGTTGCAGGACCACAATATTTAATGCTCTTCCAATTGTTGGCGTAGACTGGCATACCAATGACTTAAGGGAGTTGGCCTCAGAATGGCATTTCATTGGATAATGCTTCCTTTTATTACAACACATTATTGTGGGGAGAGTCAGACATTCATTTTATGAGTGGCCTGTATTCGGCATTGCTTTGCCTGTAATGATAATCAGGCCTAACAATAATCCAAGCTCATGTTGTATATTTACTTCGCTACCTGCATCCTTAGATCCAAACAGACAACAACAAGCTACCGGCAACCGAGCGGGTAGTCTGCCTGGCCGAAGCGCACGCGCTTTCTGCCAAGATCTACCTCAACTGCGAGCCAACCAACAGCGGCCATGAACACGTGCGCAAGGACACATTGGCTGCGGCAAAGCTCTACTGCCATATCTGGAGCTTGGCAACCGACCAGGCCGCGCTGCAAATTGCTTTCTGCAAGTTTCTGGAGGACGCCGGACCAGCGGCGTCGGACGCGAAGGCAAGTCCGAGCTGAGCGGTACTGTCTGCAATGTGCTCTCATTGAAAGATCAAGTTGCGTTATACATTTCTGTAATCTCTGAGACGCTGAGTCCTATCAATAGTTATCTTCACATCCATGCAATCTCTCTGCCAGTGATGACCCTCAAGATTTGTATGATTTCTGAACTTCTTGATGTGAAGCACTTAGTATATACACAATGAAAGGCCATTCAAAAAAGGATCTGGTTTTAAAGGACTACTACTTCAAGAAGGGGAATTGTTCTCCAAGAACAAATTCCTAGAGTGGACTTAGAAGGTTACAATTCCCCACAGCTATGTGCAGTGTTCATGTCTAGAACCTGGTGGGAAGTGTTCACTCATGTAACACTCATGAGTTTGAGGGGAAAGTTGCAAACGGGAAAAGTCTGAAGAAAACAAATTGACAGTCACCACCAGGTCTCAAACCAGGGACCCTTGCTTATGGCCACACTGTTTTGTTTGTTTGTTGTCTTTCTGAATAGGCGAAAGCCAAGGCAAAGCCTAAGAAGAAATCTCCCTCACCGGCAGTAGGCGCCGCCGTTGATGAGCCTCTCAGCTTTCCTTTGCCAGCTACTCCGGCCAATTGGTGCACGTATAATCTACCAGACAAGGTACACGTACATGTAGACATGTGTTTGTGTTGGCTATGCGAAATGTATATGTGCTGTGTAGAAGCTACCATCTTGTCTTTCTGCGTCGTATGGCAGTGATCAATGTCAGGACGGCAAATTCTGCTGAGTTCAAGCATTTCTCTGCTTGGAAGACATAGTCTCCTTCTTTGCTCTTAGGTGCTAGACCATATAATCGTGATCTTGTCTGAATTGCATCTATATTGCCGGTTACCTGTTCAACCACACTATGTTTAGGCGCACGAGATCGTTGGGCCTGGGTCAGCCCTTCCAGGTGCCATCAACACCAAGACCATCAAGAATGTGGTGAGTAGTTCTCTTGAGGATACACGTCTTTTGCAACAACTGCGCAAGGAGTTCTTCTTACGGGCTTCCGATTAATAGCTTGCTTACTGGCACAAGTACCAGCAAATGTGCACAGACAATAATTTGTCAAGCGTCGTAGACAATTCCCCGTGCTAGATTCTTGAGTTGTAGGTTCTGTCGAAATTCTGTGCTTCGTGGACAGTTATTGGACGTGGAGATTGCCTTTAGTTTTTGCCGTAGCTATCAGGAGGTGTTAGACTGTCTCAAGGAGGTCAGTCAAGGCGGTGTTCATCTCCTTTCTCTCTCTCGTCACTATTGCATTCCTAACCGAAGTCGGGTTGCACAACGATCATTGTATATCTACATCTGTGAGCTCTCCCCCACCCCTCCTGCCTTTCAGAATAATTCCTCTGGTACTGCTTATACTTCAGGTTGTAAGCTTACAGATGCATGTGATGTGAGTGGTGTTAAGCCCTACCCCCCCCCCCCCTCCATTCCATAGCCCTGTTCAAGATGTACATGCACCAGTATTAGAGTGCACAAACATGTGCGCTTGTGCGTTGGTTTGCCTATTGCCATGTTGCCTTGCCATGTTGCCTTGCCATGTTGCCTTGCCATTAGCCACGCACCCTGGAGTGTCTCCGATCAGTCGAGGACTGCCTGTCACGCATTGGACTTCTTCCCCTGATCTGTCCACTGCTTGCCTTGGAGAAGTACATCAATTCCTGGTACAGAGACTCCGACTACTCGACGTTCATACAGCTCAGGTACAGAGTCTGATCATGTGTAGCACTCCACGGACAGTGAAATAATGGGACCACGGTTTTGATAATATCACTTCAATGTCCTGTAGTAGAATACTACGGACCTGGCTCGCTCACACATTGTCGTCTGGAGAGTCTAACTCAAAAACTAATCTTTCATGGATATGTTATGCATTATATCATGTCATGGACTACGGAGCTTAGGCTAGGATCAGTACGGTGCTTGCACATAACAGACAGCAGGCTGACCAGGAATAGAAAGCTACATTACGCAATGTATCGGCAAGAACATCAGCAGACCTAATCAACCATAATCAACTATATTTCTAAGGGGTCGTCACAAGGAGGGAAATCTGGCGACCATCTGGTGGAATAGCGATACCTACACCTACATAGAACACCAAACAATGCACATCTATGGTTCCAGCACAAGCACGGCAGGGCATGTACCTGTCAGCAGTACGTAGTACAGTCATAGTCATACATAGATGTACCATGCAACTGAGTTACTCGCTAGTCGATGCAGGACATGCAAGGATGGCACCTTGTCCAGTACAGTACAATCACACCCCTCTCCTAGGTGACATCTCCACTCGACTCTAGCCATTGTATCTAGCTGGACGCGCCAAGGTTCCACGGTCACGTAGGACATAAGCCGGTGCAGGGCGATCGTCGTCGTCGTCCGCTGGCTCCGGCTTCTCAAGCCACATCTCACCATCACCGTCGTCACGCCCATCGTCGGCGCTCGTGTGCGCCTGCTCCGTCGCTCCTGGACGCGGAGCACCATCCTGCTTGGCACTCTGTGGGTGTCGTACGTCAGGCTTGAGAAGGTTGATGTTCACGACTTTCTCCCCGCCATCATCTCTGGTGATGACTACTGTCGACGGCGCAATGATCTTCTTCACTTTCCAGCCGCACTGGTATGGCGGAGTCAACTTGCGTCGCCGGCCAGGCTGTTTCAGCATCACACATTGCCCCTCTGTGTAGGGTGCCTCGAACTTGGTGATTGGCTTCTCCGGAGTCGTAGCAGCAAGCTCCACCTCCACGTGGTCGCGGACCCTTGCTGCTGTCTCGCCAACTCGGTCAACCCACTCGCTCAGTAGGGCTTCTGGTTCCTCAGCCTCGATGATCAGCTGGCGCGGCTGCCATGAACACATGGCCAGCATCGGCGGTATGGCTGTCGTGGTGTGTGGCCTCGTGCGGTAGTAGTAGAGCAGCAGATCCAGCTCAGTTTTCCAATCTGCTGCTTCTGTGAGGACCTTCCGCATCAGCGTGATGATGGCCCTGTTTGCCCTCTCGACACCTCCCTGCGACTGCGGGTGACGTACGGCCCCTGTCTTCACACGCACGCCGAACCGTGCGAAGAGAGCTCGGACAACGGCGTTCTTGAACTCGGAGCCATTGTCCATACGGACTTCGTCTGGCGGGCCCCAACGGCAGCAGAGGCTGGTCAGCGCTTCTGCAACACTGGTCGCATCGTGCCGCCTGAGAGGGATTGCCTCGACCCACTTCGTAAACACATCCACGCACACCAACACGCAGTGGTACTGACCGGATTTCTCCTCTCCCAGGTGAAGTGTGTCGATCTGAACGACACTCCACGGCCGCCCAGGCAGGTCTGGCTGCGTCGGCGGCGCTGCGGGTCCTGCGTGGCTGCTAGCGGCTGCACACTGTCGGCACTGGTCACAATACTCCCGGCACCTAGCCGCCATGCTGGGGAAGAAGCAACGTGCGCGGAGCATGTCGTACATCACACTCCAGCTGGCATGCCCGGACATCACGTGGGCCGACTCGAGAACGCTGTGCTCAAGGCACTCCGGAACGATCGGCACAGTGACAACGCCGAGTGCAGGCAGCTTGAGCGTGCGGCTCAGCTGGCCGTCCTTGATGACGAGCTGTTCACGAATCTTCCGGTAGGTGGCGTGCTGAATCTCGCTGTCGCTCTCGATAGCACTGACCAGCGTCTGAATCAACGGGCACTTCCGCTGGGCATCACAGACGTCGTCACAGCCAATGACGGTCGCCGGCTGCTTCATTGCCATGGACGCGGCAACTTCCGGAGATTCGTCGCTCTCGGGAACGCGAGCTATCTGCAGCCACTTCTTTGGGACACGGGTCAGTCTGTCAGCGACATTCTCGTTCGTCGGTACCCAGCCAACTGTTACCTTCAGGCCAGCCGTTGCGACTAGGTCTTCAATGATGTCCAGACGGCGCACAACGAGAAGCTTGTGGAGGCCAGTGACCCTGACTTGTCTGACGTTCCCGAGGACCTGCGACACCCAGCCTGCAACCGCCTTCGAGTCAGTCACTAACGTCACCTTCTCCACCTTGTACTCCGCGGCGAGTGTTAGCGCCCTTAAGACGGCGTCCAGCTCGGCAATGTTAATGTGTTTGTGGTCACGTGGCTCGCGCAGCCACGAGCAGTCTTCGATCGTAGTACCATCGTGATGCAGGGAAGCTCCAATGGCGACGTCCGACGTGTCGCAGAACACGGTCCAGCCGTCGCTATCCAGCGATGGAACACGCCACGCACCTCTTGCAGGGTCTGACTCCCGGACCATGTCGGCCAGCTCTGCGCAGCACCTGGCGACCGCTTCTGGCACGGCGTCATCCCAGCCATCAGCTGAGCAGGCCTGTCGCTTCAACCACGCACATGCCGGGCGGAGCCACGAGCACACTGGGTAGTGGCTAGTCAGGCGTCCCGTCCACTTGAAGACCTCACGCTTTGTCAGCGGCTGTTCGAAGCCAAGGTTGACACCTCCTCTACGAGCCCAGTTGACCGTGCCGTCACTTTCCTTTGACAGTTGGAGACCGAGAACTCTGGCCGCGGTGAGCGGTTCTGCGGGCTTGGTCGGCAGACCGTAGCGGTGAAGAGCGGACGTCACAGCTTGCTCTTTCGCTCCCGGAACGAGCACATCGTCGACGTAGCTATCAACATCCTGCCACTCTCGGGTCACCCAGCGGACGATGATGTCCATCACCTTGGGCGCGACGGACAGGCCGAAGCCCATCCTCGTCATCACGTACAGCTTTTCTCGCCAAACGACAACCTGGTAGCGGGCGAGCGACGGGTCTACATGAACCTGGAGATAGGCCTTCCTGATGTCAATTAGCTTGCACTCTTGATCGCTGGCCATGCGCCACTTCCGCAGTTTATCGGCGCAAACGGGCGCCTCGGTCCCCGGATTGGATTTGATGACACCGTTCAGTGCTCGGTAATCTAGACACGGCCGGACTGGGGTAGAGGCTTTGTGTTCTTGGACCTTGGCTAGCAGAGGCAGGATAGCTGCCGGCTCCCCGTGTACGGATGGGTCGTGCTCCACCAGCCAGCCGTTCTCCACCCAAGCATCGACTTCGGTACAGAAGCTGGCTTCCTGCTCCGGCGACAGCCGCTTACTGTCCAATGCCGGAACCGATCTGTTTGGTTGGCGGTTCATCATCAGCCCACATCCATCGCACGATCCAGCGCTGGCTTGCGCTGTCCCACCGGACCTCGCTGTCGTCCGTTCTCAGCACCACATCCTCTCCGTCCTTGCTCACAGTCACGTGCCGAGAAGGGTGAGCGGCCGGCACTGTCGCCGCCACGATGGCAGGACGGTCAGTTTCTGGGGCGCCGAACTGGACACTCGACAGGGAACCATCGTCACCATACCCGAGGTGAACTCCTCCGACAGCCGCAATCACGTCAGCGCCAACGAGGACGTCTGCATTCACAGCGTCCAACTTCCGGACAACGAAGGCTTTCACTTGCGTCCGCGGAAGATGAACCGGGCAGCCCGCCTCTACTCGCTCTACCAGCAGCTCTACGGCTCCAAGCAGCTCGACTGCGCTGCCGTTCAGGGCGTTCATCTGGACTTCAGTGTCGGGTTCATACTCGATGCCATGGTCAGTAAGGAAAGCCTCAGCCACCAGAGAGCGTGTGGCGCACGTGTCTACTGCTGCCCTTGCTCTCTTCCATGCACTCGTGCTTTGGTCCCGCGGCTTGACATCGACATACACCCTGGGCAGAGTCCCCTGTCCTGCCTTCGTCACTGTGCAGAGGCACTTGTCAGTGCTAGCTCCGCGCTCGCCAGCAGCTGCAGCAGCAGTGCCGCCCTTCGAAGCCGCTTCCCATCGCTCACGTGCAGGGCAGTTTCGCTTGACGTGGCCAGGCTTATCGCAAAAGAAGCACGTGAGCCCGCGAGGCTGAGAACGACCACGCCGATCGCGGCTCCTTGAAGGGCAGTTTCGGCGGAGGTGCCCAACTTTTCCGCACTCGAAACAAGCCGAGCTGGCAACTGGCTGGCTCTTTCCACTACTGCTACTGCTCGCCGCCGCTGCCACTTCCTCCGAGGCTCTAGCTAGCAATCGCGAGTCGCTCTGCGCTGACCTCAGAGCTCGGATCGATGCCAAACACCCGCTCACGGAATGTTCCTTCGAGGCCATGGACAAGCGTAATTCCTTCGCGAAGGCGCTTGGCAATCCGGACACCATCTGTTCGATCAACAATGGGTCCTTATCATCGTCGGCGGCGTGCCCCGCCAGGCTCGCGAGCCTCTGTAGATCGGCCACGTACGCATCGGTCGACTCGTCTTCTCGTAGAGTCCGAGTCGTGAATGCACGGTACGCCTGTGCCTTCGTCAGGCTGAAGGACACTTTCATCTTCTCGTTCACCTTCTCCTCGTCCTTCTGGTCGTCGGCCGGCATCCGCGTGAATACCAGGAACGCGTCTCCATCCAAGAACAGTGGAAAGTTCTTCATTCGTTTCTCCGCAGTATCCCATCCTTGGATCTTGGCTAGGACGCTGAACTTCCCCCAGAAGTGTTCCCAGTCGTCCCCTTTGCCACGATACGCACGAACGAAGTTGTCGACCTTCAGCGACGCCATCGTAGATCGCTGTTCCTGCTGCTCCACCGCTAGAGCTTGAGCGTTTCCTGCGTACTCCGCCGGTACGACGCTGTGAACCCTTTGCGAGAGATCCCGGGTTTCGGCACCACAAAAGCTGTAGTAGAATACTACGGACCTGGCTCGCTCACACAACGTCGTCTGGAGAGTCTAACTCAAAAACTAATCTTTCATGGATATGTTATGCATTATATCATGTCATGGACTACGGAGCTTAGGCTAGGATCAGTACGGTGCTTGCACATAACAGACAGCAGGCTGACCAGGAATAGAAAGCTACATTACACAATGTATCGGCAAGAACATCAGCAGACCTAATCAACCATAATCAACTATATTTCTAAGGGGTCGGCACAAGGAGGGAAATCTGGCGACCATCTGGTGGAATAGCGATACCTACACCTACATAGAACACCAAACAATGCACATCTATGGTTCCAGCACAAGCACGGCAGGGCATGTACCTGTCAGCAGTACGTAGTACAGTCATAGTCATACATAGATGTACCATGCAACTGAGTTACTCGCTAGTCAATGCAGGACATGCAAGGATGGCACCTTGTCCAGTACAGTACAATCACAGTCCATGGAATTGTCAATGACTTCCATGCCCATGTATCGGGCAGCAGCTCCCCTCCCCCCACACACACTCATGCATACACATGCACAATTTCAGCTTTCATAGACTGCGTGAGTTTATACCTGTACAATAGATCTGCAATGTCACATGCCATTGGAAATGTCATGCCGATATCCTCATTTGTTTTTGAAAATTGAGCGACCGGTGCTAGAATGAGTACTGTCTATTGCTCGTAAGCCTAGGGAGACCTAGGGAGACCTAGAGTGGCCATTGAAACCACTGCCCCTCATTGATGTGGTGCACTCTTGACAATGCTGGTTGCCTGGCATGAGCAAAAGTTCCTAAGCTGGTTGTGTTTTTTTTTCATTACGATTGTATAGCAGGTGGTGTCGTGAACGTGTGAACTGGGTTTTTTTTTTACTCCTGGCAATGACAGGTCGTTCATCTGTCTCTCTCTCTCTCTCTCTCTCTCTCTCTCTCTCTCTCTCTCTCTCTCTCCTGTGTTTGTATGTACGTGTGCATGTGTGTACCCAATCCAGGACGTTGGATGTTGCCTGCAAGTTGGAGTTGAACACTGTGATTCCTACTCTAACTGAAGGCAATGAATTCCCTACCAATGTTCAAGTACATGAGTTCACGCATCTAAAGTAAGTTCCACAGGCACGCAGCCCGCATGGGGCACAGGGGGGGGGGGGGGCACATGCACTCCACCCCCTAAAAATGTCCACCTAGGCTCAGCATGCACGTAATGACCATGAATGACATGTACCAGCCATGCTACACAAGAGTCATGGGCTGAGTAAACATTATAAAAGGACTTTTGGGGTCAGTTTATATTTTTTACATATTTTGATTTACTATGGCTATTACTAGACGCTTCTGCAGCCGAAATGTGGGGTCCATATGGCACATATAAATGGTCCTAATCAATACGTAAAGTATAGCATATACAACTTCAGCATTTCAGGAAATGTATGTCACCGTTATTGTTCTGAGCATCGGCTGGTGGAGTCGACAGGCCATTCCAGGAAGTCAATCACATGAACTATGCCCAAGGGAGATCGTCACCAGGTTCAGTTGAGAGATAAGGAGAGATTTCTTTTTCCAGGTAGGTTTCCCGATCATCTGAAAGCCCCTTTGCGGGCAATTCCGGCGGCTGAATTTCAGGATCTTTTGGCGCAGCGACTTTTTGTAGCTGGACCATCAGGTATCGCGCAACACTCAATGTGGGTTGCATTTTCACTGTTCATGTGGAAATGCTGGTAGTTGAGGATGCCTTTGATTGGCTTGAACCACTTCAAGAGAAAAGCATCCCACTACCGCCAGCTCCAGGAGAACATCACCGCTTTGTTCAGCCCACATGACGAATTGACTGCGTCAGAATTTGAAAGCTGACTGCGGGCAAGGAAACTGGAAAGACAGCAAGCTCTGTTGTGCGCACAGGAAATCTGCGCATGCGCAGAGCGTAGGCATGTGATGTCTATGATACACAGCAGTATGTGGAGAGAGCAAGATCGTGCACACACGTAAGGAGGGTTATGCAACCCGTTATAAAGGCCAACAGCGAAGCAATGGTACGTGACTGTTAACAACGGTTAACTCCTACGTTATCTGAACATTTTGTCCCGTGCAGTCGTCAGCATGACAGTGGAGTGTCCTCTTCACACCTGCATGCTCTAAACAGTAGTGCAGCATGGACAAGACAAGACCGCATTCAGCCCGTGGGCTTTGCTACCATCTGCACCGATACACTGGAGCTCTCCTAACAGAAAGTTCCACTGCTCGTGCTTGGACTCCTGGACAATGCCAAAGAGCTGGACACGAAAGGCCACCTTGAAATAACTGAGGTCCAACGTCTCTGGTGTGGCAAGGAAGTTCCTACTGCTGCGCACAATCAAAAGTGGCATGGGTGGTGCCTTCATCCTCCAAATCAAAAGAAACTTTGGAGCTCCGGATAGCTTCGTTGTAGTAGACACGTTCAGTGCTGGCTTTGTTCAAGTGGTCCGTCTGTTCATCCTTTGCCTTTTTTTGTCTTTCTCTGTTCGAGCACGGCTGACGATGTAACGGAGCCTGTCACACTTTGCGCAGACGTCGGATCTCCGCTTCATGACGAGGATATGGGGAAGATGCGCATTCCACACCCGCCGGAATGAACGATAACTGACTTCACGCACACCACTTTCTTTTAGAACTTCATTGCCTTGTTTGTACAGCATGACCTTCTTGTGGCTTTCTTGTAAGTATACAGATGGTTGATGCGGGTGACAGTTCAATCCTTCCTCGGCCAGGTGCAGGAGGGACACTAGTGTATGATGCCACAAACTGTTTACGTTGCAGAACACCTCCTGACAGCCATTGACACCTAGTATATTATAGCGGAACCCCCTGCGCTCGTCAGCACTACTTTTTGGCAAGATGCTGCGAGCTAACTGGCCCAACACGTACTGTATCAGACTAGCTTTGTCCAGTTGCTTGATTGACACCATCAGGTTGCACAGGTCCTCCATTGGCAGATCATGGTAATAATTTTCCCTTTGCACTTGCAGCCTGTGGACGCGTCATCATGTAGATCCAATTCGATTAGCGCCGCCAGGTCCAGCTTGCCTGCGGGCTTGACACCGGTTTGCAAGGAGGAATCGCGCGCTGCCGCTCTCTTCACATTCAGAGAAGTACTCATCGTCATCACTGCAGGGGGGGGGGACAGCGATGGCTGCTGCTGTCGATGCCCGGTGAGAGTGTTTTGCAGGTGAATAGTCGTCGTCGTCGTCGGAGCTTGAGTCCAGAGCCAAGCACTGCCTTATACACACCTTATCCTCTTTCGTAGGCGATGGCTCTGGAGAACTGCAATGGAATGGTCAATGAAGATACAAAACACAGTAGGGACTGAGGGGAAATTATAGTTGTGTCATTGCCTGAAGATTGCCCAGAAAGTGAAACTCAGTAAACTATTGTTTTCCTCTCTTCCTGTACGCCCCCCCCCCCCCCCCTCACTCTACCACACTGTGTTGAACACTCTTCATTCGGTGGTGAACGCTGTTTATGTTTTGCTGAGCCTCTGAAGCAATATCTATCTACGCTCCTTCTTTTTCTGTGCTTCACGACAGGCTACGGACACACCTGGGCAAGATTCGTGAACAAGAGGTGGAGCCGTCATCTCCTCCCTCGACTGCCTACAGATCCTGGGCAGAATGGGCTATGATTCTCTGCCGTATGGTAAGCGTGTGCACCAATCTTATCCATCTGGTTTCTTGCCACAGCATGATACTATTCTTCAAACCGTGACTTGTAAATACAGCTAGAAGGATCAATCAGACAGGAGGCAGCTATGTTTTCACCATGATAGGAGGGGCTAAGTCTTACTCTTTTTAAATGGCATGAGACCTATGTTCCGACAGCTGGGTCCCAAATCAACACCTCTGCAGTAAAACTACTGACCAACACTCTCAAAACAGTTATGTGGGCATATCTATTATCAGCCCGAAGAGTACCAAAGCAGGCATCATGCACACTACAAAGGAAAACCCCACAACAATAGGCAAAGAATAGCAACAGACGCAGTATACAATAGCCCAGAGTCTGCATAGGAAACTTGGTAAGCGCAGAAAGGTCATGACTATGTGTAGAGAGCGACTACTAGAGAAAAAAAGGTATTCGCATACGAAAGTGTGCAGGGTTAATAGAAAGTTGTGCACACATACGAACAGTTCAGTACATATGAACATGGATAGGTGTAGCTGTGAAGGCTAGACCCCATGCTGGCGACATGCATGATACTTGGTGCTTTCTTTGAATAGAGCCGTCTGTGCAACTTACCTGTGAAATCTTGTGTGGTTTGGATACTGCATAATCCGGAGTATAAGTGGCACCCAGATTTTCGGTTACGAAATACAGACATTTGCCCCGTATTTCTCAGTGTATTTGACCATTGTAGTTTAAGCCGCACCGACGTTTTGGAAAATACGTTAAGGTCAAAGGTACGACACGTATGTTTGCTGGCTCATCTGTCTTTGTCTCTCTGTGCCCCCCCCCCCCCTCCACTCCCACCCCATCTTTCTCTCTCTCTCTCTCTCTCTCTCTCTCCCTCCCTCTCTCCCTCTCTCCCTTCATAACAGGGGTGTCTGCACAAGGCACTGGACATTGCCTTGATTGTGGAGCCGATAGCACGGGTAAGATGAACACGTGTACAGTGGAACTCACCTACTTCCTCCGTTAACAAAAACTTCGTGATGGAATTTTGAGGGGCTGATTTGGGCACAAACTGCCGTGAAATGAGTCGCAATCACTTTCTTGGCCTTCCCTGGCATGCCATGACAGAGGTACGATGCAAGGAAAGCGACCTTTCACAACAAGCCAACCGGAATCGATGGTTGCGCTGTGGAAACATAGGTGATGACAGTCATGGCGAGCGAAACTGAAATACCACTTCTCCGAGGGGATATTGCGCTGCTTGGCCTCTCTACCACTTTAGTGCCGAGTACGTTGAAGAGTGATAGAGAGCGATAAAACGGAGCAGCGAGCCCACACAATGAGCGAGTGAACAAGGAGCTGCTCCGATCTCACGGCTCAATGAAAATAATTCTTTACTCAAGTTCTTGTTCAACCTGCCCAAAGCCCAGATTTGAATGCTGATGACCATGCATTCTTTCAGAAGTCTGCAGTCCGTGGCTAAGGAAAGTCGACTGGACTTGCTAGCCGCTGCCGTTCAGTGCTGGTATCCATTAGAGAAAATGGAATCAATTTGGCTGTGCCTTTACTCCTCGTTTCGCGGAGTTCTGGAGAGCAAAGATGAAACCAGGGAGTCGTAAAATATTGTTGTAACTCGCTTTTCTCTGCCTGCTCCCAGTCCCGTGCCATCTCCACACTTATACAAAGGGGACGACGATAACTACATTTAGAGGACTGTTTATTGACACGACGAAGAAACACAACTAGACATGACGAACTCAAGACGAAGACAGCTTGAACTCTCAAGACGAAGACTGCTTTTCACACCACAGCAACACGCGCATGCACCAACATGACGTACACACGACGTACACAAAATAACGTACTACAACATAACTCCCTCCCAAGAGTAGAATCGTCCTCGATTCTAATAATAAAACAGAGTAAAAAGAGGAAAAGATCACACAAATCACTCAATCATACCACACCAGTCACATCCATAAATAAAACACCTCTGCCTGCACTGCAGATTATTTTAAATCTGCTGTCCGCCCACCCAGAACACCAGCCACGATCGCTGTCACACGTGTGGGAACTGATAACCTCAAAAACTCTAAACTACTGCACACAACACACCACCTCACGATCACGCAAAAATTCTAAAAATGTGAGAGCACAAATCATAGGAATAACAAAAAGAACAAAATCCACTGGCTCTGTGGGGGCCTCTAGTTATCCTCATAGAAGAGCAAATCAAAAAGCGAACAGAACACACGCGCTGTGCGGGCGCCTCTTTACCCTCGAGGAGAGCAAATAATAAAGAACAAAATGTTGGGAGAACAGAAAAATACACAACTCACATACTCATCACGTTCACAACAACACACGTACCCTCTCACCAACGAAACTCCTCACGCCGTCTGCCATGCCGTCCGCCATCTCAAGGAGCGCTGCTCAGCGTCCACATCCTCACACTGCAGCCTTCACTTTCCATCCTTCTTTTTTTCTGTTTCAGTTTTTCTTCTGGGCACAGTTTTACGTCGTGTCCGGGACCACCAGTGACGACGACTGCCAAGAGACGGGAGAGACGAATGATGAAGGACGAGGACGACGGACGAACTTCTTCAAGACGGACAAAACTGTGACGATAGGACGACTGGAGATGACATCGGAAACTGGGAGCGAAGGCCACGCAGGACGAATCCAGAAGTTGAGATTTACAAATTTCCATTACCGCTGCCACCAATGTTGTAACTCGCTTTTCTCTGCCTGCTCCCAGTCCCGTGCCATCTCCACACTTATACAAAGGGGACGACGATAACTACATTTAGAGGACTGTTTATTGACACGACGAAGAAACACAACTAGACATGACGAACTCAAGACGAAGACAGCTTGAACTCTCAAGACGAAGACTGCTTTTCACACCACAGCAACACGCGCATGCACCAACATGACGTACACACGACGTACACAAAATAACGTACTACAACAATATGTTTCACCACTCCCTGGTGGAAAGGAGTAATCGCCATCGCGGCGGACCACGCAGCTTGAAAGCAAACTTACTTGAACGACGGCGACATCAAGCGGAGTGTGATCAAAGAAGCCGAGGCAAGGCTGAAACGAGCTGAACAACGAATTCGAGAGAGATGACTACTCGCGTACAGCAGATGACGACTCGCGTGCAGCAGATGACGACAGCGACGCAGGTCAAAATGGATCGAGCGAAAGCGACGCAAACTGAACTCTCTGCTCATTCCGCCAACAGTTTCTCTTGTCAAGAGGCTGTACATTGGCTGAATCACCTTCGTCCAGTGATTTGCAGTCGATACAAACTGTTCTTGACCTGTTCTAAGCGTTTTCATATCCATCAAAATCCATCACGAAGTTTTTGTTAACGGAGGAAGTAGAACATTCTCTGATACTACATGTACTTACTCTTGCTTAGTAAGGACAGTGTCTGGAACATGCTTGTACTGGTCCATATTGATTTACTCTCAAGTACGAAGCACCCTTGGTGCTAAGTTCACTTTTCTGCTACCCATGGGGGTGCGTCTCATCAGAAGTCTACCGCACTTGAAATTTCTGACGTAGCTGAAGCCGGATTACTGCCGCCTCTGAATATTATTGCAACCGCACAATAAATCATCTGATGTGACCATTGCATGTATGCTTCAATGTTTTCTGCCATGCTTCAGGAGATCGGTGACAAGGCAACACTTACTGTTGTCAACCTCGTGCTGGCTCAAGTCTACCTTCGCCTGAGGCAGTTTGACAAGGCACTGGAGATAGCCAAAGGAGCACTAGTAAGTCATGCTTGTAGACAGGAGAACGCTTTGCTTACACTGCCAGGGCAGCACTGGTAATTGCAAAATTGAAATGCCAGTTGATATATGTTTAAAAACACACACACACACACACACACACACACACACACACAAAACATTGAGTCATAAGAACTAGTAACAGCTTTTGTAGGATTTGTTTGCAAAATGTTCATGCTACAAGCCCAAGTAAACATATGCATGTACATAATAATTATTATACATACATAGGCCTATTAATTAAACTGTATATCTCATTCTTTCTCTGTGTGCGTGCGTGTGTATGTGTTCAATGGTCCTGTTCTGTTCTGTTCTTTTCTGCAGAAGATCACTCCGCTCGAGTCACCGCATATCTGCGATCTAGCGACCGTCCTCGTAGAAGCTATCTGCTCACTGCCTGGTGACCTTCAGGTTCGGATAGCACTCGATATGCATTTAACAACCTCATTGGCTTCCCAGTGTGGCCTGGCTTTACTATGAGCTACCTGCTGCATATATGCTTTCGCATATCAAATATCATAAATATATCAGTACAGAGCTGAGGTGCTGCTGAGTGACAAGGATAGTTGTAATGACCAAAATGTTACATGTTATGTGTAGTTTGTGTCTTTGTAGATATTTAATCCCTGGCTCTCCATCCGGGTCATAATTGTAATGGTGGGGCAATACTTGTGAACTCTACTTTTCTTTTCTTCAGGTCAAGGAGAAGACCTGCCTGAACACGCTCGCAAAGCTGAAGCAGCTTTTCCAGAAGCTTCAGAGCACCGCATGCCGGTATAAGTTCAACCACATGTGGAACCTTGCCGTTATGCGTCTCAGGTAAGTTCTGGTTGCCATGTAGTGAAGTGTTCCTCCAGGAAACCTGAACACCTTTTCTACAACCTTTGTCTACCCAGTTATAGTATGCGCACGTTGGCCGTTGTAGCAATGGAAGGGGATTCAGATGAACACAATAATGACGATCTTGTGGTGTTATGAAGAGGAAAGGGTGATACATGTTTGTTACCAACTGCACAGGAAAGAGAGAGACAGACAGACAGACAGACATACAGACAGACAGACAGACAGACAGACAGACAGACAGACAGACAGACAGACAGACAGAGACAGTACAAGAGAGAGAGAGAGAGAGAGAGAGAGAGAGAGAGAGAGAGAGAGAGAGAGAGAGAGAGAGAGAGAGAGAGAGAGAACTCTGGCTCACGCTTAGCCTCTTGTAGAGCAAGGCAGCCCCATACTTGTGCTTGTGTTAGCCGCAAGCTTTTGACCCTACTACCCTGCATAGCAGTGTTAGATGTGGATGCTCTTCCCCAATATCCATGTGCCCTGTCATCTCTCTGCATGTTCAGGATTGTACAGACACGATTGTCGGGCATTGGCCAGCAAGTAACAGCCACTGAGCTGGATTTTCAGGTAATTCTCATGTTTTATCATGGTCTTCACTAGTTTGAGGGAAAGAGACAAACGGGAAAAGTCTGAAGAAAAGATTGACTGTCACCACCAGGACTCGAACCAGGGACCCTCGCTTGTAGCTAGCGATGCTCTAACCACTGAGCTATGGTGTAGTCGTCATCCCAGCAGAGACTGTTCAACATTTTCTTCAGACTTCGCAACTCACACTTCCTGTGAATCCACACAGGCGGGTGGGACGCAGCCCTCACTGTACCCACACACTTCACGTACACTCTAGCACGCGGGGAGCCCCAAGTCATAAAATCTTCACTAGTTTGAGGGAAAGAGACAAACGGGTAGTGGTCTTTGTCTGAAACCTTTCTAGACTTGGCCTTGGCACTTTCGTGCTGCGGAAGTGCATTCTGCAATACCCTGACTGGACAAGTGGAATGTCGTGTGCTGGCAGATAGTGTAGAAACTATTTTGTATTTTCTTGCTCTGTGTGTGGGTCGAGAGAGCAGTTGTTGCAAGAGTAACCTTGAGCAATCACTCTTGCTTGACAGCATTCTTGTTGAATTCGGGACGCGGTGAAGCACAACGCCACGGGCCTATTCTCATGAGTTGGGAACCTGGTATTTGTTGTTATGTTCTTCAGGAGCTGGCAGACTTGCATGAGATCTTCTTGAGCGTAGGCGGTGTTGAGGAGGCAGCTGAATGCTGTGAATTGGCTCTGAAGTCCTGGATGTAAGCATGTACAGTCTAAAGGTGTTGCTGGATGCATGCCATGCCGTGTGATATGTCAATTCATTGCCGGCTTTTTCTTCGTGCGCCGCACATTGTCTGCTTTTGTTGGCATGCATATCCTAACATACTCCACTCACCTTTTTTGTCAGCCGCGGAAAGTTGACAGTCACGTGCCAATGACTTTCCATGGTTTTCAGGCAATTTTTCCATTGATTTACTAGGGAAGAAAGCAGTGATGCAAGAGGGGGAGGGGGGGGGGGTGCAGTCCAGTCACCTCTTGTACTACTTGTGCTTTATTCAAAGTGTACTTGTACACTTGATTCATATGCATGTTTGTGTGCTTGCGTGTGTGCGTGCATGTGTGTGTGTGGGGGGGGGGCATACTTGTTCGATTGTGTATGCATGTGAATATGCGTGTGCATGTGTGTCTTCTCTGTGTGTGCGTGTGTGTGTGCGTGTGTCTGTGTCCCTGTATGCTTGTGCTCGCACCATACATCAGGTCAAAGACCTGTATCAACAATGAAATTCGCTGGGATTTTGTACTGAAGGTAAGGTGCAGGCTGATGGTTTGCTTCGTTAAGTCATTGTTGACAGAAGCTCCAGCTCCTCTTTGGATGAACCTGGTGCCGTCGATATGGTAGCTGACGTATACACTGTGTCAGGAATAGTCTCAGGCTCTCAATGGTCCATTGTAGCTACTTCTCCATTGCTTGATGGTCAAACATGAAGGACTATACATCTAGGTGCACTGATGAAAGTCACTCTCTTCATGATACAGGTAGGGGCATCGGAAGGTATTTTCGGGTGGTACGGTCGGCCACCTGACGTACAATTTACTCTTGGGGCTGGGGTGTCTCCCCTGGAAATGAAATCAGAATGCTCTGTTTACATTGGTTTCTCTCAGGCATATTGTTGTGGACAACGGGCAGTATCCCTGCTTTGGGCGCACCGCACCGGCGTTGTCGACGAAGTGAAGTTTCTTCCTTACCTGGTAAGCCAAGGCAAACATGACACCAAGTACCCTCCCTCTCACTTTCTACCCCCCCCCCCCCACCCCCCCCCCATCCCTCGTTTTGTCTATTTCCCTCAATAAACGTTTATGGTCATCCTGGCACAGTAGAATTAAATGCACAACTGTCTTTGTTATCATCAGGTAGAAGTTCAGCTACCTGCATCACTTCATACTTGAATCTTGGTTACTCTAGTACGCTGAAGTGCCGCTGATGCCGAGGCCTCAGGTCGGCGGAGATAATCCACTGAGTCTCACCACCACAGCTGCGACTGCAGCCACCTCTATCATGCAATATTCTGTTCCCGAGGTTGTGGTTTCTTGTAAAAATTAAAAAATAGAACCCACTGGACTTCTATCACGTAGTATGTGTAAAGTCTCTTTTTCAACTGCGTTGTCTTTCCAGTGCGGCGAAGGCAGTTACTACACCTTGCCGTGCGAGCGCGGATATGCCAAGGCCATCCTGTCTCTCCGGCAGCCACTGACACCCGTAGTAGATGACTATGTGTCAAAGCGACGGCATGACAGCGACTGGTGGACGTCACTAACAGACATGGAGAAGGTAGGATGCTTTAAAGCTTGTGACGAAGCATTCACACCTGTTGGATGAGATGCTTATACTGTAGGAGCAGACTTTGCCTTTTCCAGTGAAATTCTGTTTTCAAACTGTACACCAAGTTGCGGGCAGCGAACATTGAGCAATCCGAGCAATGTCGTTGTCCATGGCCATTTGCTTTATCACTTTAAAAAATTGTATTTTCCTGTGCTTAGGAGCATTTTGAGACCTATTCTTTCTCTGATGTTACTACAGATCACCCTCATAAGTACGACATTGGTTACAAGACAAAACTCACTAGTAGACAATGGTCAACAATTCCCTGATGCCTGAGACGCGTACATTTGTTGTAACTGCCTTTCTCTACCTGCTCCCAGTCCCGTGCCATCTCCACACTTGTACAAAGGGACGACGATAACTACATTTAGGAAGACTGTTTATTGACACGACGACGAAACACAACTAGACATGACGGACTCAAGACGAAGACTTCATGAACTCAAGACGAAGACTGCTTTTCACACTACAGCAACACGCGCATGCACCAACATGACGTACACACGACGTACACAAAATAACGTACTACAACATAACTACCTCCCAAGAGTAGAATCGTCCTCGATTCTAATAATAAAACAGAGTAAAAAGAGGAAAAGATCACACAAATCACTCAATCATACCATACCAGTCACACCCATAAATAAAACCTCTGCCTGCACTGCAGATTTTTTTTAACTCTTCCGCCCACCCAGAACACCAGCCACGATCGCTGTCACACGCGTGGGAACTGATAACCTCAAAAACTCTAAACTACTAGTACTTCACCCAACACACCACCTCACGATCACGCAAAAATTCCAAAATGTGAGAGCACAAATCATAAGAATAACAAAAAGAACAGAATCCACTGGCTCTGTGGGGGCCTCTAGTTATCCTCATAGAAGAGCAAATCAAAAAACAAACAGAACACACGCGCTGTGCGGGCGCCTCTTTACCCTCGAGGAGAGCAAATAATATAGAACAAAATGTTGGGAGAACAGAAAATACAAAACTCACATACTCCTCACATTCACAACAACACACGTACCCTCTCACCAACTAAACTCCTCATGCCGTCTGCCATGTCGTCCGCCATCTCAAGGAGCGCTGCTCAGCGTCGACACATCCTCACTTCTGGGCACAGTTTTACGTCGTGTCTGGGACCATCCGTCCTTCTTCTTTTTAAATTGTTTAGCTTTTCTTCTGGGCACAGTTTTACGTCGTGTCCGGGACCATCCATCCTTCTTTTTCTTTTCCTTTTCTTCTGGGCACAGTTTTACGTCGTGTCCGGGACCATCCGTCCTTCTTCTTTTTTTTTAGCTTTTCTTCTGGGCACAGTTTTACGTCGTGTCCGGGACCACCAGTGACGACGACTGACAAGAGACGGGAGAGACGAATGATGAAGGACGAGCACGACGGACGAACTTCTTGAAGACGAACGAAACTGTGAAGATAGGACGACTGGAGATGACATCGGAAACTGGGAGCGAAGGCCACGCAGGACAAATCCAGACAACAAATTTTTATCACCGCTGCCACCAATGTTGTAACTGCCTTTCTCTACCTGCTCCCAGTCCCGTGCCATCTCCACACTTATACAAAGAGACGACGATAACTACATTTAGGAAGACTGTTTATTGACACGACAACGAAACGCACAACCAGACATGACGAACTCAAGACGAAGACATGCTTAACTCAAGACGAAGACTGCTTTTCACACTACAGCAACACGCGCATGCACCAACATGATGTACACACGACGTACACAAAATAACGTACTACAACACATTCACGTCCGGATAGTAGATATTACTCGTTATAAGACAAACAATTTGAAACCCTCCGCGTTATCTACTAACGTGGGTTGACCTGTACTACTTTTGTGTGCTGTTTCCTCTAGCGTGTGGAGACATACTGCTTGGACCCGGAGAAAGATGCTGCCAAGGCCAGCAGGGACAGTCCTGATGTTGCTCGATTCAAGAACTTTCAGCAGTAAGTGTGCTTCTTTCTCCCATCCCATCCCATCGCTTGACACACTGAGCAGCAATCTCCCAGCCGTGCATGCTGCTTCCTAGCTGCGACCAAGGCAATTATGAGGAATTTGAGAACAGCAAAGCTAGTCATAATGACCACATGGACCATCATTGTGTACGCAGGTTTCTCCTTGCATGCTTGCTACTATTTCTCTGCTTTAGGGAGGACTCTAAGTAAAGTAATCTACCATTGCTGAAAGTGAAACTTGACCTTATGACTACCGCAGAGCGTCCATAGTCCTTGTGCCGCTCAGCTACCGGGTAGTATTTTCACAAGGTCTGAATGAATGTGTATCACTTGAACTGTGACAGGCATCGCTAAAGTACAGTGACCACATGTGTAGTAACTAGGAATGGTCTGCTATTCCTGCGAGCTTTGCCAAGCAACCGCAACACCTGTAACACATGCCGCGCCGCTGATATTGTTTTACAAGCCGACCTGTGCGACACAGTCACTGGCGTTTTTGCACCGCTGCGTTGTCGTAGCTGACTCTTGTCTGTCCTGCCGGTGATCATTCTCCTTCCAGAACTTGTATCCAGCGGTGTCTGGCGGCCATACAAGACACTCTAAACCGTGTTCCTGACTCTAGTCCCTTGTTCGCCAAGGTAATTGCAGTGTTCACCGTACTCATGCACGCACACCATTACATTCTGCTGGCATCATCTTACAGAGCTTTCCGGAGCTCCGAGTTTGTGGTTGTTTGGAATGAAGCAAGAGAACAACAAGACAGTAATGATCCTAATGGCCTGTGTTCAATGGTAACAAAATGGCTGGTAGACAGCCACTACCATTTTTGATGGACCGTTACCTTCTTCAAGCAGCCAAAGTGTACATGTATAGCTTCCGACTGCCAGTCCTCGATTTGTGATATCCTGTGAAGGTCATTATTATTTGTGCAGATTAGACTCGGACTGAGAGCCGAGGATGAAATTTAAAAAAAAGAGGATCGTAAGTTTACAAGTTGGCTAGGGTGTTTCCCACAGACCTATGGTCTTCTTAAGGGATGTGTAAGATGATTACTTCATTGACAGCTGAAGGTGTGTTCCTCTTCAGGTGATGGAATGGAAAGGTAGCTTCCTTCTGATGCTGTGCGACGGTGGCTTTCCTCCCTCACTGAACATTCTCCACGAGCAATTCCAAGCTGAGTTTGCACGGCGCAAGAAGGTAAGTCGGTGATACGGCTGCCCAGTGGCAGGACTCACCTCAAGAACATAGTAGCATTGAGCTACTGTAGCATTGAGCTACTGTAGCATTGAGCTAGCGTTTGATTTGAATACTACTGTTACGTATAATGCTATATATGATTGGGAGGTTGAAAAGGTCCCAGATATTTTCATGCTCCTCACAACTTCCACCTTTACATGTACGTACTTGCATAAATCACTGTGTATCGCAAATGTATCACAGCATGTAGTTAGCAGTACTTCCCACCTTCCATGTCATTCCATTTTAATCCTAGCTGCGGTGTGATATCCCAACTTGTTTTCCTATGGTGTTTCTCTAGGTCAAAAACGCTGATGAAGGCGCTGAATTTGAGCCCGATGATGAGCAATTTGACGACCTGGACAATCCTTTTGGTGCGCAAGAACCTCAACGCGCCAGTGACTTGCCGGAGAAATCAATCGGATTCTCAAGCACTGGAACCGACATTGACCCTAATGTGGAAGACCATATCGCCGATGATATTGATTTCTATTTTGACGACGAAGACAATGTGTTTGAAAGCAATGCCAGGGTTGCGGGTCAGGCTAATGGTGATGGAGTCTTCGCACAGCCAGGGCGTTCACGCAGGGACCAGACCCCCGTGCGGCTGTATGTAGGCGTTGAGCTAATGGTACGTATCAGCCGGTTTCACTGCTAAATGACTGAGGTAGATATCGCCCAGGCCTGAACGAAGGAAGTGTATGTGTGTGTGGAGAGGGGGAGGGGGGGGGGGAGGTGCATGCGCATATGCGGGCGCATCACAGTGTTGGGGGGGGGGGTGCATGCATGCATGTATGCAGAACTGGGCTGCACAATTCTTTGACCGCAGTACATGTATAGAGAGTGTTGACTGGATCTTACCATAGTGTTGCATTGTGGACCAACAGTGAGGCTGACATAACTTGAAATGTTACTTCAAAATTGTGCACACCCAGTGGCAAACCTCTCAATGTGTGTGTGTGTGTGTGTGTGTGTGTGTGTGTGTGTGTGTGTGTGTGTGTGTGTGTGGTACATGGTGTGTGCGTGTGCGTGTGCGCGTGTGTATGTGTGCGTCCGTGCGTGCGTGTGTGTGTGTGCGTGTGTGTGTGTATGTGTGTGCATGTGTGTGTGTGTGTGCGTGTGGGGGGGGGGGTGCGTGCGTGCGTGTGGTGTGTGTCTGTGTGTCTGTGTGCGGTTTTATTGCCTTGGGCAGTCCCAGCTCACATCGGATCATGATCGACGTGTCGAAGGCGTCAAAAACCTATCCACTGTGGTGTCCCGAGCTCTGGATGATTCACACTGGGTACGCGTCCATCTGGATTTTATTACGACTCTTGACTAGCCTTATCACTTTCTGGAGAAAGCACTGGGTCTGGGAATTTGATTATATCTTTTCCAGGAATGTGTGGTACGGTGTAGGGGGTGCAGTAGTTTCCCATGGCTTGTAGCTTACCGTAGTGTCTTGTATTAAAGCATGTCTCATATAGAAGCCTGTTTTGAATAGAAGCCTGATTTTCAAGATACGCTGTCGGCACATAAGCCTGGTTTTAGTGTTGACATACATAGAAATACCTGTCTTGAATAGAAGCCTGCAAGATTTCCTCCAAAAGTCATAATTATAAGCCGCGGCTTTTACACGCGACTTAACGGTATGCCGATTGCAATTCTGCGCAGTGTTGAAGCTAACTTCATGCTATCCCTTGATTTGAGATTGAATTCGCAGACACTATCTGGTAGCAGCCATGTGGTGTGCTCATGATTTCAACGCAGTCCTGACTACTTCCTCGAGCATATAGACTAACTGTAAAGATGTGTGGGTTGTGTGTCTGCTGTTACTATAGACCCTGGCAGCCAGCGCCTACTGGGATCTGTTCAAGGTGTTCTCCGAAGAGCCCTTCATTGCTGTCCACTACCTTGCAGCGTATCAGGTAAGCCATGGGTGTCGGACACGCAACCGTCACTACGATATAGACCGTCCAGGTATTCTCGCGAAAAATATCCAGGGCAGTCACCCACCCCCCACCCCCACGAGTAAATTTTACTTCACATGGCTGACCATACCACCCCAAAATGCCATCCAACACGCCTGCAAACGTACATGATTCAGCTCTGGAGGTGGTGGTCGGGTAGTGGTGGTCACGAGTCATAGTTTTGAAGTTTCACACGGTACTGCCAGGGAACGTGTTCCTCACCTCGATTTAAAACAAGACGTGGGAAATGTGTCTAGCTGGATGCAACTAAGGCTGTAAAGTATAGGAATTGGATGTGTGCTAAGTTAGACTCATTCATGGCCCTTCAATAGGCCTGGTTTTCTTGCATGGAGCTCATGGTTGCTTGCAGATACAGAGTACCACTTAACAATAGAGTGCAATGTGTTAGGTTAATGTGCCGGTCCTAAAACCTACATGCAAGAAACGCTCGTTCGATCAACTCCGAAACACAACCATGTGATGGTTCAGGTGTTGGGGTGCTTGAGCAATACATTGCAGGATAATTTTGTCTTTGACTCTATGCGCAGTCTTGCTCATCCCTCACTTGGCTGGCTCAACTCCTGGAGACGGCGAGCCGCAGCTACACCAGAACGGACCTCAGTTACATGGCAGCTTCGCTGTGGCAGCGCCGGCTGGTACAGGACTGTCGTGCTGTCAGCGGCCATGTAGTGCCCGATGCGGTCAGGGTGTCCGAGGTGTACCGACCGCTCAGCCGCATCAACGAGGAGTTCCTTGCCACGCAACAGGTTGGTGTATGTTTTGCAGTGCGATGTGTGTGTGAGTATAACACGTGTGTAGCAATGAATGCTGGGCCATATCACGACACTTCCATGATTAGAATTGTTGAGCAGTCACCGTGGTTTACAATAGTATGGACTTGAAAGCACAGATCAACTTTGTATGGACTTGGAAGCACAGATCAAGTTGTTTTTATGCATGGAGCATGATTGTGACAGGTATTTCAGTTACTTGTATGCTTCATCCAGCTTCACTGAAAAGTGCACGCTTCTTCTTATGTGCATACTAGTCGTTTTGAAATGAAGCAGCACGATATTGAGTAGAAAGTTTTGCATAATCAGGGCCGGCGCCACTGGTACGGCCGGTACGGCCATGGCCGTACCAACTTCCCAAAAAGTCGGTCCGCGTGGAACGTCCAAAACCGGGGAGAAAAAGTTTCGATGTATGATTTTGTACAGGGAGTCGCCCAGAGTGCAGGATTTGCCGTCTAAATTCCAAAACAATTCTGGGGGACGACCCCCAGACCCCCCTTAAAGATGGCCCTTCGGCCGCACCGCTCCGTGGAAGCTGCCTCCGGCCCTGATAATGCTGCACGTGCATGTGTGCATATTTCTAAAGAACAGCTCAGAGGCCAGGCTCTTCATCATTTGCTGTGTTGGCAGGTTTCGTCTGGTTTGAGCATCTCGAAGAACCCCCTCTGGCAGATCATGGACTTCCCACCCAACTTCACTTTTATCATTCTGCAGCACAGCCCAGACAAGTAAGGGCAATTTGGTTTGGTAATGTTCCTTTTTTAATGGAGAAATATACCCTAAAATCACATTTTCACCAGGTGTAGTCTTCGGGGTGCTGAGTCGAATGGTCTTGGTCCGAGGAAGCTAAGATGCTCCCTTAGGGTACCAATACAGCTAACTTTAATCTTTGCAGACAGGCGGCATTTTCAGACAGGTCGTCCTTCTACACAGGTCTATGTGTGTGTGAGCTGAATCATGGTGTTTCACCTGAGATGACCGGTCCCTATAGACAGGTGGTCTCTGTATGCAGGTGGTCTCTGTATGCAGGTGTGAATGTATGCTACACATGACTGTAGTGTGGAGGCACCCATAGAGCTGGTCTCTAAAGACAGATTGTCTCCTAGTGTGCATACAGTGGCTTCTTAGCACAGGAAAGACCATGCATCATGCTAGTGCTGTACGGTATGCTTGCTCCTGTGCTCTCCAAGGTCAACACTTCACTCTGCTGTTGTGCATGGGGGCATGACCATCAAGGACGGTGCAAAGGAAGACGATTCAGAAGCAAAGCGGCCCGGAAAGAAATCGAAGGAAGACAAGCCTACGTTCCCCGAAATTGCGTGTAAGCAGCGCAGAACTATATTTTTTTTAAATGCTTTGGTGACATCTGTAGCTTGACCCCAACTGCAGTGATTTGTCTGGGTGTAAAGGCTTCTTGCTATCTTCAATTATTGTATGCTGGTTACTGAAACATCACTTCATCAATATGTTATCATGGTATGGTACAGTATCCTATCTATCATTCACACCAGGCATTGTGAACTAGAGTGTGCCCTTTCATGGAGCATCTCTAGTAACATGTCTCTCAACCTCACTTCACTTTGAGAAAATGATATTGACAGGCTAGCAAGATAGAAACATGATGGTCAATTGTTTAGTGAGTTGTGCCGCCCTTGGCAAAGCATGAGGAGCAATGGTCTTGAAATGTAGATTAGTCTTCGGCCCTCTCCTGTACTTAGACAACGATACGGATAAATAAAAGTTCCTGGCTGACACACCTCTCGCTGTGGTCCTCATTGTTGTTCATAGTGTGTAAAGCGGATGTGCAAAGTGGCGCCCTCTCTCGACTCGAGACAAAGTGGAGCGGTTTCTTTGATCTTCTTGCCATCAAGCAACTGAAGAATGAGCAGTCAGTGCCAAGTGCTGACGTCTCCTCTGGGGCAGACCTGCTCATTGACGACGCTACCAAGGTACGTTCATGTGATGGTTAGAACTTGACGACACTTTTTTTCTATTACGGTCATGTACGGGCGTGATAGATACGTACAAGTAGCTGTGCCAGGCACACATCTTTTATGAGGTGCACCGTCCATTGTAATGCTGATAATTGGATTGCCACTGTTGCAAGGCACACAACATGGCATATGACAGAAGACCGTTTTCTTGCATCTTACCCTGCATTGCAATCTGCAATACTCGTGCATACAGCAAAGCCTGTCAAGGCGACCACTCGGATAAGGCGACCAACTGTCCAAGGGGACCACTACCACCAGGACCAAGGATTGTCAATTTCAGTCAAATGATAACCTTGGATAAGGATACCACCTGTTCACAGCGACCACATGGTCCCTTGAGCGGTCGCCTTAGACAGGTTTCGCTGTAGCTGTACTAATAACATAGTTATGGAAGGTTCATGCATCTGTCAGTAATTTGCAGCCATTACTGCTTGTCACAAGCAATGATGAAATAAATAATACAATACTGCAGCCTGGGGCAATATTGCTAGGGTGCTCTTTGGTGCTGGGCGTAAAGTAAGGATAAGCTATGGTAGTATGGGTATCATAATTATGGGCATTTTGCATCATGTCAGTGCGAATTGTTGATAGGAACGGTGTATACACGCACATCAACACAGTGGCAGTGGTGCTGATCTTGTGATGTATGTATTTATGGTGATGTGCACCCACTTATGGCATGTACGCATGTGCACACTTCTGGTCTCACACGTGTACTCTACCGTATACGCACGTGCATGCTTTCCCGCATATGCACGCACACTCTCCTGTTCAGAGTTGTTCTCTTCCTGTCGTGTCCGACAATGGTCGTTCTTCTTCTTTCTGTTTCCCAATATCAATGTCGTGAATCTGTGAATATAATAATACTTACCAACATAACATGGCGCAGTGAACAGGATGGCGCAGTGAACTATTTTCCGACATTTTTCTAGCCCGTTTGTTTGCATTTTTCAGCGTTGTTTACAGTAACAGTTTTGTTTGGTCGTCATGTCTGACGGAGAAGGTAGTTTGGATGCACGATCCGCCAGCTCAGGTAGTAGCCCCATGGAGCAGTTGCTAACAGAACTGTGCTGTGAACTTTGTTGATGTTGACCTGCAGGCAGAGTTCTCCGAAATCGTACACATGCTACAGGACTATGTTGGCCCGTGCTTTGAGCAAATGGAGGAGGCTCTCAAGTAAGAATACTGTTGTACTTCAATGTACAGTGTACCAAGAGCAGGCCTGTGTTTGCAGCTTGGTCGTTATCTCGAATACTGACTGAAATTGTATGCATCGAGCTTGGGCATCGAGCTTGGGCATCGAGCTTGCCGGTGCATTAAGCTTGGGCATTGAGCTTGTACATTAAGCTTGGGCATGTAGCCAACCTCTACAGGGTTTTGGAATCCAGTGCATCAAAGCTAGTGAGTACAACTGCGGGGTTCATGTGCTTTTAACCGTAGAATGTAGATCCCTCTATTCGTTGAAACCTCCAATGTGCTGTATGCATGACTTTCCTGGTAGATTATGTTTAGGTATGTATCTTTACAGGAGCAGCCGGCATTGGCTTGCTACGTGAGGTTTGGCATGGGGTTGGCATGCTATGTCACTGCAAGGTGTGCTAAGGGACGACGTATGTTCTTCAATGTTCTGTGTTTGCATGCCCGTGTGCGCGTACATGCGTGTGAATGCGTGCGTGTGTGTATGTTGCATGTACGTGTGAATGCCGTCAGATGTCTCCACCACCCTGAGCCTGATCAGGACGAGGAAACAGCAAGGAATGCCACACCCGGACGAGATGCGGGTAAGAAGAAGGATAAATCACCCGAAAAACCTGCACAGAAGAAACCTGGCAAAGGTGGCAAGGAAGACGACAGCCAAGCAGAACCTGAGAGTCGCTATGTTGTCCTGCTGGTTGATGAAGACCTTATGTCATTTCCTCTCGAAGCAATGCCCTGGCTGCAGGCTAACGGCGTCGAGGGCATCTCGCGGGATTTCTCATCGAACAGTCTCCATCAGCGTATGCTGCATGTTTGCCCACCACCCACTCCATCAGGTCAGTAAGAGAGAGTTACTGAATGAACAAGCCTTGCGTGTGCTGTACACCTTTGGGAAAGCTGTGGTACACCTTTGGGAAAGCTGTGTCACACAAAGTCAATAGACAAGTTTATCTAATCACTGTAAGGCGGTTTTGTCATGTGTAGGCTGAGTTATTACGGCATTACCAGCTTGGACTGCCCGAGCAGGGAGTTTATTGTTTTGTTTCTTATTCCACGTCCCATAGCATGTAGGAGCTAAAAATTGCTGAGCCGTTTGACAGGTCTATCGACGACGGATACAGGCTTGTGGGCTTTGGCCAGGACGCGGGTCACCACGGAGGAATTGGATTCGCCGTGTCGAAATATTTCAACGAATTCCTGAGAAAACATAAAAAGCTGTCGGACCGAGTCGGCTACGCTGACTTCTCGCTGCCCGCAAAGAGCTCCTCAGAGACCTCTGTCGATGTGAGATTCGTTGTGGCGTATGGACCCACAGCCCCGTCGGCAGACAAGACCCCATCGCTGAGAGAAGATTTCTACGACTGCCTCTCTAAAGCATGGAATACTCCCAACAGCCGAACTCTGGTGTTTGGTTTGGGCGATTTTAACAGCAAAGTCGGCACCAGCAAGACATTGGTCTATACGGTAAAGGAGTGCGGAATAACAACGGCCAGGCGCTAGTTCAGTGGGCAAATTCGTGGGAAATAGTCCTTGCCAACACCCTTTTCCGTTATTCCATGTGTCATGACCCGGACTCGACTCGTCGTGAAAGCGACCACGCAATGAGATTCAGCAGCCAAAAGCTGGGCTCCGAAATATTCTAGAGTTCTGTAAGAACCATGATTAGTCCCGCGAAGGATTTGGCACTTTCGTTAGTTGAGCAATCATGGCTTACAACTCGTGGCCTCGAGTCACAAGTGTTGTCGTACGGCGGCTACACCTTCAGTACAAGTCGTCAGCATTGTACTCACTACACTGTTGAGCTTGAGGGGACCCTGCTTAGTCCTGCAAGGGAGCTGATACCTTTGTTAGTCGAGCAAGCAAGGCCCCTCTTCTCGCGTCATACGACGTAAAGGGTCCTGCAAGTGCTTCGCGCACTGCGGACTCCATTATCCCTTTTTTGGGAGAGGTCGCGGCTTGACCGTGCAGCGCCCTACGGGGTAATGAGAGGGAAGAGCCTACGGGGCAGAAGATGAAGGGTGACCCAATCAAGACACCGTACGAAGGCGGTGCGCTCTAGCTGCGGCAACATCCGACAGCGTACTCCAGGCTCCGTCGCACGATCGACGTACGAATAACCTCGGACATCACTCATATTTGTAACTCTTTCATGTAATGTGGGTGAGCGAGCTCCCCGAAGCTATACTAATATTTCCTACTAATTATTATATCACAATTATACTATAACCAAAATCACATAAAAGCCGCCTTCTTCCAACTAATAAAAGTATCTTTTGATCGCTCCCCTTCAACCTTCGACTACCTTGTGTGAGCCGGAAAACAGGTGTGAGCCAGTAACTTGGATGGCGACTATATTGGTCGTCTACCTGGGTAGTCACTAGACTGATCTAAGCCAAGTCACAAACCCGCCAAGCGCGGCCATGACACATGCGCTACAGGACAACGTGGACTGGCTCAGTCACAAACAGAGATACTGGTGTAATCAGCAGAGTATACAATATGATTGATTTTATCGCAGTACCGGCTCGCTGCAGGCCCCTTATCAAACGTGCTCGCTCGTATGCAGGGACACTGACATCAAGCGACCATAAAATTGTCATCGCCGACATGGATTTCCAACGATTGTTCAAAGCTTATCGCTCAAACCCAAAAACAAAGAGGTCCGTTGGTCCATTGGCTGTACGGAGGCTTTCGTCGGACGCCACGGTGAGGCAAGACTACAAAGCAAAACTCAAAGAAAGCGTTTCCATCAGCCATACCAACCCTTGCTCAGAAGAATCTCATAAACATTCTCCATCTCAGAAATGGTCCAGCGCAGTAAATGGCACCCTGAAAGCGGCAGAGAGCAGTGTTGGCCATATGCACAGATCCACATCCGGGAGGTTAACTCTGCCCAACCAGGAAGTGGCACGCCTATCGGAGCAGCAGCGGGAGGTTCGGCTTCTTGCAGAGTCGGGTCGCCACTCCTTGGCAGAGCTAAAGAGGCAGCGGAACCAGATACAGCACAAGATCCGTTCTATTCAGCGGGCGGATGCCAATGAACGCCTCGACAGACTGGCAGAGAAGGTGGAGCAGGCACCTGACTCAGCACAGATGTTCCTTGCTGCTTCGGCCATGAAAAGTGGATCTCAGCCATCCAGTATCATGGTCAGCTCTGCTGATGGCCACATTTTGGCTTCAGATAAGCAGAAGGCAGAGCGCGTCACGGAGCACTTCAAGGATCTATTCTGTAGAGATCAATCAGCTGCTATCCAGAAGCCAGTCCCTCACCGGCTAAGTGTGGCAGTGTCTCCAGCGGAGGTGGAAACAGCGATGAAACGACTCAAAAACGGAAAGGCTTGTGGGCCGGACAAAGTCCCTGGAGAATTACTGAAGTATGGAACATCATCGTAGCGGCAGACATCATCAACCAAAGCGTAGCAGAGGGTGCCGACATGTCATCGTTCATCGGACTTGGCACACTGATTCCTTTACAAAAACCAAAAAAACCTAGAGGACCCGTGACTAGCCTGCGTCCCATTGTCCTCCTGAACACCATCCGAAAAGTTTTCTCCCTTGTAGTGCTCTGCCGAATCGCAAAGGACGTTGCTCGTTATGTTGGACAACGTGTTAGTGTTATGTTGCTCGTTATGTTGGTCCAACTCAATCTGGCTTCAGACAAGGCCGAAGTACAACAGATGTGGTATGGACACAGCGCTGGATTGCGGCCAAGGCGACTCGATACAACTGGGAATGCCACATGCTGGGGATTGACATGTCCCGTGCGTTCGACACGATCGATCGCACCAAACTGTTAGACGTCATGGCATTAGTGACTGGCCTCGATGAAGTGCGCATGATCCAGCACCTACTGTTCCACACACAAATATCAGTGAAAGTAGGAAAGGCAACTGCCAATCCGTTTCTCAGCACCATCGGCACCCCCCAGGGAGATGGCCTGAGCCCTGTTCTTTTTATTTGTTACCTGGAGGCAGCACTGCGCCAAGTGAGAGCAAACCTTCCCGAACGCCCTTTCGCCGACCGTCACATACCCGGAGAAACAGGTTACGCCGATGATGTGACATTGTACTCAACCAGTGAGGAGTGGCTGAAGCGAAGCCTCCCCATCATTAGCGCAGAACTCGGGGATTGGTCCCTTACAGTAAACGAGACCAAGACCGAATTCTTGCATCTGACATCAACTTCAGACTCCTGGCGGTCCAGCAGGCAGCTAGGGTCCCTCATTGGCGACAGTGAGGACCTGGAGCGGAGGAAAGACCTCGCTTCGAGTGCATACGGCAGGATGTATAGCCTCTGGCTGAGGCGTGGAAAGGTCAGTGAGCAGAGGCGCATCCGCCTGTATAATGCCCTGGTTCTGCCCGTTCTTTTGTATAACTGCGGCGCATGGGGGCTCACGGCAGCACAAGCAGAATCGCTTAACGTTTTCCACCGGAAGCAGCTCCGACGGCTCATTGGCATAGTCTACCCAGCCAGGATATCAAATACTGAGCTGTATGAGAGGTGCAACACGGAACCACTATCTGACATCGTGGACAGGAGAAGATGGCAGCTAACCGGCCATATTCTCCGTATGGACAGGGATGCGCCGCCATGGATGGCGCTGACGGGCTATTTTGCGGGAGATGCCAAGGCTGGGCGTGGATGTCCAAGGACATCCATTGCGACGCGCATCACAAGCGACTTACAGAGGAGGAACATCGACTTGAAGCGCAGCAGTCAGCTGGGGAATGTGAGGGCCATCGCTCTGGACAAGCCTACATGGAGAAATCTGGCCGACAATCCATGATCTGGCGTCACAGGTCATCAGTGCGCCGTGTTAATAATTACCTTGATAATGGAATTTGATCATAGGAGATAGGACAGAAGCGGAACGTATAATTATACCCACATAATTATATTATTACGCGTGCTGTGGTATTATTATTATTATTATTATTATTATTATAGCATGTAGTTGCCAAATAAAGGGGAGGGTGAACGAACCAACTACAGCTGAAAGACCGTAAAGAAGTAGAAAATAGGAAGAAAGATGGGGAGGGAGGGGGGGGGGAGGGATACGGGGCGTTTGGTAGGGGTGAACCGTGGTGTCAACGGTTCGACGAATCTTCCTTTTCCTTTGAGACGAACCTCCGTTTTCAATTCAAATAAAGGTCAACACATGATTTCTTCATGCACTCATGCACTGATCTCTTCCCTGTATACCAGTCCTGTTCCACTTGGTTCCCGGTAAGTGCCACTGCAAGTGCATAGTAGACCGGCACAGACTTACTGTTTGGCAAGGAAAGTTAGTTCATCCCTAGTGATGCTCATGATCAACTCTTGACACCCTCGTTTTGCGTCTCGTTACACATCTCTGAAATCACTAATGTTCTCACTTCGCCCTAGAAGTTGCTTCCCTTGAAAGCTAAGAGTTGGTGCTTGGCTGCTGGCGGAACAAAGAACAAAGAATCACGTTGCTCGTCGATGAGCTTGTGTCTCAGTACGATATTGTTGTGTCCATGGTACATGGTGTGTGTGTGTGTGTGTGTGTGTGTGTGTGTGTGTGTGTGTGTGTGTGTGTGTGTGTGTGTGTGTGTGTGTGTGTGTGTGTGTGTGCGTGTGCATTCGTTTGCATGTGATGTTCTGTATCTTCTCCTAGCCGAAGGCACGACGTCGCAAGCTAAGAAAGGAAAGACCACCACGACGGTGGTGGATCCTGATGAAGTAAGCCCTATCCATTATAGTGTCTGTCTATCCATTCTACTCTGGATAAAGAGGCATTGGGGCACAGGCGCATGCACCGGGTCAAAAAAAGGTGGTTTCCAAAAATATTTCGACCGCCGTTTTGCAATATGCTACCTGCAGATTCAGCAGTGTTACACGCATTACACACTGAAAGAATGCTTTAAAAGTTATGGCTGCCAGTCCCACCGAGCCATCAAAACAAATGTAGTACAAAGGCATTTTCCTGACACACGATAACTGAATAGGCTAGCCGACGTTATACAAGTAGTTCGAAGTAGTGAAGGAAGATTCAGACACTCTTGCTAGTGAGTCAAAGAAGCAGGTCAATCCATGTCACTGTCTGAGTCTGCAGTGGCACTATAGCCCTGGGAAGACACGCGCAACCGGAAATTGAGACAACTCGCTAAGATCCATGGTATTTTTGTAGTATTCATCGTAGAGCGCTCCTTTCTTTTGTAGCTGACCGCTAAAGACCAGTGCCTGACGTCACACAGGTCTATGCATGTCTGGACTGTCGATGTCGCCATGTCGTGCCTGCATTAGAGGAAAATATTTATGACAAAATCATTATGATTGCCACCCAAGTGCGGAAGCGAAAATTTGCAATGGAACGTAAAATACCTGTCGAGTGCCTTAACTCCACTATTCGACCTTGAATCGACTTCGGATGTGTTGGAGCCGACAGCTGAGAACTTTCTAATGCGAATAGACCTTTCGATTACTCAAGTCCGTTCAGGGAAAGCCGAGTTACGAAATATTTGAGTGTTTGCAGAATGCACTTCATAGCGGATGCAAAAAGCTGGTTTCCGGGCTCCAAGAAAACCACACGGTGCACGCGCCTGGGGCATGAAACTGAAGCATTTTGGGTGGCCTTTAAAGCACGTTATAGCTGGGGCACTACTTGAAACTATCTTGCTGACTGGGGTTTAATGCTGTAACTTAACTGCTTCACAATCCCATGCAGTAGGTATAGGTTATAGCGTGGGTGCTTGAAAAACGATTTTTGGTTCTTATTTCCGATATTTCTTACCCACGATAAATCCAGTGTGACGTATCATATGCATGTGTGCATAGCCAGGAAGATCATCGTGCATGCAACGTAGTGCTATTGTGCATGCGGTTGTTCATAGTCACATAAACTTACCATGTGGTTGTTTAACATGAGTTACATAGCCACAACAGATGCACTTGCAGCATAACAGTGCAATGCGAGTCTGTTCAAAACTGTACCGGGCTGATGCATTTACTGCAGGCAACACTTTGTACTAATATGGCATGTTTTGCTTCCCAACGTTCATTTTTAGGACTGATATATTCTTGAAGTTGGTTGCTCCAACGAGGAGCACACGCTTCTTGCCGAACTTGACAACCAACTTCATGACTATTACCGCCCAAGTCGCAACCTCTATAAAGTTTGATATATTCTTTTATACGATAACATCGCTTGTAAGAATAAATATGCACATGAAACCCATGTCGTGATTATGAAAATATGAGAGTTCATTCTTGCAGGCAGTATATTCTTTTACACGACCACACTATAACCGATACGCACTGTACATTGTACATGTAGTTACCTGTATTAAACAGTGATCTTGCTGTCGTTAGTGGATACATTGTACACAGTCCTGTTGAGACAGAACTATTTCCAGCAAGTACTTAGTTCAGACCCTTGCCAACCCTACGCTTTCTGACTAGTGTTTTCATCCGTTTCTGTCTGCATTCTCCAGCAACGACCCAATTATGAGAGCACGGATAACCCGGTGATCAACTGTGCAAACTTCCATTGTATCCTTGCCATCATTGTTTTTTAGCATCCCCCCACCTCGCAACAGAGCAACCAAGTGTTGGATTAAGCTGGGAGTGCCGATTCGAGCAACTGGTTATAGTATTGAATCAACGCATGATGGCTCTGATTGAGCCGCTAGATGGCTCGCCGCTGGGCCGCCAAATGCTAAATACATAGGTATGCATATCCAGTTGAGAGCATATATTCCATAAATCAGCACTCCGGGTCCCGGAACAGGCCACAAAGTGCAGCTACCCGTGCAGTCTGTAAGCAGTGCAGGCTAGGTAAGGATTGAATAGCAGAACTTGATATCAGGAGCTGAGGCCATTTCCGCAGCCACCCGTGCCTTGGCTGCATTCGGCGTCACTCGGGCAGACATCACTTTCTATTTCTCCCCCCCCCCCCCTCTGTGACTATCGAGTCCGACAGCCTGCAACTGGCGAGCAGCATCCTCACAGTTGCCGTAAATGCTGATCGATTAGCATTCTCAGCTGATGCCACTCGCTTTCCCAGGTGCTGCCACAATTGCAAACAACTCGTTCCAATCGCTGCTCTGCTTGATCGACTGTCCATCTGCCCTATCCACCGACCGCAATTGTAGATGCACCAGCCAATATTGACCCACTTGGCTTGCGTCAGTGAATAGCTGTAAGTCAGGGGCGGCGTCCACCTGGAGTGTAGGAAGGATGACCGGCCGTTCAACTAATCCAGGAGCTCAGGCCATCAGCATAGATCTTTGAGGGACTCTTCAGAGAGCTTGGTCAGGTAACACGGCTGCTGGTACCAGTTGGCAAGTGACCACCATCTGCAATGTGCTCCTGGGACTATCACTCTTGTAGCAAGCGAGAGCTTTCCCTGAAGATATTCGAGTTGACATGGCATAGTTGCAGCTGTGTGAAGAGTGGTCTGTAGGAGGTCGTCGTCTAGTGCAACTTTTAATAAAAGTACACCGAATTGTTTTGTGCAATGGCAGTATAATTTGGTAATTACGCTTTCTGGCGAAACTGGTGCATCGCTATACCTCATTATCAATATAGTATTATGGACTGGGTTGTTTGCCTCGTGAGCTACATGTATTTCCTTAACTGTTGGTGATTTAGGTGTGATTGACCCAGCGGGCAACCTCCCATCTAAAACACTTCAGACACATGGTAGGTAAAACAATTTAATCCATCAGCTGATCAGCTAGTCCTTGTAGAAGCAACGTTAATTAAAGTCAACACGAGAAATAGAATAATCGTTGGTTTGAGGGAAAGATGCAAATGGGAAAAGTCTGAAGAAAAAATTGACTGTCACCACCAGGAATCGAACCAGGGAGCTTCTCTTGAGGCCAGTGATGCTCTAACGACTGAAAAAATAGAATGGTAGGCGCATGTGGATGTTCACGTTTCAGTTTATTTTTATTTTATTTATTTTTTTGACGTAGCATAGAACAGTTGTATAGGAAAGAGATGTCTTCTGGACAAAACCAATGTGCACAAATTGCTACTTCCAGTTTTTTATTGTGTTCTCTGGACATGTGTCACTGGCTGATTATGGGCAGCGCTCTATCATTTTCTTCTTTCTGTTCTTCTTCGTGGCCAGTCACTGCTGACAAACTTGCCAAAGTTGTGTCCGACTGTGGCTCGGTAGCTTCCAAGTGGGTCAGCCATATGCCACCTCCACTGCACGAATCGTACAAGTAAGCCTGCACAGCACAACAGGATAGCTACTTGACAGAACACAGACTGAACTTGCTTTACTGCAGAAACATGATTGTAGCTAGTGGTTTTTGCCATTTGTAGCATGTGTATGCAGGGCTAAGGGGGCATGAGCAGAATGGGGGGGGGGGGGGGGGGGGGGGCTTATGTCCGGACATAAGCCTTTGCGCTTACATGTGCGGAAGTATGGTATAATCCGAACTCATGAAGTAGCTCTACTCAACACACCAAATGCCAAAAGGCTACCTTGGCTTCCATCTTCTGCTGTAATCCACGTCCATACAATATGAATCTTGCCGGTTCATATCACCATTACGAGTTTGTACGAGTTGGTGGATCTGTTCCTTGTGTTGTATTCCTATTCTCAGCCCGTCGCTATGGGACGATGTAGCCAGCTCCTGCGGTGGTCTGGTGTGCTTTGACTGTGGCCCACTTGATCAGCACTATAGAGTGGAGCAGCTGCTTCGACACAATCTGACAGGTAACCTGTGGATGTATGTATGCTGCCTTTTTCCGCCCTACTGCAGGCGTGTACTGTAAGACATGTTATTATAACGAGTCGCAAATTTAACGATTGTCCGAAATCCATAGGTTAACGAGAAGTTATGTTAACGATCTTGCAGTATTCCGGCATATCCACACACAACATAATATATTGTGTGTGGATATGTGGATATATTATATGAAGCAGTACGGCCTCAACGGATCTTATTATAACGAAGAAATGTCATCCGTTAAAACGTTAGATTTACTTCCTCGTTATATATACATAGTCTTACAGGTCACAGTACAACATTGGTATAAGATAAACCTAGTTTTTGTTCAAACATGTTGTTGGTTGTCAGCATGTTGGGTTGACAGCATGTTTGCGAACACGGTGTCCTCCACCTTGTTGCATGCTGTCCGAGCCAACAACATGTTAGGTACAACATTCTAGCAATGACCTGCCTCAGGGGAGTAGCAATCTGGGTAGCGCGAAAGTGAACGAAAGACATGACTGGGGAGTGGGGACGCCTGCACACTTGGACACGCGGCCCTTTCTGACTTTTCCCTTGAAGTCTGGGTGCCAAACCCAGCTGTCCCGAGAGCATCAATGCAAATTTTATCGCTGTTCGGTGAAGAATGTCTTTGGATGTTGTGTGTAACTTAGGTTGCAAACTTGCCATCCTGCTGGACAAAGTGGAAACTAAGCGGAGTGTCAAATATATGAAACTACGTGATATCAAGGAGAGAAGGTAAGGCTAGCTCTTCCTGTCCCTACTCACTTGACCTGAGTGAAGAAGCCGATTAAAAGAACAAACATTAACTTAAAATGACTTGTGTGATAAGTAGCCAGACATCCATGGGAGCAAGGTGACTACTAGGAACAACGCCATTATTGGCTTCTGGGACTTGGTGCAGGTGCAGCTCCTAAAGCTGTGGGTGTGAGCTGATCAGACTTTCTGAAGACACAAAATCCTGTTAGCTACATGTTATATCCATGTCACCCTCTCGCTCCTAGATGAGGCCCTTGACGGTGAAAACATTGCTTTTCTCCATAGATGTGCATGTACATGTGTTGCAATGACAAGAGCACTGCACTACCTCCAGATCTCGATTGCAGCAAAACAAAAAATTCACGGTTCGCGTGAGACTCGGCTGAAAGCTGAGTTTTTCCGCATCCTCAGGAACTCCACCACCCTCGTAGATCAAGGCGCAGGTGCAGCTCCTAAGCGGTGGGAGGTGAGTAGATCAGATCCACCACAAAGTAGTCAAAGACCGAAAATCCCATTCACACTGCAGCAAAAGGCATGCTATATTATAACCTCTTATCCACACAGTGTGAGCTCCAATGCAATTAACTTGAGATTGGATGTCATTCGTACAATCCATGAGTGCGGATGCCTGTCCATCTTCTTGTCCCATTGCTGTACAGGGCAAGCCAATCGACTGACTACGTTGGCTTGTGGTCCTTGGCTGGCGCTGGCTCGGTGCTACAGAATTGTCTGCCTTGTTCACCGGAGGACAATGCCCTTGCAATGCACAACGTCCTGCACGGTAAGAGTCTAAACCTACCGTAATAGGTGTGTGTTATACTATTAAAGACCGTACAATACTCACTATTCGTATTTCCCTCTCCTTCACCATAGCAATGAGAGTCAATCAAGTATAGAAGAGCGCATGCTCCAGTGGTTCTTTCGTTCTTGTCTACTCTCGAGTCAAAATACTTCTTCCATAATCAATACTATAAAACCCCTGTGTTCTGGAAGTGTGAGGGGACTTAAGCCGGGAGCTAACACTGCCGTAGTGCTGCTAAATGTAATTCTATCATGCGAGCCAACTAGTGCCGGCTACTTTCCACCCCACCCCCAGCACTGCGAACACTGGGCTGTGCTCTGGTGAAGGCCTCTAACGTATTCATGAGTCAGACCGTGGCAAGCACACAGACCTGCAAACACTGGGGCTGTGCACTTGTGAATTGCGCTTAGCGTATGTCCTCGATTATAAGTTGCGCCCCTGCGTTCAGGTCCCAGCCGTACTGCTTTCAATATATTCACGTAAGTAGGAAGTCACACTCGATTTTAAGTCGCACCCCATTCATTGCCCTTGAAGGTTGGTCTAAAGAGGTGCGACTTATATTCATGGAAATACAGTACTTAAGGCTTGTTCATGAGATGGGATTTCATAAACCAGCGCTGTATGATTGGCATCAGCACTATTTCAGGAAAAGGCATATTGTTGTGCTCTCCAGTTGAGAGGGGAGCTATAGTGATCTCTAGTGGAACGCCATTTGAGTAATCTTGCTCCGGGGTGATCAGACCGTGCTGTTCTCATCACATTGTTGGCAAGAGTGCACTTTTAAAAAACAAGTTCAATGCACGGCGGTACAACACAGCAACCAGACCTGCAGAATCTGCCGGGGGATTTGCGAGGTGCACCACTCGGCGGATTGCCACAACAGGTGAATTTCCGCTAGTGTCGTACTCATACATGTACATGACTTGTACTTTTGGTCCAGATATGTATTGGTGATTTTGGATATGGCCCTTTGTTCATTCGTATCTTCCATCTAGGTATGTGCGTACAGAACCCTAAGTCCATAGGGAGAGCACTCCTCGACAGCCGGGCAAAGCTGGGCAAAGATGATGATGAAGTGAAGGTCAACACCGATGAAGCCACTCATGTTCAGAGCATGCCCCGTCTCGCCGTGCGCTCAGAAGAGCGCATGCCTGGCTCTCCAGCGTACACCGAGTACGCAGCTCCACGGGTATTTACTGCATCTTCGCAAGATGACAGCCGGCCCGATTCGGCATTGTCCTCCGATCGTGTCGCGCCCGACGGCTCTTTCCCTGTTATTCCTGTGAAGCCGTACAACTACCTGCTCTGGGGCCTGCCGCATCTTGCCGTGGCCGGCAAGAATCAGAAGAGTGGTCGCAGTAAATAGAGCAGGATAATGTGATCACAATCGGTCATGCCCAGACGTCGCTTGATATCCCAGTGTTGTTTTCCATGCAGTTATTTGTCTCACTGTGTCATGGCTATTGTCACTCACTGTGAATATATATAAACTAGTGTCTACTCAATTAAACAATGGATTTTCTACAGACGCTTGTGACCCCACTGACACAGATTGCATACAAATTGATGCAATGTATGTACTTTTTTCTCACAATTTATTGTTATCCATTTCATCTAGGTCCTGTGTGTTATCAAAAAATTAATATCTTGTCTTAGATTACTAATGTTTAGTTCGAATAGAGTTGATCACTGTTGCTTCCTCTGTCCATACGTTGATGTACTGCATTCATCGCGGAAACTTGATTATCTTTCCGACTCGATTTATAATATTATGTTTTATACAGTATCGCCTAGGCTACGTTCGCCACAATTGAATGAGTGTGTATATCGGGAAACCCAGATTGAATTATGCTTGCTCTCCTCTTGCTTAGTACATGTACCGGTAGTTGTGAATCACAATTTGGGGTACGCGTGTTGAGTGCTGTCGTTATCAACAATATTGACATTCTCCTTGCATGCTGTAAAGCCAACATATCTTTCGCAGGACTTCGCAATCTCCCGAACTGAAACTTGTGAAAGGACGAAGAGGCTTCTCGACTTGTGAAAATTAATGTAAATGGGCTGGGGGCCTGACCATGTATTCATGATCATTCTTGTGTGCCAGGCATTGTGTGTATGCATGAAACTCTCGTAGAAAGTCCTCACTCACACCAGCCATACCGCGACAACCGGGTTTTGTTGAGGTTTCTTTTAATCAGCCATCATTTGACTAGCCTAACCTATAAATCAAGATAGATCGCGCTGGCCCCTACCTACTAGATGATAGGAAGTAATTGAATTGCAAACATTGACAGAAGGAGGCATTATATCTTGGCAAGCCGAACTACTTGAAATGTCTTGATTCGTGCCAGCCTAGATTGCAATAATGAGGAGAAAGGTCAAATTATTTTCAAAGCAAATAGGGAAATAAGTATAATGTTTCTGGGCTGCCTGGAATTGACGAGGAGTCTCAACTGATCTCTGATTTGGGCAGCAGATACGGAAGGTATAGACTCGTGAATATCAACCGTAGCCTGGGACAGACCTGAAAGCATTTACGACACAAGATGGGTGCAGGTAATGTTGTATCAAGAGGAATTTTCAGTAAACGAGGTAACGCGGGTAAATGGCTACTCACCGGCTGGTTGCTCTGCTATCTAATGCACTTCAGACCCCTGTAAAAATACTACCAATATACTAAATCATGCATCGAGACCACAAGAAATGTACTACTCGTCCTACCGTCGGTGTAAAACTGCGTTCAGTCTGCTGCTTTCTGGTGAACAGATGTGTTGCCTACTCTACTGCGTGCATGTCGAGATTAGAATGCATGTGCAGGGTGCATTCAAGTAAGGTACCTCTTCCGGCGCGCTATGGGCTACCTTTTCGACTTCGACAGGGACTCTCGGCGCGAGGATTGATTTGATGCCGGCGGCGTAGTGTCCAGATCGTCCTCGCTGTCTATTTCGATGCAGTCTTGCTGTGACGGGTCCATGCTCTCGTCGTCACTGCTCAGGTCGCCGCCAGCAGCAGCAGCAGAGCCACCAGCTGATGCCGTGGACGCCGACGCCACACCAGGCGCGCCCGTGTCCAGCACGGCCACGCACTGTTCCAGAGTCATCTGCGCCAGATTGACCTGCGCCAGGACGGAGGTCTCGGGCGACAGCGACGGCGTATCCACACTGTGCGCCTTGCACAGGATCTCCAGCTCCTGGATGCGCTGCTTCATCGACTTGATCACGTTCTCCAGCTGCCGGTGACGTTGGTGCTGGGCCTTGTGGCGATTCTCCGCTTTCTGCAGACGGCGAATGTAGTCGACTGACGCCTTCAAGATTGTGCCTTTGTTGTGTCGGTTCTCGGCATCTGTTCCCGGCAGCAATGTGCCCAGCTCCTTGATGCGATCGTTGATATTAAATCTACGGCGTCGCTCGATGAGATTGTGATTGTCTTTCTTGATGCGCTCCTTGATCTTAGGTCGCTCCCCCTCGCCCATGCTAGTTTCCTTGGGCAGTGACGACGGAGCAGACGTGGATGCCCGGGAGCTCGACGGGGAGCTGCCCTTGCTCAGGGAGAACAGATCCGAATCAAGGCCGACCATGCCCGCCTCAGACTTGCCGTCAGTAGTGTCCATGCCCATCAGTCCGTCTAGCAGCTCCTCGACTTCTTTATGCTCGGCGCCACTAGCGGCGAGTTGCGCCAGCAACGAACTGCCTTCTAGTGATCCCCCTAGTGATGGTGATTGACTTGACAGTGGGCTCTGCAGACTCAAGCGTTGGGCTGCAGCCGCCAACAGCTGCTGCTGCTGTTGCTGTTGCAGGAAAGCTGAGAGTGCAGTCGAATCGCCCGGTAGGATACTGGCCAGCGTCTCCAAATCCAGAATGCCAGCACCTTGCCCTGCAGCTGCTGATGCTGCTACTGCCGTTCCTGGCAGGCCGGCACTGGCTGGCGCAGATCCGATGCGCAGGTCCGATACACTATGGGGAGAATGGCTCAACAGCGGAGATTGGCTAGGCGGAAACATGAAGTTGCCGAACGCTGCTGCCGCCGACGATGAAACCTGGTCCTGCTGCTGCCTTGCATGTAAATGGAACGAAGTTGGATTCTCCAACCGACTTCCACCCGCCGGCTCCGACTTGATCCGCGGAGGAGCACTGGCAGCTTGCAACGGAGGAGGATCGGTACTAGCACGGGACAAGACATTTTGTATGTCGATCGCTCGCTGTTGCTCACGCTGTTCATCCAGTTGAGCTTTCTCCCTCTGCAGGAGCAATTTGAAACTTGTGTGACTCATGCTACCAGCTCTTCAGCGGTGCCAAGTTCGGCCTAAATCTGCACGTGTCCTTTTCACAGTGTAACGTTCTGATCTTCTCTCATCCTCTTCAGTTCATCCAGGCACATGCAGTACGCGCTCTGGCAAGCAGATTACCAGGTTACTACGCTATTGTACCAACACTGGCACTGCAACCACACGAACGATGTCTACAGTAAACAAAATCCTACATTTACCATTTTTTGGCTCCGGCCGTTTCCCCCTGTGACTTCACTTTACTCCGCAACGACGAACGGTTCAAGACTTGGCTCGCGAGTGGGTAAATCTTTGCCAGCGTGCTCGCAAGCACGGTCACTCAGCTTCGTTTTTGGCTTCTTCACTTCAGGTCGGTTTCCTGACTGATCGACTTGTGAGTAGACATAGTTTTGCGTGCAAGGCGAGAAGGCATACCAGTCCTGCTGACTCCACTTGCACTGGCACCGCGTATCGAAGATCTACGGCTGTAGTCCGTAGATTCTAATCTAGAGCAGTGGGGAGTCCCTCGCCTGATCTAGACTAGACTAGAGCATGCCTAGCGCCATCTTCCCATGTGACGTAATGATTCTGTGTCGCGCACTCTCGACAGTCTCGTGATCTTTTGCTGCATTGCACTTTCTTGTTCATATTTTTTCGTTGACAATGAATGATACTCTACCGAGCACGGCTGTTCATATCAGGGAGTCGTAAAAGCCCGGGAGAGGACACGGGATGCGCGCACGCGGACGATGTTTGCCTCGGCCAGAAAGTGAAGCACGCTAGGCCGGCGCGGCCGGATCTGTTCGATCCACGGCGCTGTGCTTGTCTTCAGGGCAGGGAGTCCTAAAATACCAATATTTTACAACTCGTTGTTGACACCATTATCCGAAACTGGTGGCGAAGGAAGGATAAACATGATTGTATGTCTGTCAGACTCAGTACAGGGGTGGGGAGTTGAGTGTGTGTGTGTGTGTGGGGGGGGGGGGGGGGGGGGGGGGGAGGCGTGTGTATGTGCACATGTGCTTGTACTTTTGTGTGTGTTTGTACAGTGTTTGTGTGTGTGCTTGTGTGTGTGCGCGCGAACGTGTGTGTGCATTTTTGTGCACAATTCCGTTATGAAGTACAAATGATAGGTTTACCTTTCGTACACTCGCCAAGACTTCCGTTTCCTAAACGGCTCAAGTCACCGCGTACTCAGTATACGAGTAGAAAAGTGTTGAAATTATCAAGATTTATAAATAACGACCTGCAACCATGTACAATGTAGATAGATAGGGAACACACATTGATTGTTTTTAAAAGAATCCAGGCATTATCATGAATCATGGAACGAGTGCGTAATAATGCTCTATGTTGCGTTTTGACGATGCTGAAGGAAGGGAGCCGTCGCGATTTACTCACAACACACGCACAGAAGTCCACTCGACTGCAATTTCTGACACAAATTCATAAATCCACGAGTACGCCGAGGAAGCTCAGCGGATCTCCACAAGAACTTTCGCCCATCACCTGCAATGGAATATGGGCTGTATGATACGACCAGTGGTTAACACGGAAAGTGGCGTCATTTTCCACAAATCTCGTTTCATTCACAACCATTTGACTGCAATTCAGTGCAATTTCTGCCGCAAATTCAACTCCACGAGTACGAGGAAGCTCAGCGGATCTCAACACGAACGTTCGCCCATCACCTGCAATGGAATATGGGCTGTATGCTACGACCAGCGGCTAACACGGGAAGTGGCGTCATTTTCCACAAATCTCGTTTCATTCACAACCATTTGACTGCAATTCAGTGCAATTTCTGCCACAAATTCAACTCCACGAGTACGAGGAAACTCAGCGGATCTCAACACGAACGTTGGCCCATCACCTGCAATGGAATATGGGCTGTATGCTACGACCAGCGGCTAACACGGGAAGTGGCGTCATTTTCCACAAATCTCGTTTCATTCACAACCATTTGACTGCAATTCAGTGCAATTTCTGCCACAAATTCAACTCCACGAGTACGAGGAAACTCAGCGGATCTCAACACGAACGTTGGCCCATCACCTGCAATGGAATATGGGCTGTATGCTACGACCAGCGGCTAACACGGGAAGTGGCGTCATTTTCCACAAATCTCGTTTCATTCACAACCATTTGACTGCAATTCAGTGCAATTTCTGCCACAAATTCAACTCCACGAGTACGAGGAAACTCAGCGGATCTCAACACGAACGTTGGCCCATCACCTGCAATGGAATATGGGCTGTATGCTACGACCAGCGGCTAACACGGGAAGTGGCGTCATTTTCCACAAATCTCGTTTCATTCACAACCATTTGACTGCAATTCAGTGCAATTTCTGCCACAAATTCAACTCCACGAGTACGAGGAAACTCAGCGGATCTCAACACGAACGTTGGCCCATCACCTGCAATGGAATATGGGCTGTATGATACGACCAGCGGCTAACACGGGAAGTGGCGTCATTTTCCACAAATCTCGTTTCATTCACAACCATTTGACTGCAATTCAGTGCAATTTCTGCCACAAATTCAACTCCACGAGTACGAGGAAACTCAGCGGATCTCAACACGAACGTTGGCCCATCACCTGCAATGGAATATGGGCTGTATGATACGACCAGCGGCTAACACGGGAAGTGGCGTCATTTCCCACAAATCTCATTTCGTTCACCCCAACTCAAATAAAAGTGAAGTACAATTAGGGATTTGTCTTGCATTTCCATCGCCTCAGAATAAATTAACTTCGATAAACTGAGAGAGAATGAGTGAGGCAGCTGGAAGATGAGGATGAAAATAGAGATCAGAAGACTCGACGGAGCAATCGTCTCCGTGGTCTAAGAGAAATCGGAGAATGTCCCAATTAGTATTTCAAGAAGACATCACAATTTTCGAAAATAATAATTTCCTTGCCTCGCAACACCGTTCCCTGGCAGCGTTCCCCGGCAGCGCGAGGCAAAGATGTTTTCTGGGAATGTGTGCCGTGTCCTCTCCCGGGCTTTTACGACTCCCTGGTTCATATGATCACGTCAGCGGACATCTAAGATGGCGTCGGCTTTGAGCATGAGTCATTTGAAAATGCGAAAGGCTAACGCGTGCTAAAGGGACAAGCCCAACTATTTTTGCGGATTTTCTGTCATAAAAAATAAACGTCACAGGCTGCTCTTCGTAGGTGTCCGCGTCCCAGCGGTCCGGGCAAGCGACCGCACCTCAGTGGGACACTTGGCCGTGGCTTTTGTACTGCAATCTGTGGGAGAGCCTTTCCAGGGGTAGTACACACCTGGCCTGGGTACCAGGTATGGACGAATCCCTGGTACATGGTGTTGATCCTTTTTTGTTCCTTTCCTTTTTATTTGTTTTTGCTGAGAAAGAAACGTTGCTGTTTCTGTTCCCGCCAGCGCCTTTGCTCTAGTAAAACATTGCTGGCTGATAAATGGTCATTGCTCGTGATGCCAAAGGTGAAGGGAATCTGGGTTTCTTGCCATTTGCAACTCCCTGTCTCTGAAAATGTAGCTTGTAGCTCCGAGTATGTTAGTTTTTCGACGTGCCAGACCTATTGGTATGAGCTGCAGAGATGAGGAGCAACGAAGGCGTTGGATTAATGCGTTGGATTGATGCCAATAATGGTGTTTATGGCCGGACAACGCCAGCGGTTTTCACTTGTCAGGAGGACAGTCAAGTTGGAGCAGGCAGATGACGGATTATTAATTTTGGCGCATTTTTTTGCAGAGTGGGTGGCTTGCCGAAGAGAATCATCTCAGTACCTCATGGTTACTAGTATCTGACAAATGCCTCTTATTGCTAGTCTGCATTAGAGCATAGCAGAATTGGTCATGTCACAAGTACTAGTAGTGTCAAGACTTGATGTGCTACGATTGTACTCAGATCATGTGGCAACTTCACGGTAATTCGTCCTGCCACTTTACGCTCTCCCGGAATTCCCTGCAGAAGTCACGTGCCTGTGCAGGGGACAACGTGTTTGCATTGCTTACTGATGCAAGCGGATGGAGTGCAGAGCAGATAAGAAGACATAATCTGGCTATTCAAATAGCTTCGGCTGCTATTAATTGGCTGGACTCCTGGAAACGTGGGCAAGAATCTAAACCAGTCCACGGAAACGATGTGACACCACACAGGAAGCTAAATGGCAAACCAATCAAGTTCTTTGGTAATGAAACCTTTCACCAACGTTGTCCGGTTTCATGCCTAGTGTCACTCACACAAGACCAATGGATGCCACATGTACCTAAAAGATACGCTGTTGATCAACCACAACTCCAATACCACTGAGCAGCGTCTTCTATACAGATCCAATTAGATATTGAAGTATATGAGTCGAAGTTGCTGGTATAGTCTCTCCTAATGACCGCGTATTTGGCATAATTTTCTCTATACTGCACTCTAGAGCTACTTACCTTTTCCGACATTGAACTCAGGCAGTGACCACTCGCCCACAGAATGAGCCAATTGACACAGACACCAAGTACCATGTGCATTCGTCGCAAGAGAGACACGCAAGTTTGCAAGTGCAGTGGATGTACACCCACTGATTTTCTCTTATGCCAACGATATCAGACATGACCTGAGTGAAACATATCAAGACTAGCACAGCATTACTGCCCAATTCCGTAATTATAATTATTGCGATGCCTTGTGAAAGGATTCTCAATGCACACCTGGTCTACGCCACACGGAATACATCGGATGATAATGACCAAGACAGCTGCCTATGTCTTTCTCTTTCCCTCTCTCTCTCTCTCTCTCTCTCTCTCTCTCTCTCTCTCTCTCTCTCTCTCTCTATCTATCTATCTTCATCTATATCTATCTATCTATCCAATCTGGGGACAGAACTGTTTCGTCCTTTGTGGACTCATTAGCACAGCACAGAGAAATGAGGCCGAACCTGATTGCAATGAAAAATAAATTCCAAAGCCATATTTAAACCAGGGCCGAATATACTGTGCCAAAAATATCTCTCTATCTATCTCTATCTCTTTATCTCCTTGAGGGCACACTGGGTCCCCTGTTTTCGCAATTCTCCACCTATCAACTCCCTTCTGTGTTTGTGTGTGTGTGTGTGCGTGCACGGGTGCAGGGTATATGCGCACATATCTTTCCTTCTCTTCCTGTCTTTACCTGGTTTGTGAATCGGCTTTTTAATCATATTTTTTTTCGGCTCACTGTTTTATGAGTTCACCTCATTATTGCACACAGGCAAGCAGTCAGGCAGCATTGCAACAAATCAGCTTTGCTTCACTCCTGTACAGTAGTGTCTACTACACTCTGCTTTCGCCGCATTCGACAACTCTCAGCACTCTAGATCTGTGTGCATTATGCTGCTACCTACTTGTATTATACTACTTCAGTATTAGAAATCCAACGAACGAAATCTCTCGTATCTGTGTGTCTCCACATGTTTCTCTGTCTGTCTGTCTCTCTATTCTATTAATATATCTGTCTGCCTCTCTCTCTCTCTCTGTGTCTATGTGTCTCTGTCTGTGTCTTGGTTTTTCTGTATGCCTGTCTTTGTCATTCTCTAGCTGTCTGCCTATCTCGTTCTGTCCGTGTGCCTGTCCCTATCTGTCTGTCTGTCCATCTGTCTGTCTGTCTGTCTTCCTTTCTGTTTCTCTGTCTCCATCTGTCTGTCTCTGTTTTTCTGTCTGCTTCTCTTCTTCAGTCTTTCTCTGTGTGTCTCTCTTTGTCCCTCACTCGGTCACTGTTCTCTGTCTCTTTCTTTCTCAGTTTTCTCTCTCTGTTTCTGTGTGTGTGTGTGTGCGTGTGCGCGTGTCTCTCTCTCTCTTCTCTTCTTCTCTCTCTCCCCCCCCCCCCCTCTCTCTCTCTCTCTCTCTCTCTCTCTGTGTTTCTCTGAATCTTCGTCACGGCCTTTCTGTCTGCCTATCTGTGTTTGTCTGTGTAACTCTCCAGCTGTCTCCCTGTCTTGGTCTGTCTCTGCTTGTCTCTCTCTGCTTGTCTCTCTATGTTTGTCTGTCTTCTTGGCCCTGTACTTATGTCGCTGTTTCTCCGTTTGCTTCTCTTCTGTCTCTCTCTCAGTCTCCGTGTCTTCTTCCTTCTCGATCTGCCTCTCCCTTTCTTAGTTTTTTTCTCACTGTCTCTCCCTAAGGACCCTCTGTCTCTGGCTCCCTGAGTCTTTGTGTCTGTCTCTCCTTTTGTCATTCATTATGTGCGTCCCTCTGTTTCTGTCTCGGTCTTTCTGTGTCTGATTGTCTGTATCTGTCTGTTTTCTCCTCAGTCTGTGCTTTGTCTCTTTCTCTCTGAGTCTGTGTCTCTGTCTGTCGCTCTTTATGCGCAGCATCCCTCCGTTTCTGTCTTTCTGTGTCTGTCTGTCTGTCTCTATCTCTCTACCAGCCGCTGTTCTACACATAATGAAATTGTGTGGCACCGCGCACGTGGCTATGCGTGGGACATTCACACGCACACACACACACACACACACACATCCGTACGCTCGATCATACAAGTACATGTAGTAGTGAAGAATTCACCTCAGACACATTATTAAAACGTATCTCTCTTTCTCTCTCTCTCTCTCTCTCTCTCTCTCTCTCTCTCTCTCTCTCTCTATGCCTGCCACTGTGCTGCATATACAGTTAGTGAAATTGAATGGCACAGAACACGTACATGACTGTATATTTACGCACACATGGGGCATTCACGGATGCACCCACACACACCATGTATACGCCCGTCGCAAGAGAAGCACCAAATCTGCAAATGCACACCCACACACACACACTTGTACGCTCGATCATACAAGTACACACACACTCATACGCTCGATCATACAAGTACAATGTAGATTATGTAGTAGTGAAGAATTCACATCAGAGACATTAAAACGTCTCTCTCCCTCTCGCTCTCTCTCTCTATGCCTGCCACTGTGCTGCATAATATTATACAGATAGCGAAATTGGTGTGGCATATAACATATACATGACTGTATATTTACCCACGGGCCAAGCGTGGGACATTCACGGATGCACACACACACACACACCACACCACACACATGGCCTGCAGCAAATAACATTTCATAGCTACAAGACCTTCAAAGAAAGTCATGGTGTCAAGAAGATAGACACGTACAAGGATAATTGTAAAGTATAAATTATATTATACATGTACATGTAGCAGGGATATTCTCAGAGAGTCAAACTACCGGATGAAATGGCAAACGAAAGTCTCAACTTCAGAGAGTAGAGTAGAGAGTAGAGTGGGTGGGTGTGCAGACCAGCGAAGGTCATAACAAATTGATAATAACGTGTAACCAATGCCGGCAATGGATAATGTGTGAGCGACCAAAGAGGCGTACATAGCATTACCTGTACCACCATAAACACACCTTGACCTTGCCCATTGCGTAGCAATGATACCGCATTGTTATTTCTCCAGTCCACGACAGAATGACTGATGGCGTTTCAGGTCGCCGCTTCGACGGAACATGCGGCCGCAGGCGCAACCGTAGCCAGCAGCAGAGGGTGCCTTGTGTGGTCGATGGGCAATGGCACGCCACTCCGGATGGTTCTGGGCTGCATCGTACCATCCACATGTTGGTACCGGTGGCTCAACCGGCTCAAAGTCATGCATAACAACGTCCCTCCACCTCTTGCGTGGATCACGCGCGGGGCGCGGGGCAGGCAGTTCACCGAAGAGAACACACTTCGGCAACCGGTGATCTTCCCTCCGTGCCACGTGTCCAAGCCAGCGCAAACGTCATTCCCGTATGATGTGACCAATGTCCTCAGGCACTCCAAGTTTGGAGCAATGTTCAGATAGTCCAGGCATCAGGCAAATTTATAATGGCGGTCCAAGCTAGTTGAATATCTGGATCACTTTTTCTCATCTGGTCTACACTCCATCCGCTTGCATCCGTAAGCAATGCAAACGCATTGTCCCTTGCACAGGCGCGTGACTCCTGCAGGCAATTTTGGGAGAGCGTAAAGTGGCAGGACGGATATTCCCGTGAAGTTACAACATGATCTGAGTATAATCGTAGGACATCAAGTCTTGACACTACTTGTGACATGATCAATTCTGCTATGCTCAATAATGCAGACTAGCAATAAGAGGCATTTGTCAGATACTAGTAACCATGAGGTACTGAGACGATTCTCTTTAGCAAACCACCCACTCCGCTATAAATGCTCAAATAATCTGTCATCTGCCTGCTCCAACTTGACTGTCCTCTTGACAAGTGAAAATCGCTGGCGTTGTCTGGGCCATAAAACCATTATTGGCATTAGTCCAACGCCTCCCTTGCTCCTCATCTCTGCATCTCGTAACGATAGGTCTGGCACATCGAAATCTAAAACTAAAATACTTGGAGCTCTTATTTGTTCAAGCTATATTTTCAGAGCCAGGAAGTTGCAAATGGCAAGAAACCCAGCTTCTCTTCACCATTGGTATCACGAGCTATGATCATTATCAGTGAGCAACGTTACTAGAGGAAAGTCGCTGGAGTGAACAGAAAGCTTTCCAAGCAGCAACGTTTCTTTCTCAGCAAGAACAAATAAAAATGAAAGAAGCAACACCAAGGATTTGTCTATCCCGGTATACCAGGTATACAATGGTATAGGTACCCGGGTGTGTGTAGCCTCTGGCATGGCAAGGTTCTGCCACAGATTTCCAGTACAACGGCCACGGACAAGTGTCCCACTGAGATGCGGTCGCTCGCCCGGACCGCTCCGACGCGGACACCTGCGAAGAGCAGCCTGTGACGTTTATTTTTTTATGACAGAAAACTGCAAAAATAGTTGGGCTTGTCCCTTTAGTCCTACCCACTTCCGCTCGAGATACGCATTTTTCCTAAACTTATCGTAGCAAACGATGATATCTTCGGCTTCCTCCGAGCCTGTTGACCAGTAACTCGCGATTTTCCAGAAGAGAAAGGAAAGACGAATCGTTTGATACCTCGCTCGACGACGAGCGTCGTTTTGGTCCCGATCGTGGAAGAGAATTGGGCCATTTTTTGTTCGTCGTAACTATTGTTGTATGTTATTGTGTAGCCGTATTTCCTACTCCCAGAGAAGCGTTGCTGGAGTTTTCCCGTGCTTTCAGGAAGTTTTCCTGGTAGGCCCAAGGCTTCGGCCATCCGAAAAACATAAATTCGTGAGCGGAAGCTGGTACATTTTTTTGGAAGCTGGTGGAGATGTTCTTGCACTTTGTGTGATTTTTAGGGCTCGATGGATAGTCTTCTGCATGTCCTGGCATCTGTATGCTGGATCGGTGGCCAGAAATTCGCTGATTAGCCTTGCAGTACTACGTACTTTGCATCTGAGCATGAAAAATGGCCTCAAGGGCATGGGAGTTGATATTTCGGAGGACTTACTTGAACAACATGCTGCTGCGATCATGATAATTGTGCACAATTGTGTTACATGACAGTCGCACTACTAAGCAGTGATAGCTGTGCCTTGTGTTGAATTGAGTACAAACATTATACATCATGACTAGAAACTGCCACGCGATCAAAGGTATGCACAGCACGAGTACGCAGCAGCCGCCGTCCTGGAAGACGCTCGCACCGTGATTTGGTGGTAGCGGCATAGCACAGTAGAATGCATGCAGCATACTCCTGTGTCAAGCCACAACTGACAAACGTTACGTGCCTACAACAAGTCATCTACAACAATGTACATGCCATCAATTATATATTCACAGCGTAATGGCACAACTTCCGAAGGCAAATGTCACAATTGGAAGAGAACATATTTAGCAGCCAGACAAACTGGGTGAAACTCCAGTCAGACTGCACAGGCATAAGTCACAGCAAAAGCACACTCATAGTCATGGCTACACACAACACACGCACGATCGCATACGTGCGCGCGCACACGCACCCACCCAGACGCACACACAACATGAATACCGATATGCGGCACTGACAAATTTACACTGCAATAAGAACAGGAAAATGAGCACATACGTGGTGTATGACTACCACTCAATAATGGAAAAGACACTAGATTTAAAGTTCAGCTGAGGACGGTGTTATGTCCTGGGTCAGACTCTTCGTGGAAACAACCATGCACGGAGATAACAATAACTATGGACTGTCGGGATTAAGTGGAGTGCAGCACACTGTCACTGTCCAAAGAGGATGATGGATGAGGGCAAACAGTCACACACCTTGCGGACACTCAAGGCTGATCATAGCGCTTTCGTTGCTGCTGGTTCCCCGCGGCAGTTCGGCTCACAACGTTGTGTAGTTATCCGGTCCCGAATTCTGCTGGTCGAGATCAGCCATACCGTTGTGCCAGTTTTGCATCTTGACCTGGGGATCCATCCCTGGATCTACGCTGCATCAATGCTGGCAGAGGTCGGCCAGCTCGATTGGCACAACGCCAGCCGCATCCAACAGCAACAGCAACGAGCAGTACACAGCATTGGTCACACTACATGCCAAGCTGCAGCAATGCATAGCCGACGCGGAAGCAGCCTAGCAGAAAGCCCCACGCATTTCAGGCTGGCCCAGCTACTTAGCTCTGCAAGGCCATTAGCAGTGTGCCACCGGCAGCATTTTGGAGGTTGTGCCGGCAACTAAATCCAGCAGGAGTCGCAGGCAGCATTGCATGATCAGACTGACAATTTCAGGCGACAGTTTGTTGCTGAATCTCCTGCTCACTCCCATCATATCACTACAAGGTAGCTCATCCATACTGCTAATACTGTGCGGTGCTCTTATGTCGTTGCCGCGGAATAATACTACAGTAATACCAACTGTAAGAAGCTGTGTTGGATCAGTTTTACACTGGTTGCTGTATTCCGAGCTCCAATAGATATTCCTGGGACAAAACCACGGACTAGAAATTCAGTCTTGCACTGTTTCTTCACTTCCATTGTCTTCTGCAGGTTAATGATGATGGCTTAGCACTGAGCAACATCGAACATTTCATGAGCTCGTTCAAGACGAGATCGTGAAGAGAAACAAATGCCATGTTACCCCTAATCTGCACCTTTTAGAAATGCACGCCGTGCCAGCTGTAACCCGACTCCATGTGGCCTTGGCTTGCTATTTGAGCAAGGCTCAGAGAGCATCCATGCGGAATTCAACTCCCACTCTAATTAGAGTGAAGCGTTCCTGCGCCAATGAAACGGCTCGAAGCAATCGCAACGACTATCAAGAACGCTGCCCATGTCCAGGCCACTCCGTGGCCGTAGCTAAGGCATGGAGGAAAACGGCATCCACTATAATCCTTCTCTTTCGGCTAGCTTACTCCATAGTGACTAAGTCCTGCTCTTCTTCGTCCTCCTTCTGTTACAATTTTTATTTTGTTGCTTTGATCTTCGCGTTTGGTCAGGTCTAACAAACCCAATTTACATAGGGTTACCTAGTTGATTCTACTTGATTCTAAAAGGATCCACCTGAAAACACACCAAGTTCATAAATCGAACGTGCAATGTGCAAATGTGCGATTTTCCAGTGAATTCGACGCCATTTTGATAGATGGCCGCAGCTGAACAGCCGTGCGAGTTTCATACGTACATATCGCGCCGGCGCCGGCGCCGCATTGTGCGCCGTGGACCACAGTGGGCCCTAGGCTAGGCGCTACCGGTACCCAGCCAGTCGACGCGTCTGCAAAAATACAATCACGTCCGAGACGTCGTAGTCGTACAAAATCATCACATCTGCCTCAGCTAGCTCAGCACGTCGCGACGTTATCATTTCATGGTTTATCTGGACCGAAAAAAATGAACCGAGCATGCATACCACACGAGAAGCATGGCCAGAGCAACACTGCCAACAGCACTAGACTGTCTACCATGGTCTACGTGTCTACTCTACACTCGGTAGTAGATCTACACTACACTAGACCTACACTGCCACTCTACTACTACAATTTACAAAATAGTCTACACAGACTACAGCCTAGCGTGCATGCAGGTAAGGCACTTGTCTTGTTTATGCGTTGTACACTCCTACTGGCAGTACTGCTCTCACCATGCTCACTGCACTGCCGGCCACAGCGGAGTCGTAATCGTCGTTGCTTTGCGCTGAACGATTTTTTTGTTGCTTTGAAGCTCGAGGAGATTGAGTGTAGGTAAGCTGTGTCTCTAGCTCCGTGCCTTGTCCGTCATCGTCGGGTAGCGGAGTTGCTCTCGCCTTGGACAGTTTCAGGGCGTATCCATTAGAACGTAGAGTTGGATATCTGGAGGCTAGCGACTGAGCTGAACGGCTAACGCGTCCCTGCAGAAAACTCCGAATGCGCAGGAGGAGCTGATGTGTTGCTAAACCAGCTAGGTGTTTGGAAAAACAAAACATCTGCCAGCGTGCGGCGACTCCCAGAGACGTGAAAGATGAGCGCAAACTGGGGAAAGGATTTGTGGGTGAGTCTCTTTCTCCTGCGCTTTTGGTTGGTGTGCTGCACGCGGTGTGGTCGCTGGTGGATGTTCATTGTCGTTCCGCGAAATTCCCGCGTTCCTACGTCCTGTCTGCATACGTGGCCGTCCGCTCATGTCTTCGTGTGCATGTGTGCGCTGTGTGTGTGTGTATGTGGGCACGGTGCGGTGATCCCGCTGAATCTGCGTTGGTACGTTCTCGTTGGTGATGTTCTGGTGATTTTAGGATCAATACGATCGTGCGTGCAACCATTTGGACGGTGGAATTGATTTTGTAAAACGTTGCCAATCCTTCACTAAGGACAGATTGAAGATCGAGGCCGATTACGCAAAGGAGCTCAGGTAAATAATGGAGATGTTGGGAAGTAAATGCGTGCCCGCGCGTGCGATGGCGGCTTTCCTATGTAACCATAAGTGACGGCTTGAGCAGTACGCACTGCCTGCATCCTGTTCTGCACTTTGGGGCCGATCAGGGCTTCGTGTGTTTTGGAATTCTAGGTTATGCAAAGTGCAATATGAGCTCATTCATATATCCATCATTTACTTTTGCCAAACAGGCTTGCATGTGAATAACATTGTTCTTTCAACGGTTGACTTGCCCGCCGCTATTTTCTCCCCCGTTGAACCAAGCTGCTACACCATGTGCTGTGTCGACCTTTCCATTGCCACCCCTTTGCCATGCGCGACGTACGGGATCTCCCTGCTCACTCGGGCCATACCTCTGACTCTGTGTCTGCGTGTGTATGTTGCTTGCACAGAAAACTCGCCAAGTCCTATCAGAAAAGAAAAGAGGACGATTTGAAGTAAGTTCTGTCTAGCTAACCTCGTGCGCTGGTGTGTCGTTTTGCAAAATCCGTACATGCGATCATGGTGCGCAAGGACGAAAGGCCCACGTTCCAACATGACGGTGTCGTAGTCCTGTCGCAAGCACTGTTTTAGCTTCAAAATAGGATCGCGATGACCTCAAGTGTATCCGCTTGATAACATCGAGTACGCGTATCGCGTGGCAGCCCTCCAACCTGGCACGACGAGCTATCCAGTCCGATGCGCCGAAGTAAAGTCTTTGAAGCGCGCCCTAAAACGAAAGGTGGACACTTGTCCTGTCGTTCGGTATGTAAGATTGGCGAAAAGCTGTTGTGGTGGAGTCTGTTTCTCCTCCTCCGTGCGCCGAGCGGTCAGTCTGTGACCAGAAACAAATCATACTGATCTCGCGTTGTCATGTGTCGGGTAGGCGATGCCACGCTCCTTGACCTGCCCCGTTGTTTGCATTGATAGCGTTGTGATTATTTTCTTCCCATCCCTATTTTCTGTAGCTCTGGAAAAAATGCGGTGAATCCGGACCTTGCGGTGGGGTCGAGGTAGTGCTTCACTTGTCCTGTTTCATGTCTTTCAGTACGGAGAGTGAGAGCACCATACCCTAGGTGAATGAATGAATGAATGGCCCACGTCCTTGCACGCCTGTGTCACTGCGAATCTTTTTTGAGTATTGCCTATTGGTCAACTGGGAGAGTGCTTCTGCTGTGCCTGGACGCTGAGTGTGTTCTGGAGTACACAGCTCTTTTATGGGTGCAGTCATTGTCGTAGTTATTTGAATACCATGATGCAAATAATTATGGCATTCATCTCTGACTAGGCTTAGCGCAAGGCATACCAGAAGGGGAGGTTGAAAGATGGGTTCCCTTAGCAACCTTCCATGGGTACGTTTCTCGCCAGCGTGGATACGCGTGCATGGTATCGTCTGTGCGTTTACATGAACGTCTTCACAAAGGTGTGTGTTTGTGGTGGAATATTGTCAGTGTGGTACATTATCAATGTTGCGTGAGCACTATTTCGTGTAATGGGTTGGCTACTTGAAACTCCATCAGTGCAACTACGAACTGAGATAGAAAGGAGCGGCGGAGCATGGCACCGAGGCACTGACACCACAACGGCCGCTCAATGTGCTAGCTCAAAGCGACCTCAGGGTACGAAACATAATGGGCAAAGCCTGAACCGAAAATTGGTGCAAAGCAGCAAAGAACATGTTATGCACCTAGTCACCACCACACTCATACATGTAGCATTCCCATGCCTGGGAAATGAAAACTACTGCAATTTCACAAATTTTGGGTGTACTTTTATTTTCGGTACTTTCGGTGTTTCTGTTTCATACCTAAAATTTCAATACAACGAACAAAAACTAACACACATAATCCAATAGGGAACTGCTACTCTGCACCTAATTTTTCTGTTCACCTAACCTGGCCTTTTTGCTCTCATACCGAAAATATTGAGCACCTAAAATTTCTGAAATTAAAGTACTTGCCTACATGTGCATGTGAAGTGCCTTAGATGTGTAATCCCGGAATCGCACGATAAAGTGGTGCGCAATAAGTGTAAGATGTGCGCACAATGCTGAAATTATTTATGCGGTATCCCGAGCTGCCTAGACCGGCCGTGTTTGTATAGTATCCCGAATACTGTATGGTAAACACCCTCATCAGCTGGGGTTAGTTTTTGGTTGGCTGGCACTGGCTGGTTTTCCGTATTTAATCCTATCTTCTAAAATGCTGTTGATGAATTAAGTTTACCCTTGATACGTATCTGAACATGGGTAACAAGCCGGTGTCATGGAGTCAGCAGATGTTGCCATAAACCGATCAGCTCCAGCACTGTAGGTGTACGTGTACTGGTGTTTTTGTTTACCCGCGTGAGGTATGGTGCAGACATCTTGAGGATGCTGTTGCGCTGACCGCACTTGACCGGCATGGTCGTGTTGTGTTTGTGTCTTGACATCAGCCGTTGATGTGAACGCATGAGCTGCATAGTTTGTCTGGTGTTGTTCTTGTGGAGCTGCCGAGCACGGAATGCTCAATGATGACCCCTCTCTCGCACACACTTCACTTTCACATGCGCATAGCTGAAGCGATGATAGCAAACAAACTTGTGCTAGGATTACATCATTCAAGAGCTTGCAAGGCTGATGAATTGACCGCCACGAATTTTAGCCTAATCTACACCACACAGCTGTGCCCGCACACACACACCACACACACATACACACACACACACACACACACACACACACACACACACACACATGCACACACACACACACACACACACACGCACACACAAACACCTATCTCATGTTTGTAGAACGTTTTGTGCATGAAATTGAACAGTTACCATTTCCACGCAATAATACTGGTATTGCAAATGATGTGCGAGATGTACTGTAGTATGATCCCATTTCCCTCAGATTCCAAGTTGGCTCAGTACTAGTACGTGCCAGTAAAAGTAGCTACATGTATTTGAATGTAGCTGGTTCCCATACCGGTGGCAGCTAAATTGAACAAAAACAGTCTGCGCGAACTATGTCATGCGCAACCGTAACAATCTGAACTTGACTCTTCCTTGGTGCAGTTTTGCTAGTCCATTGTATCTCACCTATCCAGACTCGGGCACTGTAAACCTTGACTTTCCCGGTGAACCCTTTCCTAAGGGCCGTGTCGGGTAGCATTTAATTCGGGTATCGGGTTCAGGTGCTTTGCCGCTTTGCTGCGGGTGACACCGGTGCCTGGTAGGGCTTGAAAGTGATGGTGTGAGAAGTCAACAAATAATAACTTTGGGTGAAAATGTGGATCCATTTGACCGTAGCGAAGTGCAGTAGTTGATGGGCACTGGTAAGGCCCTCATGTGACACGCTGGTGTAATGTTTTCTGTACTAGGAGTGTGTCCCCGACCGGGAGTGCCTACTACAGCGAGTCCCTACCCGCGCATGTGTCACCCTGCTGTGAAGGAAAACCAACCAAACATGTTTGGCTGCGTGCATTAACTGCAGTTTTTGTACGGAGCCATACATGTTTGGTTGAAGTGGATCCAAAAGTCGGCATTGTCATGACTACAGGCTGGCTGTGATGTAGCATGTTCAAACCCTATCGGGTGTTGTTACCGAAGGAAACACGATGTTTCAATGTTTCATTTACGGCACAAAAGAACTGTATCCTCTTGATGAGTTTGGGTACATTGGTATCATCTCTCCAATAATTTCCCATTATGCCCAAGATCATCGCGATTGGTGAAAACAGAACCAAAGGTATGGTGTGGAGAAAGAACAATATTAAAATGCACCTATACATGTGCATGTCTATGCACAAACACCCGTCTGTAATCGAGTACTTTATGTCGTGTTTTCTTTGCTCCGCCAGGTACACTGAGGTAGCAGCTTTTTACAAGGTAGTGAAGGAAGTTGACGACACAGCCGGGCAGCACGAGATTATCGTTGAAACAAGCAATGTCAAAGTTCAGGAACAACTGAAGAAGCTTCACCATGAGCTCCACAAGGAGAAGAAAGGGGTGAGTATTTTGCGGCAGTGGTTGCAGTGTATACATACAGAGTATGCACCATGCAAAAAGTGCCAGTGTGCAACAGAGGGAAGGCAGTGCATTGCTGCTCCCGTCAATACTAGTATCGATGCTGAATCTGCCCTGTTTGCAATGGCTAGCGACCCAGTCCCTCTTGAGACTACATGCATGGGAATGGCATCATCATACTTCCTCCGGAAACTAGTGACTTTTTTATTCACATTCAAGAGAGTCACAGTGCCCAAATAATTTTGTTCAGTAGAACAATAGTAGTTCGAGACGACGAGTGCATATTCTTCTTTGAAACAGAAATATGTACACCATTGTGCAAGAGAACTCGGCATCGTTTGTCTCGGAGTCACCATTGCTCGAATCCTCAGAGCTCAATTCTCCAGAACTGATAGGTCAATCGAAGTCCCGGAGTTTTTGTTACCAGAGGAAGCATATGTGTAGTGTTTAGTGGCAATTGTAGAGCAATGACGACGCCTCAGATAGTGAAACACTAGTAGTTTTATAGTCGTTATCATCTGCCTCACTGACACATTTCAAACCCATAGTACAGAGTGGGCAGAAAATGTCGTCGGTCAATAATTTCGTCCAACTACAAAGAAACTAAGTTCGTCCGGTTGTAAAATTCGTCCATGGACCATAAGAGTGTATTGAAAAGCTGGACAAGTCGACATTCGTCCGACATTTAATTTACTCCAAAAGCTCCTTGGACGAAAAAGACGAAATTAAATTCCAGACGAGTATTTCTGCTTGTACAGTAGGGCTCACCCGACGCACTTGTAGGCATCATTGGGACCCGTCTGCAGCATAGAATTCAGTATGAAAATTGGAAACGTTTCTTCCCATTATCCAAGCTTGCTGTTTACCCTGGTTGTCCATTGTTCTTTTGCAGTACATGCATGAAGGAGCCAAGCAGGCAAGCAACTACAGCCAGGCGCTAAGCAACCTTGAAAAGGTAAGATTGAGACTTTGTGTAGCTACGACGCCTCCACGTATACTCGATTCACATCATACACGTAGAAGTTTTCTGTTCTGTTTGTCCTCTTTCATCTGCATGTACTTGACATGTCATGATTTAGTCCAAACTACCCACAAGATATGCGTTCTCCAGATCTCGTCCACCACACTAGTGGCATCCTTTGGCATCCTTATGGTATATACAAGCATGCCATGCCATGCTTACCACAATAGTTGTTGCCGTCATCGTGTCATTGTTTTCACTGTCGCCGTTGCGTGTGCTGCTTCTCCTACTGCTGCTGCTGTTGCGGCAGCAGTAGCAGCTGCTTGTAAACTGCTACTTCTGGTAAACTGCTTCTGCTACTGCTGCTGGCGCTCCTGCTGCTAGCGCTCCTGAAGTAGCTGTTGTTTCATGCATGAAGGCATGCACAAGGGTATTCAACTTCACACGAATCATGTTCCCCCAAATAACCTGTACCCTTCTATTGTTCTGTATCTCTGGTTCTGCTCTGTGCCCAAACCATAGGCTAAGAAGAAGTATGAAGCTGCTACGCAAGAAGCCGAGCGAGCCCAGCTTGCCTTTGACAAGGCCAGCCAGGACATGAACCTAACCAGAGCAGCTGTGGAGAAGGTACGCTCTATCCACTGGGGAAGACACTATGTTCAAAACACCGCTGAACTAGTCAAATACAGCCGCGGCCAAAGAAATCCGACCCGCGAGTCAAAAGTAGCGCCGCGTTTCCTTTTCAATTATATCATGCATGTTCCCAGAACTGATCCGAGGGCTGCAGGGGCTGCATGAGCCTTCGCGCTGCTTGCGGCACGTGGGTTGGATTTCTTTGGCCACATCTGTAGTATTACTCCTAGCTCCGTACGCATCTCCACACCCAGACCATTGCCAGTAGAATTACATTGAAAAGGACTTTGTCGACAAGGAAACAATGGAAATACAACTCGACAGGAAAGACTCAAGACGAAGACAGACATTCCACATAACGGCAACACACGCACGGGTGTCTGTTTTCAACAAACAACATACACATGCTGAACTGATATAATCCTTTTGAAAATGTGTGGAGTCCGTACATTCCAATCCCGGTTTGTGAGTGCACTACGCGTCTCTTGTGCAGGCTTGCACCGTGTACTAAGCTTATCATTGCCTTCACTTGGCATGACATGGCACAGTGAACAGTTGTGTGTATCTATAATCCGCTGTTCGAGCGTACATGCAGCACCTCGTTGAGCTACTCAATCCAGGTGAAAGCAGGATTCCTTGTTCAACGCACTGCATGTGGGTTTGAACTGCAAATCATAGACACACGAAACCGGATAATCCCAGTTCACGTTCAATTTGTACGGGGATGGATGCGTGGAGGTGAAAGTAGCGCTAGGATGGCGCTCAACTCGATATCCGACACCGTGTTGAGTCAGAACAGTTGCCAGGAAGCCCTTCCATGGCTTCGGTGAAAAAGAAGAAGCTTCAGAATCGCTCCAAGAGCTGGTGGAGACGAACCTGTCACATTTCGTACACATCTCAATGCGTCTTCACCTGCGACCTGTTCACCACAGTCTCGGCAGGGCCGTCGGAACCGGCGCGGCAGGTGGGGCCAGAGCCACACCAATAATTTTATCCTGTGATCTCTGAAGTAATGAAATATGGGCTATTTCAAGCCTATTTGGGCCCAATTTCCCCAAAATAATCCGGGAGGCCTTGGACCCCCTCCCCGCCTTGTAATAGCTGCACTAATGTAGAATACCTTCCGACGCCCCTGCTCGGGGTGAGCGACGCTGGCCGGTACCGTGCTGCGTCCTTGAAAAAGCTCTACATGTTTGCCTGTGAACAGAACAGGACTTCTTCCTAGGCACGGCGTAACAAATCTACTTTAGCTTTAGCCCCATGTAAATGAATTCAGCTGCAAGTTGACGTACCACGTGGGTGAACCGGGGCAAATGACCACCTGGTTTCAGTAACCACCTGGTGTTAAGACCGTTAGTCTGTAGCACGCAATGTGTGCATACCCGGGGTCGCACGTGTGTACTTTTATATTGCAGCCAGTCACATAGGTGGCCGCTAAGCCCGGTTTCACCTGTATGTTAACCCTTTAAGAGCCGCCCCATACTTGAATGCGTCGTAAACGACGCATTCAAATGCAAAACTTCAAAAGATCGTAACTCAGTCCAATCTCGCTCAAATCCAGTGATCGAAATATCCAGGGCGAAGAGAAAACTCTCACCTGTCGGTAGAAACAATCCACGAAGCCCTGCGAGCAACGGTTCCTGAGATAAATCACTCGTAAGTTGAGCCGCGATCGCGGCAATTTCAAAAGCGCGCAGTGCGACTTTAGTATTGAGAATTTTGAGACTTTTCGTGACGCTGGTTTACTTGAATTTGCACGGGTTTCACTGTTGATATTGTCAAGAGTACACAGCGAAAAAATTGGAACTCCACGACCGAGTAAAATGAAATATCTGGAGCGGGACGCAATTGGACGCATTTGGGGCATTTTTCGTACTGTCGCTGCGATCTAGCGCTGGATAGACGGTGTGCTGGCTATCATGATCGACCTCATTCTCTTCCTCTCGCGGAGACCTTTCCAGGAAGCCCTAGATTGTGAGGATTGAGTGAGTAGAACTGAAGCTATGATCCAAGGAACACGAAAAAATGCAGAATTTTGAAATTTTCCTGTGGCTCTTAAAGGGTTAATGCTTGTGCATGCATTTGTGTGTGTATTTGCGTGTGTGCAGGTGCGCATGTGTGTGTGTGTGTGTGTGTGTGTGTGTGTACATGGTGTGTGCGTGTGTGTGCGTGCGTGTGTGTGTGTGTCGACCCGACCATCCTACTTCACCCTCTCAGTGCCACGGACGACTTTAGTCGCCAGAATGAGTATGTGTGTACAAATAAATTCGTATCTCCACTTCTACACACAGGAGAGTTACAAGCGACCACTCTACGTCTTCAGGAAGACCTTGGCTATCGACTCATCACATCGTTTTGTGTCCGTGTGGATAGGTATCGCCAGGGCGAAGCCTGAAGCGCCCCCCCCCCCCCCCGCCACAAACAATTGTCGTGCGTAGAAAACATGACGTATGCGCTTCGCGGGTTTCTCTTTTTCTTTCGTGGCAGCCCATGCGTATTGGGTATCAAAACATCGAGATTTTCAGTGGCTTTCAGGCCAACTTTGTCCGAATTTCGTGCGTTGAAAGTAGACTGCACTGCGATCGATCGCGAGCGTGAGAACGTGCAGATGCTACGAAAATGCAGAAAACGGACTTCGCTCAGGCGCCCTCGCGAGGAAGACTATTTTCGCTGCATTTTCTCTTCACAGCTGTCTGCCTGGCCATGATATTTTCCAGAGAGCCATAGTTTGTAAACACCTGTGGATATACAGCTGAGCTATGAAAAATTTGAGTTCGGCTCAACTCAGAAAATTTGAATTTGTCTGACCCCCTTGGCACTGAAAGGGTTAAGACTGACTAATACTGGCAGGAACCATGTATCGGTTCAGCATAAAGTATTCATCAGTCACGACTCACAAGGCTAACTGTACTGTGCTGGAAGGGTGGGGGTGCTGTCAACATAATAATTGTGTTGTGGTGCCATGTTGTAAAACTAGCTCTGTCCACCGGACGTTAAACAGTATTAGAATTAATAAACACCTCTCTTTTCCATTGTGTTTATATAGTGTGCACATTCAGACCTTCATGCAGCTGTATCATTGTCCTGTTTCCCCCTTTGCCACCTTGTGTTCTATGTGAGTAGACCCGGCAGTTCTCAATGCAGAAGAATGACCAGGCTGAAGAAGCCAAGGGAAACTACCTAGTCTGCCTGGACCAGACTAATCAACTACAGCGGGATCACTTTTTCACGAGAATGCCTGAAGTCTTCTCTGTGAGTATTGACAATACTGACTACAGCTGCTGTGAAAGCTGTGCTGCTATGCTCAGATTGCAAAATCACGGTTGTCTTCAAATGAAGATCGAAGTTAGGTTTCAAGCACGAGTTGATAATGACATTGTTCTTGTTCTTTCTGTTTTGCTGTGTTTGTTGTTGTGTTTGTTGTTGTGTTTGTTGTTGTTGTTGTTGTTGTTGTTGTTGTTGTTGTTGTTGTTGTTGTTGTTGTTGTTGTTGTAGTTGTTGTAGTTGCTGTAGTTGTAGTTGTAGTTGTTGTTGTCGTCATTGTCGCAATGGTGATTTCTCTTGTTCTTGCTACTCCTGGTATTGTGCAGAATCTTCAACGAATGGAAGAGGGCCGTATCGACACGGTCAAACAGCTCTTCCTCACCATGCTTGATATTGAGCTTGGTGTTCAGCCCATTGTTACCAAGTGCCGTGACAATATCAGTGAGGCAGCCAACTCGATGGACTCATCGAAGGTAAGATTGGTGTGTATCGGGGAGTCACTATTAATTTTTATGACTCTCTGGTGTGTATTTATAACTTGTTCTCTAGTGCAGCAAGGTTAAGGTGGCAGACCACCTTCAGCACTTTAGCACGACACGCTAAAGTGTGTGTGTGTGTATGTGTGTGTGTGTGTGTGTGTGTGTGTGTGTGTGTGTGTGTGTGTGTGTGTGTGTGTGTGTGTGTGCGTGCGTGTGTGTGCGTGTGTGTGTGCGTGTGTGCGCATGTGTGTGTGTGTATAGGACTGTATAACCTTTGCAGAGGAGCATCGGACGGGCTATCTGCCTCCATCTGACAAGGCGTTTGAAGAGTACTCCTCGATCAAGGGAAAGACTGCCAAGCGGGAATCAGCAAAACCAGCAGCAGTAAGTGTGCGCTCTACTCGTATCAACGCGATGGCACACTAATCCCCTCTTTTCGTGGCATTTGTGACATTTGCTGTATCTAGTGAGCCAATGCTGTTGCCTGTGCCCTGCCAGGCAGTGTTTTGATCAAGGCGACTTGCTAGTGCAGGGACACGAGTCTCGCATCTCGAATATGACTTCTATTGGCTTCAGAAATTGCAGAAATAATAATTGTCAGGCATGCCATGTGTTCAACTTTTTGGTTCTGTACGGCACATTTCTCTCGTCTTTACAGACCGGACCTCGTGAAGACTTCGGACATTTGCCCCCGGCGAAAAGAAAGAAGAAGCTGCAGGCTAAGGTCAAAGAGCTAGAAGATTTAGTCAAGAAGGAAACATCAGAACAGTACGTTCAGTATAATGTGTGTATGTGCGGGGGGGGGGGGGGCATTTGGGTAGGGAGTGCATTCTTGTGCGTGTGTGTGTGTGTGTACATGTGTGTGTGTGTACATGTGTGTTTGTGTGTATGGTGTGTTTGTGCATGTGTGTGTGTCTGTGTGCGTGTGCGTGTGTATTTTTGTAATTATGGATTATCCACAAGCCTCAGCCCAAATCGAGGGAGTCGCTATGTACGTTTGAGCACGTGTGTATGTGTGTATAAAGAAGCAGAGAAGTGGACAGAGGGTACAGTTTGTAACTTAGAGTTTCACACCCATAGTACAATCACCAAACAACACATATTTTGTGTATGTCTGTTTGTATGCTTTTAGTACTGCGCTGGAGAAGATGTATCAAGTCTACTCAGCTAACCCTAGCCTTGGAGATCCAACTGTTGTCCAACAGCAGCTGGTTGTTATTGGCGAGAAAATCGAGCGACTAAATGAAGAACTCTACAAATATGAAGTGAGTACTGCACATGAACAGCTCTGCTTTTTTCGCATTTCAGTACAGTCAACCTTGTCCCATACCAAACTTACTCTTGATAGCAGAGAGATGGAAGGCTATCTCTTGGACATAACTGATCTGGGTCATCTGTGACACTATTATGATGTCACGGACCTTCATCACAGCCTCCAGGTGCTGTAAGGTGGGAACAGTTGGTCCACTCAACCTCAGCATTTCACAATTGGACTCGGTGAAGTTTTCACTCCAGTTGTTTTCGGTGAGCTGCCGCTTTAGTGTTGTGAGTTAATGTGGTGTTCTGTCCACTCCGCAATATCTACAGGGTTATCTAGCTCAGGCTGAGGGCAAGGAAATGCCGCAGAGACGTTCATCGCCTGGTAAGCCGGCCATGGCAGGGAACAACAGTGCGCCACCTCCACAGCAGCAGCCACCGCCGCAGCAACAACAAGCACCACCACCACAGAACCAAGCAGCAGCGGCAGCAGCAGCCAGCCAACCACCATCCTACCAACAAACAACTCAGCAGAACTCTGGGCCGTCAGCGCCTCCGCCACCTCAAGGTTAGCAGCAATCTGACTACGTGCATGCACTGTTTTTGATGACAGCATTCCTCTGGAGGTGCACTGACGTATCAACTATCAATACCAGTCTGCGGTTCAGCAAATGCACTCTATTCGATGTAATGCTTGCTGTGCGGCGGTGTGTCTGTTTTACAGATGAGTTTGATGATGAATTCTCTGACATGCCCACATCATTCTGCAACGCTCTGTACGACTTCTCAGGTAAGCCAACCACTCGAGTGTATGCACATATGCACTAAGAGAGAGTGTTTGTTGGTGCTAGGCGATACCAGCAGTTACCATCAAGATCTGATGTTAGTTTTGTAGAGACCCCCACCCAACCGGCTATGTGTATATTGGCAGTTATCTATACTTATGATTGTCTGTCTGCTTATGCATGCGTGTGCGGTGTGCGCAGGCTCCAACGAGGGTGAGCTGAGTGTGATGGCTGGCGATAAACTTGGACTACTCGAGAACGACGGCAGTGGGTGGATTCGTGTGAAGAAGGGCGAACAAGAGGGCTATGTTCCCTTATCCTACGTAGACCTCCAAGGTTAACGATGTGTGGCCTGTTGGTGCCAGTGAGTTTAGTGCTGAACTGATGCGATGGCCATCGGTCAGTGGTGATGCTGAAGATCCACTAGTGGCATCGCTAGTGACACACCTAGACTAGTTGATGAATGTACATGACAATGCTATAGCTCCAGAGGAGCATCCCCGCGTGGGTTTGGCCTCCTGGATGCCTGAGCAAAACTGACATGTACACGTACCCGTATTTCTACGATATCACAATGCATACACCCCCCTCCCCCTCCCCCCGCACATATGTACAGACGGATCTACGGATGCACACAATTGCAGCTTCCGAATAAATGATTTGCTCGCCTGCCTTGCCCCAGCTTGAAGGACAAATCCGGTGATAGTGACATTGAGGTGTTGTACAATCAAAGTCATGTGCATACACCTGCAAGTGGTTGCGACTGTCGATGCATTTGTGCTTCTGTGAGCGAATGCTATACCCCCCCCCCCTCCCCTGCTATTTTGCCGGAATTCTTGACCAGGCAGCCCTCATCCGTTTTGAATGGGGACGTGGAGACAACTGCGTTCGCCCCATGCTGTGTTTATCTGCGTCGCTCGTGCTTCGTATCGGCCGGGACGTTCCCCACCCCGCTCCCATTTCCGCCCGTATCGTATATCCTCTGCGCTTCATAGCTTTGCTCTATACCCCCCCCCCCCCCCCCCCCTGTTGAACTCAGTCACTGCAGGTTACTTTTTGTTTTAAATAGCCATTCATCCGTGCCGTCCCGACTGATTCGCTTGTTTCATCAGTTTTAGCACTTAGCCGCGCTGGCGTACGCACCTTGTTAGATGTGAGCAAGGTTGAGGCCATTCCGTATCACCGCGGAATAGTTGCGTTTCGTCGTCATACGTTTTCTTCAGTTTCCAATGCTAGGTTTTTCTCTTTCATTTTTCATTCCTTTGCATGTCAAAACTGCCCAGGTTTGCTTAGCTGTTTTTTGGTAATGGAGTGATGTGCACGCCGGGTACCACAATGCTGCATGTAAAATGAGTATTGCTTTTCTTTGCTGCCTGTCCATTACCATTCAGTCTCTTCTCTTGTACAATACTCTTCTCTTCTTCTTTTTGTCTTTTTTACCAAGTCACGATCTGCTCCAGTCTGTCGATATCGTCGCTGGGGCAATGTCACACACAAGTTCTCAGTTTGGTGCTGGTGGATGGTGCTCTCTCTCTGTGCCGTGTACTGTACTTACCGCCACGGCACCATGCCACAGTCTGCTCCTCGTCTTGCGTTGCCGGGCTGTGTGTGGAGGATGATTTGACTCTGAATTTGGGGTGTGGCTGCTCACACCAGCGAGACTGTATTTATGACTTTAATACCGTGATATTGGCTCACAAGTTACCTCTGATACGAACATGACCCGTTACGATGATCACCGTGACGTTGTACCTGTAGCTTGTTTGGTCAGTATGTGGGGACTGAAAGGCTTGATAGAGAATCAACTGTATTCTTTGAGCTGGGATTAGTGGCAATAATAGTGGAGTTGCTGACATACAGGAGTGTAGACCAGGGACTCCATGATCCGGCCATGGCCATGGTATGGTGTAGTCTGTAGACTGCGCGCATGCACAGACTCATGACGTCAGTGCTAGCCCTTTCCCAAAGGTGCTCGCCCTTTTTTTCGCCCTTTTTGGAAAAGCCCGTTTCTTTCGCCCTTTTTTGCGTTTTTTTTGGTGAATATCGCCTTTTTGAGCTTTTTTAGCTGAAAAAGTGCTAAAATCTCTTTGCACATGCATGCGATCACAGTTTCCGAGTGCTCGATGGGCCTTGGCACGCCGCTTTTTTGGGGGCAGCAAGTAAGTTGGTGAAGCTTGAACCCGGTGACTGGTGTACACAATGCTGTAAAAAGTGGGTTTTTTGAACTTTACTTCCGGTTTTGCCTTTTGTGGACCCATCAATGCAAGAGTGCGTATTCATTTCTCAGCTCGGGTTCATATCTGAACATGTATCATGGCTATGCTTCACTGAAAAAAGAGCACTTTTTGCCTGTTTTCACTGAAAAAAGAGCACTTTTCAGCATATTTTGAGGGACGCGAAAAGCACTAAGTGCGAATAGATGACTTGCACAAAGATTGTCTGGGTTCGAGACGGGGCAAGTGGACCTTCTGACTCTGACTTCCCCACCTTTTGAGTTCGTGACTTTCGAAGTTTCGCTTTTTGCCTGACGAACACTGAGCTAGTTTTTTTGGCTAGAGAGTAGAGTTGTTTTGATTCGGCTTGTATCGTCATGCCGAAGCGCTGCTACGCTCCTGAATGCACTAGCAGACGAGAGATGGAACTGAGGCTCCCATTGATTCCATACGTTCCTTTTCCAGCCGGCCGGCCGGGAGGCAGAAAAAATGAGGGAATATTTATTAGTACATGTATCATTGGTGTAGGCTGCAACAAGCACGTCGTGGTCCTGAAGTGTAACTGCTTTCCCGCAGTGGAAGCGAAGTCAAGCACGACGAAAGTTTGTGGACGTCTAAGAAAGAACTCGATTCCCTTCGATTCGGCTGCACTAGCTCCAGAGCGACCCCAGTCTCCTGAGGACAGACTGCGGAGAGGCCAGGAACCTGCCGAGTCAAGAGCGGAAGCCCAAACCACGAAAATGAGGGGTGGAAGGACTGAGTGTGAGAGCCAGATGGCCTTTAGTAGTACTTCAAGTAGTATCTGAGTTGAAGGAGAGAACAAGTGTGCTGGAGAAACGCTGCGACGTCCTCAGGCCTGATGTGTACTAGCTACTGTTGAAGTCTCACTTGTTCCGATATGAACACTTCATCAGCCCTGACTCTGAGCTGCTGTATCTAGACTTGGACTTAGGCCAGAGACATAGCATTGTAAACCTTACTGAAGCCATATGTATCCAATGCTTGGCTCTAGTGAGAAAGCAGTTTGGCGCAGGCTCGCAAACTATGATTGAATCAGGGAGTGGTGGAAAGTCACATTATACCTCCCCATGATTAGCTGGTAATGACGGCGATGCGGCTCCGGCTGGGTCTCAGTCTCAGAAAGGATTTGTTGGAGCATCATCAAACAGTGCATTCGCCTTCATCATACACTGGCTCCGTTGCCTACAGTAATTCACATTTTGACGGGACGCGCTGGGACGATACGGAAGGAGCGGCGGGAACCATTGGAGTGCTCATGATGCTGGTTAGCGGAGACCGATGTGTCAGGAACGGGAACGCAACCGCACTACTGTACAGATCAGGAAGCGATGGAAGAGTTGAATCTGCTCAGCCTTCCATGCCGTGTACAGGGACACGAGCGTAAAATGGCTACATTTCAAATGTGAACTGGCGATGGCATTGTGTGGCGACGAACACAACTGCAACTGTTCAAATTTCAGCATTTCGAACATTATGCTTCCCATGATAACTCACCGAATGGCTCACATGACGGAGTTGGACATTACCAGGCTAGGATTATCATTTGCTGTATTTATGGATAGTCCTTGAGTTTTCAGATGAAGTGCTTTATCTTTTACCTGTGGTTCCTTTAGTATGGCACAATGTCCATGGCTGCTTCCTTGTCTTCATAACAGACAGGTATAATCAGCATGATTCTGATTTTTTGGAGAAGAAATAAAACTTTCCTTTCGGAAAGGAAGCCCAGAAACGTCAATCCCCATGGACTGTGCTTTATGACTCTCGTCCATCGACGTTAACCGTCGCAATAACTGCTGCATGTATGTTGTGCTGTTCGAACCGTACAAGATTTTACAGCTCACCCACGCCTTCCCAACAGGCTCCTATATCCCGTACCGTTAGCGTTACATTGAATATGAACTAGGCTAGCACAGTTATCCTTCGTTCTTTTGATGGCGGTAGCATGGAACTTGACGTGTTCTTGGGATCCTCGTGCAACACTTGCTGTTCCCGGATGCCATATTATTGGGTGCATCGAGGTTGCTTCTATGCTCACTGTTGTTTAGTAAGACAATGTTTTATAACTATTTCACCGAAGAATAAGGCAAGAGTATTTTGGGTTGGTTTGGACGCCTGGCTTCTCTTCACATAATAATACAGTCATGTACTTCCACTCAGGGAGTAGTACAATACAGTACCTGCTTCCACTAACCCTACAAGTGCACATGCATGACTCATGAGCTGCTGAAGACGTATAGAATCAGACATGGATCCATTGGATGTCAGGGCAGTATCGTTGATTCAGGCCCGAGAGCGGCCCAAGGCCGAAGGCCGCGGGCCGCTCGAGGGCCGGAATCAACGATACCTGCCCTGACATCCATGTCTGATTGTATTTCACACTGCACCCACGCAGGACAGCACAAACGAAAGCCACAACGCTCTCCTCAGCAGAACGTGCACGTGCAAGCGCACCCGCAGCATGCTAACAGCGCAAACAAAGCCACTGTACTGCACTAATCTGCATAAATCGAACTTGAAATACATCAACTAGAAACACCGAGTGCCTGCCTTCCCAAGTTCTCAAGTCCTTTATGGCATTCGTTGCACAACAATGGCAGAAACTCACAAGCTGAAGTTCCACGTCCGTGCGCTCTCGGGCAAGCCGTCGAGCGCACGGAAGTAGGCTCCAGGCGCGTACGCAGGGGGGGTTTCCCGTTGCCCGGAAACCCCCCAAATGTTCCAAACGAGCAACGTTTTTGGGCATATTTTGGTAGGGCGCACGATCGATCTGGCAAGAATGCAAAACTTCAACAGATCGTAACTCAGTCAAATCTGGCTCAAATCCAACGATCCAAATATCCAGGTCGAATAGAAAACTCTCAGCTGTCGTTTGAAACAATTTGCGACGCGCTGCGAGCAATGTGTCCTGAGATAAATCGTTCGTAAGTTGGGCCGCGATCTCGCAATTTCAAAAGCGCGCAGTGCGACTCGAGTATCGAGAATTTGAGACTTTTGTCACGCTGCCTTGCTCAAATTTGCAGGGGCTTCACTTGTGATATCTTCAAGAGTACACAGCAAAAAATCGAAAGTCTGCGATTAACAAAAACGAAATCGCTGGAGCAGGACGCGTTTGGGCCTTTGGCCCAGTTTGGGGCATTTTTTTCGCACCGTCGCTGCACTCTTTTTTTTTTTTTTTTTTTTTTTATTTACTTGAAAAAGCACATAACCACCAGGAAGGCTGACAAAGAAAAAAGAGTAAGAAAAGACAGATAAAAAGAGAGCTGAGAGAGAGAGAGTTGGGGTACGGTTAGGGGAGGACTAGACATTGAATGGTGGTCGCCACAGTCACAGATAGTAGCAGTGCTGGTGAGGCTACAGGCACTCCACTGACCATTAGGTCTCAGTATCGCCATGCCGGTAACGCACCAAGAGACAAAAACGGAAGAAAATCTGAAGCGCAATACATGAATGGTAATTACAATATAGGTAATAGGGAGAGTGGTGACCAAGAGAGGACAGTATAGACCGTTAGTATGGGGTGCTTCAATGCACATCCCCAAACCGAGAGGTGCAATCTGGAAAGAACAGTGAGACGAACAACATGATGGGCTTCAAAGCACGTCCCAAGACCATGGCTGGTCTGAAATGTGTTTGTTCACACCTTTTTTAAAAGCTGTGAGTGGAGAGTGATTGGCCAGACGGGGAAAGATGTCCTCGGGGAGGCTGTTCCACAATTCAAGGAAACAGTACGGGAAGGAACGTCGAAGGTAATCAGGACTGGTGCCGGGGGTGGTGTTTAAGAGCTGTTCCCGGTGCTGGCGCTGAGCATAATGCTGCTGGCGGGTTCGAACAGTATCGGCCCGTGGTTTTGGGGGAGGGCGCATGCGTGTCAGACGGGGTGGGCCCTTGCAGTTAACTACCTTGTAGAGATAGGACAGCCCTGCGACCGTCCGTCTGGCCCGCAGACTCTGGAGGACGGTGGTGGGTCCAATCATCTGCATGGCCTTGCGCTGTGCTGTGTCCAACTTCCCAAGGTGGGTCTGGGCAGCACCAAGCCAGGCTAGTGGGGCATACTCAAGTATGGGCCTTACAAAGCCCTTATAGACGGTTAGGCGTCCAGCAGCATCCAGGATGGGGGCTGCCTTCCGCATGAAATGGAGGCGTTGATGTGCGCGCACAGAAAGCTGGTGGAGGTGGGCGCTGAAGTTGAGCTTCTCGTCGAACACCACCCCAAGGAGCTTCAACTGGCTGCTGA